TGCGGCGTTGGGGAGCATACCGTGACCGACTGCAGAGTAGAAATGGTTGGTATAGGTGGTGGTGATGGTGGTGGTGTAGCGAGGTGGGTCTGAGTCCTATAAAGAAGTTGAAGGAAAGGAAGTGGGGAGGGAAGCAAACTGTAGTGAATGAGAGATGACGAGGAGATAAAGTGAGGGAGTGAAAAGCATGACGAAGGGGAAGAAAAAGGCAGATTTGATTAGCTGTAGCCAGAGCAGAAGCAGCGGCACTCAGACTCAACACTCCACCCCCACGATCAATGCAGAGGAAAATAGACTCTCCTTGTCTTCTCCCTCTCATTAATCCCTTTACTCCTTTGCATCCCAGTGTATACCCGCCATGAGAGCCTTATACTTTCCTGTAGCCGTGTTTATGTATGTGTTGAGTCTTTGTTCCAACGATTTTATTATTTTGCTGCTGGCGTGCATGATGGCAAAACAATGATGGAAAAACAAAGCCAGTGAACGCTTCAGCGTGGGCTTGATAAAGAAAAAAGAAAATACAGAGTCAGGGCCGTTGTCAATGACTTCGGTCAGTATCAATCCAACGTGAATGAGAATGCGACATTAGTATCTCCCTACTTTTTATCCTTCAAAGTAATTCTGCTACTTGCAAAACCAGGTCAGTCGATCTGCTTATGATCCATGTTACCTCGCTATCTATCACCTTGTACGTCACCTATGGACTCAGAAACAAAGCAACGCGACATGTACGTACCTCGATGCGCTGTTGGGGGTGAGGCAGCTTGGTCTTGATGGCAGATTTGGGAACATTCTTCAGGAACACTAAGCGAGACTATAGGAATGGTAGGCAAGGGCTGAAACGAGATGTCCAGGGACCTGAGCAGTTGGTTGTCCTTTCCAAGAGCCGAGGGGAAGGTGGGTTCATTACCAGCAGCTGCGGCTTGGTGGACTTGTTTGAAGGGACGGATGGTCATAGTGTCCGAGAAAAAGGTCTATGGTGCAGCAATAGCAAAGCCGATGAACCCGACAAGCATAAATGTCAGCAATTGTAGTTGTGAAGCATGCTGAGCTGAGTGTAATACTGAATTGCTTCTGTTTGTTCTTCTTACCTTGCTTGCTTGTTTGTTTGGTTCAAAAGCGGAGATGGTGTAAATTGCTTAGTGGTATGGATGTTGGTGACTGAAGGAAGTTAGTGTTAAAGAGGTAAAACGACTGAAGAACATCTGATCAAGGGAGACAGGAAAACTTCATTTCGAGTGGGGAGGTGCATCATCACTGAAGACAACATATTTTTGAAAAGGGGCTTTCGAAGACTGAGAGCAGAAAAGCACGGTTCCAGAGCTGGAAGCACTTTTTTCTTTTCTTCCACTTCAAAGCTTGCTGTGGTTCCTGCTCTCATCCCTTTTTTTTTGCGCTACCGATCCATTAGTTTTTTTTTACAATCTGACAGGTCGTACTGAACTGATGTGTGGCGGATAAGATGTCAGTCGACTTTTGGTTGGTCTGTCATTTCTTACAGAGAGAGCGAGAGTGAATGACGCGTGAAGTATTCTTTTCAAATTGTACAATCTGAAGATATCTAGTCGGATCTGTCTTGCGCATCTTCTTTGTCCAGGTCTGGAGAGGGAGTAACAGTCCTTTGCTGGGGTCACCGTTCTCCCATTGATTGACAGCTTCTTGCCACATCGAGACGGTAGGAATACGCGGAGCAGGTCGTGGTGGTTTGACATGCTGCTGTTGAATCACTGGATCAGCACGCAGAGGCAAATGGCGCACATTGTGTCGCTCGACGACTGGATATGAAGGCGGGTGCACTGTTACTGAGTCCTGCACTTGTGGCATTGCTTTATTCTGTGCTCGAGATGACTACTGACGTTGCTAATGCGATAGTTGAGTTACATGGTTGTCAATCCATCGACAGCGGCTTGAATTGATGTAGCAAGTGATGAAGCCACATTATCAAGTCGGTTATCGATCTCCTCGTTCTGGATTAATAGCTGGTGATTAATATCTCTGGCAATGTCGTTTGCATTGTTTCCAAATATGATGCCAGGATTTTTTCAGTGATCGAGTTCGTCCATGGAGTGTCGTTGAGAAGACAAGACAAGAAAATCACGGAAAAAGAGGAAAAGTGATTGTCAGGATGTGCAAACAGGTGTGACGAGAATAAACATGTCAATATAGAAATGTGGTGCAAAGAGATGTAACAAGAATAGGATGTTAAGTGAATATTATGCAGCAGGAACGATAAAAGCGAATATCAAGAAATGTGAGCCCAGGTTCGCGGTATAGACCATCCTCCCCACCATTTCACCGCCTCAAGTGACCATTTCTCTTTGGCAAACATGGAACGGTATTGGGCTCCACCGCGACGAAAGCAATGAATAGTGAATAATGGTCTTTGAAGAAGTACACCAAAGCAATGATGTGACCATCAGGGTGGGTTGTGTTAAGCATATCCCGTCTGCGGTGCAGAATAAAAGGTTCCTCTCTTTCTGGCCATTGACACACCCACTAGGTCTATGTGTTTTAAAAACACTACAGAAACAGAAGAAAAAAAATAAATGATTAATTGAGACCACAATCCAACACTGCTGCTCCAGTGTTACACGTTACTCAACTAAAGAGGTTGCACGACCAGTGATTCGAACCTGATTCGAATTCGGGAACATGCTGTTGACGTTAGCATGTCTATCAGCGCGGCTTAACCAATAAAGCCACCACAACCTCGGCATACTAATCGCCAGATAACCCTTGAATTTAAACACTCAACCTTGCATCTTTGAGTGCCTCCAGCAATTCCAATCCACAGCCGTTTGCCTTTTATTTTATGACCAGAGGTTTGCCTTGACAAGGTACTTCATTCGCTTTATCTCCTCGTCATCTCTCATTCACTACAGTTTGCTTCCCTCCCCACTTCCTTTCCTTCAACTTCTTTATAGGACTCAGACCCACCTCGCTACACCACCACCATCACCACCACCTATACCAACCATTTCTACTCTGCAGTCGGTCACGGTATGCTCCCCAACGCCGCAACCGTGTTGACCTTCTGTGGATATATGTTCTTACCAACAGTACATGTTCAAGTTCAAAAATAGTCATGCTTGCAAACTATTCTCTTGTTCACTCCTTTTTACATTACGCTTCTTGGACAGCCCTTTTCTGCTACCGTCTCTGCCCACGGATGGAATAGCTCGCTGGTTATGCTTACACAAAACTAATATCTCGTTCGCCTCCATCTACATTATCTCTACCTCTCTTTCCCTGCTTCTCGCTCCTTGACTTGCTTGCTCTTTGTCCTTCTCGTTCTTGACGTCCACTCATTAAAATTAAAAACTTCCTAGGACCCTTTGTTTAGCACCATTCTCGCAAATGCATGTATTTTCGCCTTGCTCCTTGCGCCCTTTCGTGCTGTTGCCTGGGTATCCATCCGATCGTAATATAGGTACAAATATATTAATACACCTTGTGGTGGGACTCTTTGCTTCATCGGTCGCTGTAGCGATCGACAATACAGTCTCATCTGAATCGTTCATCGTGCCAAACCAACCACATTGACATTGACCGTGGACCATGTGAAGAAAAAGAGAAAGGGTGGATGTAGACGATTGTATCTGAGTTGTGTGTGTGTGTGCCCTTTGCTTTTTTTCTTCCTGCACTATTCTTCCTGTGTCTCTTTTTCCGTTCCCTTGTCTCTCGAAATCCCTTTTTTTTCCCCTTCTCTTGTCGATACCTCTCTCTCTCTCTTTTTCTCCGTCTCTTTTTTTATTCTCTCTGGACAACAATAATTTCACTGCTTCACTCCAACACTGTTCCTTGTCTGCCTCTTCTTCTGTTGTCGCTACTGATACTACTACACTCATTCTCTCATTCTCTTTTGCAGCCACTTTCACGTCCCCTCGGCTCTCTAAACAGTCATCCCGCTTCCCTTTTTGCCTTTTCACTCTCTCCTCCGCCCTATTCACTTACTTTCCAATCTCGCTCTCACTCTCCTTCTCGTTCTCGAATCAACAGAACAATGACTCGGACAAGTGCGAGTGTCTACTTTGGTTGTCTGTGTTCACAGCAAGGCCAACCACACCCCCCAAAGTACCCTACAATGGTGATATGAAGAAGGGTGGCAAAGGCGTACGTGTTTCTTTTTGTCTCCACGGCCCAAGTCTCTTATTACTACCGTTCTCAGAGCAAAATATGATTGTTGGAAAGACCAAACACCTTGTTCTTGCTGTTCTTGGCCCTCCGCCACCAGCGTTTGTTGTTATTAGTCTAGAGTTGTTAGAGTTGCCATTCCTTCCTGCTCCATCGTCTATCTCTCCTTCTTTCGTTCCCCCATTATTCTCCTTCCTCCCCCCCACCTCATTGTCTCTTTCTTGACCCTCCGATTCCCATACCTACACCGACTCTTTCTTTTTTGTTTCATTTAGCTATTGCCAACTCAGCCTCTTCGCCTTCTATTGTCAACCCTCCATCTTTTACACACAGCTACGAGTCGTCCTTCTATGATCCCTTTTCTTGACATACATCGTGCAGCCTTCCCGAGGCCCTTTCTCCTCCATATTGTTATTCAAAAAGGGTGTCTTGACCATTTTGTAGGACGCAATGTAAAAACAGAAACGGGAGGAAATATGTTTTCAAGGAAACGTATGCCTTTCCAATACTAAAGTGTATGGTCTGTCATAGTGCAGAATGCGTGCCTTGTCAAGACAAAGCTCTAGTCATAAAAAGAAGGCAGACGGCTGTAGATTGGAGTTGCTAGAGGCATTCAAAGATGCAGGGTTGAGTGTTTAAATTTGAGAGTTTTCCGAGGATAAGTAACTGAGGTTGCAATGGCTCATTGGTTAGAGCGGCGCTAAAAGGACTGCCCACGTCTACTAAACGTGTTCTACTTAGCGTCCTCGGGGACGAACAGGCCGCGGGTTCGAAACCGTCCGTGCAACCTTCATTGCCTTGAGATAATAAGGACGCAGCTGCTATGGCGGAGTGGTTAGCGTTCATCTCGGTAATCTTTTGTTTTTTTATTCTTTTTCGTAACAATCCCCTTGTCGAGTCCACTGACCTTGTTTTTTTGCCTCCTCCTCCTTCTCGTCCTCCTCCTTCTCGTCCTCCTCCTCCTTCTCGTCCTCCTCCTTCTCGTCCTCCTCCTCCTTCTCGTCCTCCTCCTTCTCGTCCTCCTCCTCCTCCTCGTCCTCGTCCTCCTCCTCCTCGTCCTCCTTCTCGTCCTCCTCCTTCTTGTCCTCCTCCTTCTTGTCCTCCTCCTTCTTGTCCTCCTCCTTCTCGTCCACCTCCTCCTCCTCGTCCTCTTCCTCTGTTCTCGTCCACTCTCCTTCAAACATCGATCCAGCCTCTAGCCCTCCTTCATCCTCTCTCTAACAACCTCCTTCCATTCCTCACCATTGCTATCATATCTTTCTCCACCTCCAGTCCCTCCTCTCATCCTCTCTCACCTCTCTCCAAGTGCGCCTCCACTCGAGCTGCTGTGTATTCTTACTCGAGTATGTTTTCCCTACTTTTTCTCTTGGTCGACTAACATCTTTTACACGGACAATATATGTTTGTATGTTGTATGTTTGTGCATGTCTCTTGAGTGCTGCACCCCTTCCCTCATACCCATTAATTAATTATGCCTCCATTTCATTTTTTGACTGGCTGCAGAGGAGTGAAAAAAAAAAAAGCAAGCAGGAACAAAACAAAGAGTATACTCAGTGTACACGGCGCATAAAACTGGCGTTTCCTTATGTCTGTTCAGAAACACTCTCATTCACAAAACAAAAAGTGCATGCATCTCAACATTGAATCAGGAAGAGTACTTCGCCCCACATGCAATGTGTCACGTGGGGTCATGAGAGCGTCGGACCCAAATGCTTAATGCTTTTTGTCTTTATCAGCGTCCAACATACCAAGATTTGGTATAGCATGAGTTGCTGGTCCGACCTTAACAGCATTGCTGCATAGACTGATATCCTGCAACTTATTCCTGAGGTATGAAGGCATCCCAGACAAGAGGACGAGAAGATCGCAGAAGAATGTATTGAATCAAATACTAAAAACAGCATGAGAAAAAAAAAAAGAGCGCTGGCGGAGTGGACTAGTGGTGTTTAACGACAAGTCTGTTCACAACACTCTTTCTTACTGTTATCCCTCCATGCTTTCCTAGTGAAAATGGAAATGTAGTCGAGGGAGTGGCTTTTCAAAGCACTCCGGCACGGAGCCACGGCGAATGTTGCCGACAGCAGAACCTCGAACCTCTTCTCTTCCTGTTGAACGTACCGTCTATTCTCCTGACCCCGGGGTATCTCATTCAACGTCCACAGATTGTCTCTGTTTTGTCACCATCACCGCCCCCTCCCTCCGTGCTGGGCACTTGTACAGTCCCCCTTGTATAATAAACATTATCTGTTTCTTCTCTTGCTGCTATTTTAACCTCCCTCACTTTTCTTTTTCACCCCTTCCTCTCTTTTCTACCTACATTCATTTTCTCCCCTCGTCCACTTTCTCCCCTCGTCCACTTTCTCCCCTCGTCCACTTTCTCCCCTCGTCCACTTTCTCCCCTCGTCCACTTTCTCCCCTCGTCCACTTTCTCCCCTCGTCCACTTTCTCCCCTCGTCCACTTTCTCCCCTCGTCCACTTTCTCCCCTCGTCCACTTTCTCCCCTCGTCCACTTTCTCCCCTCGTCCACTTTCTCCCCTCGTCCACTTCTCCATTCGTCCGCTCAGCACGTTCCACAGCAGCCGCAAGTTCAACAGCAGCAGCAAGTTCAACAACAGCAGTAGATGAACCGGTAAGCTTACATCGCACCGAGCTAGTATCTTGTTCAATTCCAACTGCACCATCTCTATCTCTCTTTTCTTGCTTCTCGCCCCCACCTGTTCACTATTTGTCCTTCTCGTTCTTGAAGCCCAATCAATAAAATACAAGGTCTCCTACGACCCTTTGCTTAACATCGCTCTCGCAAATGCAGACATATTTGCCTTGTTCATAGCGTCCTTTCGCACTGGCGCATGGGTATCCATCTGATCGTAACATAGGTATAAACATATTAATACACCTTGTAGAGGACCTCCTTGCTTCATCGATCGCTACAGCCATCGACAATACAGTCTCATCTGAATCGTTCATCGTGCCAAATTAACCATATTGACATTAACCGTGGACCATGTGAAGAAAAAGAGAAAGGGTGGATGTAGACAATTGTATCTGACCTCTATGTGTGACCTTTGCTTTTTTTCACTATTCTGCCTGTCACTACTTCACTCCAGGTGTGGATCAGTAGTATAGAAAAGGTACGGGATTATCATATCGTTAACATGAGATATCACTAAAATAAGTACTGTTACATGGAGTTAGCTTGACGTTACACCTTGTCAAGATATTATACTTCATTGAGAGTAGCTGGCTTTTTACTTTCAACATTTTCAGATCCCACACCATGTCCTCTACATGGGCCAGCTTTCAGCTTTCCAGTAGGAAGTGCATTGAGCTTATGGTATAAAAACAGCAGCTAAGCACGTGCTAGGCCCATGTAAAATCAGGCATATAGGTCATATACAAAAGACTTTGGGTAGGAGCTCCAACCTTTGAAAGATGGTCCTATAGGATTCAGCACGTAACTCATTCAAGTTTAAAGGTAGGTAGAAACTAAAAAGACCACACAGGTTGAAAAAGAAAATCGGAATGCATTAATCCAATTAACTGATTCATTCAATTCAGGCATTTCGCTTCCGACGATGATCCGATGTCGGTCCATGCAAAAAGAAGCAAGTTGTAATGAATGAGAATGACAGGAATCTGGGACCCGGTTGAATGAGCATCTCAAAAAAAAAAAGTCGAAATCGCAAAAAGACGAGTTGTCGATACCTTTCTCTCTTTTTTTTCCCTTTCTCCTGTTGATACCTCTCTCTCTTTTTTTTTTCCCTTTTTCTTGCCGATACCTCTCTCTCTCTCTTTTTCTCTTTCTCTGGGCAATAACAATTTCACTGCTTCACTCCAACACTGCTCCTTGTCTGCCTCTTCTTCTGTTGTCGCTACTGACACTACTACACTCATTCTCTCATTCTCTTTTGCAGCCACTTTCACGTCCCCTCGGCTCTCTAAACAGTCATCCCGCTTCCCTTTTTGCCTTTTCACTCTCTCCTCCGCCCTATTCACTTACTTTCCAATCTCGCTCTCACTCTCCTTCTCGTTCTCGAATCAACAGAACAATGACTCGGACAAGTGCGAGTGTCTACTTTGGTTGTCTGTGTTCACAGCAAGGCCAACCACACCCCCCAAAGTACCCTACAATGGTGATATGAAGAAGGGTGGCAAAGGCGTACGTGTTTCTTTTTGTCTCCACGGCCCAAGTCTCTTATTACTACCGTTCTCAGAGCAAAATATGATTGTTGGAAAGACCAAACACCTTGTTCTTGCTGTTCTTGGCCCTCCGCCACCAGCGTTTGTTGTTATTAGTCTAGAGTTGTTAGAGTTGCCATTCCTTCCTTCTCCATCGTCTATCTCTCCTTCTTTCGTTCCCCCATTATTCTCCTTCCTCCCCCCCACCTCATTGTCTCTTTCTTGACCCTCCGATTCCCATACCTACACCGACTCTTTCTTTTTTGTTTCATTTTAGCTATTGCCAACTCAGCCTCTTCGCCTTCTATTGTCAACCCTCCATCTTTTACACGCAGCTATGAATTGTCCTTCTATGATCCCTTTTCTTGACATACATCGTGCAGCCTTCCCGAGACCCTTTCTCCTCCATATTGTTATTCAAAAAGGGTGTCTTGATCATTTTGTAGGACGCAATGTAAAAACAGAAACGGGTGGAACTAGTTCTTCGAGGAAACGTATGCCTTTCCAATACTAAAGTGTATGGCTTGTCATAGTGCAGAATGTGTGCCTTGTCAAGACAAAGCTCTAGTCATAAAAAGAAGGCAGACGGCTGTAGATTGGAGTTGCTAGAGGCATTTAAAGATGCAGGGTTGAGTGTTTAAATTTGAGAGTTTTCCGAGGGATAAGTAAGCGAGGTTGCAATGGCTCAATTGGTTAGAGCGGCGATAAAAGAACTGCCCGCGTCTAGTATAGGTGTTCTACTTAGCGTCCTCGGGGATGAACAACCGCGGGTTCAAACCTGTCCGTGCAACCTTCATTATCTGGGCAATTAAGGACGCAACACTATGGCAGTAGTGTGGGGGTGCGTCCGCTCAGTAATCTTTTGTTTTCTTTTTCTTTTTCGTAACAATCCCCTTGTCGAGTCCACTGACCTTATTTTTTTGCCTCTTCCTCCTCCTCCTCCTCTGTTCTCGTCCACTCTTCTTCAAACATCGATCCAGCCTCTAGCCCTTCTTCATCCTCTCTCTAACAACCTCCTTCCATTCCTCACCATTGCTATCATATCTTTCTCCACCTCCAGCCCCTCCTCTCATCCTCTCTCACCTCTCTCCAAGTGCGCCTCCACTCGAGCTGCTGTGTATTCTTACTCGAAATAGTTAACAAGTCACCGGGCACCCACAGCAAAAGCTTCATCAAGCCTTGATCAGAATTGGCAACAGGCGACACAGGAAGCAGGAACGAAAGCTTGCCAGGTTCCGTGAGTGCTTCCTTGACTATGTCAGACAACAATAACAGGAATGGAACTAACTCCAGCAACAGCGGCAAGTCTAACAACAAGTTCAGCAGCGGCAAGTTCAACAACAGCAGCAAGTTCAACAACAGCAGTAGATGAACCGGTAAGCTTACATCGCACCGAGCTAGTATCTTGTTCAATTCCAACTGCACCATCTCTATCTCTCTTTTCTTGCTTCTCGCCCCATCTGCTCACTATTTGTCCTTCTCGTTCTTGAAGCCCACTCAATAAAATACAAAGTCTCCTACGACCCTTTGCTTAACACCGCTCTCGCAAATGCAGTCGTCTTTGCCTTGTTCCTTGCGCCCTTTCGCACTGTTGCATGGGTATACGTTCGATCGTAACATAGGTACGAACATATTAAAGTGCTCCAATCAATGGATCGACCAAAACGCGATTTCGATGTTTTGACACTGGATCATCGCCGGAATTGAAATGCCTAAATCTGCTTGATCAATTAAATGGCTCGCATGTAATGGCGAATGACTTCCATGTAAACATTTACATGGGTTTAGCACGGAACAAACTGGGTTTTTTAAAAACCACTATATCAATACATTTTCTACAGTCAAACTGCAAGCAGTTCCATTCTGAGGACATTGTGTGTGATCTAGAATTGTTTGATGTGCAAAGCCAGCCATTTTCAGTAGAGTGCAATATCATGATAAAATGTGGAATCGTGCTAGATCCATGTAAGAAAACATACTCTAACGATATCTTCCGTAAATGACATAAACGCTTTGTACATTTCCTATTTTCTAGACCACACACCACGTCCTCAGAATGGAACTGCTTTCAGTTTGTCTGTAGAAAATGTATTGACATAGTGGTTTTTAAAAAACCCAGTTTGTTCCGTGCTAAACCCATGTAAATGTTTACATGGAAATCATTCGCCATTACATGCGAGCCATTTAATTGATCAAGCAGATTTAGGCATTTCAATTCCGGCGATGATCCAGTGTCGGTCCATGCAAAAAAAGGCGAGTGGTGATGAATGGGGTTATGAATCAATACAATGAATGACAGGAATCTGGGGGCCGGTTGGAACATTGGTAAATGACCATTTCAAAAATAACGTCGAAATCGCGTTTTGGTTGACCAATTGATTGGAGCACTTTAATACACCCTGTAGTGGAACTCTTTGCTTCACCGATCGCTGCAGCGATCGACAATACAGTCTTATCTGAATCGGCCATCGTGCCAAACTAACCACATTGACATTGACCGTGGACCATGTGAAGAAAAAGAGAAAGGGTGGATGTAGACGATTGTATCTGAGTTGTGTGTGTGTGTGTGTGTGTGTGTGTGCCCTTTGCTTTTTTCCTTCCTGCACTATTCTTCTTGTGTCTCTTTTTCCGTTCCCTTGTCTCTCTCTTTTTTTCCCTGTCTTTTTTTCTCCCTCTCTTTTTTTATCCTCTCAGGGAAACAATAAATTCACTGCTTCACTCCCACACTGTTCCTTGTTTGTCTCTTCTTCCATCGTCGCCACCGACACGACTTCACTCATTCTCTCATTCTCTTTTGCATTCACTTCTTCCTCAGCTCTTTATGCAGTCATCCTGCTTCCCTTTTGCATTTTCACTCTCTCTTCCCTTATTCACTTACTTTTGAATGTTGCTCCCATTTGCCTCATTCTCGATTCAACGGAACAATGGCCGGTGAGGTGCGAGTACCTATTTTGGTTGTCAGTGTTTACGGCAAGGCCAGCCACATACCACAGTACCATGCAATGGTGATATAAAGAAGGCGACAAAGGTATATGTATTTCATTTTGTATCCACGGCCCAAGTCTCTTACTATTACCATTCTCTGAGCAAAAGATAATTGTCGGAATGATCAGACGCCGTTCTTCGCCCTCCGCTACCAACGTTTGCTGTTATTAGTTGAGAGATGCCATATCTTTTTCTTTTTTGCTCCATCGTCTATCTCTCCTTCTTTCGATCTCCCGTTTCTCTTCCTCCCTCCCTCTCTCTCTGTCCCCTGCCTCATTGTCTCTTTCTTGACCCTCCATTTTCAACTTGCATCAGCCCTATCTTTCTTTCTATTCATTTTAGCTATTGCCAACTCAACCTCATCGCCTTCTATTTTCGACCCTTCGCCTTTTCACATAGCTACGAGTTATCCTTCTATGTTCCCTTTTCTTGACACTCATCGCATCGTACAGCCATCCCGAGGCCCTTTCACCTTCCTATTTTTATTCAAGAAAGGGTGTTTTGGACATTTTCTAGAACGCAATGTAAAAACAGAAACGAGAGGAAAAAAGGTTTTCAAGGAAACATATGCCTTTCCAATACTAAAGTGCGTGGTCTGTCATAATGCAGAATGTGTGCCTTGTAAAGGCAAACCTCCGGTCGTAAAAAAGAAGGCAGACGGCCGTGGATTGGGATTGCTAGAGGCCCTCAAGGATGCAAGGTTGAGTGTTTAAATTCAAGGGTTATCTGAAGGTTAGTGCGAAAGGTTGTCATGACTGATTGGTAAGGCGCGCTGATAGACGCTCCGGTCTATAGCGTGTTCCCGAAGACGAACTCAGGTTCGGATCCGGGATCATGCAACCTTTTATTTGAGTGACGTGTAGCACTATGGATTGTGAACTCACTTAAGCTTATTTTTTTTCCTTGCCATGCACCCCATCTGCGGATCCAGAGTTGGGGAAAGATGGCTGCGGCGAAGTTGCTTGTTAGAGATCGCGAAATCCTGTAGCACGCTTCAACAATGGCTGGAGATGAACGACTGCCGTGTATGTCAACGTCGTCCGACGGGTTCCCCTTCTTTAATAAGGAGCGGACGTCTGTATCGATGGCTGTACGCTCCTCCAGCGACATGAACGGGCCGTACTGAGGTGGTATGCGTAGTGGCGGAGGTCGGTTGAATATGATACTGTAGCCCGACTTGATGATATTGTTGGCCCAGGTCTAATCCGTCATCTCTCTCCATGCCTTTTGGAACTGAAGAAGTCGTCGTCCTACTAATCCGATTTCTCTCGTCGTTTCCTTGGTCTGGTTGCTCCCTGTCTTGACCGCCACCAGACTTGTACCGAGGCTTGCCACCAGACTTGTACCGAGGCTTGCCACCAGACTTGCCTCCGTCCGACTTGTAACCCGACTTGCCGTCGTCGGATCTGTATCATGACTTGTCCTTGGGTTGCGGCTTTCCCGACTGTTCGGTCCTTAGGTGTGTCGTCTGTTGCTGACTTGTCCTTGGTAGACTTGTTGTCAGGCTTCTTAGTCTTGTCCTTTGGGGGTTCGTACTTCTTGTATGTCTTCCTAACCAGATCAGCGACTGCTTTTTTGGCAGCCAGTGATTCCAAAGTGAAGAGGAATTCTTCCTTGTCGTTGCCATGCTTGATGTCCAGTTTGTCGAGATAAAGGGTTTTCCGCATCCGACTGATCCTGGATGCGTCATGAGATGTGGAGATGCGTACAATGTTGAGGACACCGAGCATATGTTTGCCGAGAGTCAATTTGTATTCTCAATCTTTGATGATCTCATGGGCGACCGTGTCGTAGAACCGGGTCGTGTGTGCCAAATAACCTTGGATTGTTGCCAAACCGTATTCGTGCCGTTTGGCTGAGCCTTGGGGGGGGGTCATCTCGGAGTGCTGCAGAGCCGGAAGAGGTCTGTAATTTATACCTTTGGTATAGTGATAGTCATTTCAGTAGAAAGCATCGTGGTTCTTGAGGAGCTTGGAATCAATGAACTTCGGTTCACCAATAGCTAGATAGACATCGAGGAGTTCTTGGTAGAGCTTGAGAGTGGTCGCTTGGGGCTTGTAGACCACATTGCCGTCATGCTCGCTGGCAGAAGCTTTCAATGGTTGGACCTTGTTTTGCTGCTGCTGTAAAAGGACTGGCTGTTGTTACATAAAGACCTGTTGTTGCTGTATAAGCTCCTGCATAAAACGAAGGGCCGCATGAGTGTCCATATCGGCATCGGGGACAGTAGGATTGGGTGCATGGGACATGAGGAAGATTACTTAGAGATTCGGGGAGAGTGTTACGGCCGTGAAAAAGGAAGATAGAGATCATCACCTTGAGTCCTCTTTCATTTTCATTTTCATTTTCATTTTCATTTTTATTTTTATTTTTTTCCGTAAGTCGAATAATAGTCGAGGAAAGGAGAGGCAACAAAGCAGAGAACTATTTCTATTGCTAAAAGCCACACCATACTTGTCGAATCTGGTCCGCATCCCGATGAACATCCTAGGAATATATGAGAGAGAAAAAAGGGGAAAAGAAAGTTAACATGAGAGCTGGGAATATTAATGACATTAGGGTACCACTGGGATTATAGGTCTTGAATCAAAGAAAAACTCTCCATTAACTATATATCTCAACTTCACCCTCCACCTCGACGAGATAATAAGAAAAGAAAAAGCCAATGAACAACAAACCACACTGGACTGCAGCTGACGGTTGGTCTCCGTTGCCCACAAGAGTGTCCCCCAACCCAGGACCTTTGTGCACTCAAACGACAGAGATGAGACTATCACCTCCTGGTGTGCACATCCGATTCGACACTCTGCCTCGGCACTGGGCCAACACTCGCCAAGACAGAGGTCTCCTCTGGGCGGGGACCATAGACATGTTGAAATGATATTTCGCCCGCAACAATAGCCAGGGCGTAAATACGCCATGTTTGCAACTACGGAGCAGCCGTCGGTCAATGTAAACAAGGCATGTGCACTTGGTCATCCTCATTGTTCAAGTGCAGGTTCCGAGAAGGTTGACGATCTCTTGCAGACACCAGTGAGTCTGTTGAGCACCTTCCCCTCCCTCCATCTTATTGTCGTCTATGACCTCTTCTGATCTTTCCATCCCCCTTTTTTTTGTAATTGCTCTTCCACTTCTTCGTGTCCCTCTTTCTCCTCTTCATGTCCCTGTTTCTCTTCTTCAAGTCCCTCATCCTGTTTTTTATATCCCTTTTTCTCTTTTTAATGTCCCTCTTCCTCTTTTTTATGTCCATCTTTCTTTTCTTCATGTCCTTCTTCTTCTAGGTATCCTGTCGATCGTCTTCCCAGCCTGCTCCCCTACCTACTTCCCCATCCTCTTCCCCGTCCTCTTATCCATCTCCCTCGTCATCTCTCCAGCAGTCTTCTTTTTAAAGTTCTTTCTCTTCCTGTTCCTTATCATCATTATGTTTCTCCTCTCTTACCTATACTCCTCCCTGCCTTCTTCCTTATCCTCTTCCCTATCTCTTCACCTCCCTAGCAGTCTTCTTTGTAAAATCCCTTTTTCTTGTCCTGTTCCTCGTCCTCTTATGTTTTCGTCCTCTTGATGTAGCTCGTCTTTTTTATCTCCTTATCCTCTTCTTCCTTTTCTTCTTCTCTCTATTCCTGCAATCACACCCAACTCGCTCTCTGGCCCCTCTTTTCTACCTTAAAAATCAATAAACTAGTACTCATCTTTGTCAGCCTTCTGGTTGTTCGACCAGGGTGCTGTTGTTTTGAATGTTAGACTTTGGGAAAGGCGCGGAGATGAGAAGAAGGCGTTGGAGGCGTCTGTTCCTACTCCCGCTGCCTGCCGATGTTGGTGCTTCTTGCTTCTTGTTCCATGGCTGTGGAGTGGAGGGTTGGAATGGGATGGGTGAAGAAGAAGAAGAGAGGGTCAGAAAACAAAAGGTTAGCCAACGCGCTTCGAACCGATTACGTAGCAGAAAGGAGACAAGGGCGGTCGAAGGGGTTGACAATGAAGGAAGGGAGGAAGGGAGGAAGGGAGGAAGGGAAGGAAGGCAAAGAAGAGAAAAAGGGGTCGTTTAGGTGAAAGTGAGGGTGAAGTGAATGAGAGAAGAGAAGGATTGCCTACTCTTAGCCCCACTTATATACTGATGCTGGAAAAAAAGCTGTCCCCTCTGGTCTTGTGCATTGTCTCCTTGTTGACAGGGCTCCGTTGGTTTACGAAGGAAAAGGAAAGAAAAGAAAGCGACGCAGTCAAACAAACAAAATTTGTGGTTGTACTGTACTTGTATTGTCCTGGTTACAAAGCGAGGGGAGCAAGAAGAAAAAAAAAGAGAGAGAATGAGAGGGAATCAGCATGGCGAACTTGATTGCATGCAAAAAGTGAATGGCTTTCCCTCATTTCCCATTCCTTTGTCGGATGTCGATACGTTTTTTTTAATGCAGACAACGAACAACAACACTCATCACCCTCAATCCCCCTCAATCTTTTGTCTCTTCTCTCCTTTTGATTAACTTCCCGCAACAAAACGACTGCTATTCGCTCTTCAACCCTCCCTCACTGAACGAACCAAGGTACAGCCAAAGTATCACTGGCACATTCCTTGCCACTCTTGCTACGTTCTCTAGCTCCACGTTGGAGTCGAATGGTAGGCGTGGATTGTCAGCCATACTGGCATACGGATCGATGGGAGCGATCAAGAGAACGATGGGTATGACGACTGGGCTCAGGGGCCGGTGTCCCTACTCCAGGATAGATGACGGCGACGACTGATGTTGGCGACGACACGGACGGCGAAGGAGAACAGGGTGGGGTCAACATGATTCCACTCGACAACGTGCCCATAAGCGGCTGAGCCGTTTTCATTGTGAACCGTGATGGCAGAAGGGAATGTAGATGTTCAAGGAGTAGCAACAAAAACACCAAAAAGCAATAAAAAGAGAGGAGCCGTAACTTTCATAGAAAGCCATCGATCGCTTCTTTTTTTACATCCTTGCTTAGCTGTTATTGAATGAATTTCCTCTTTAACAAACACCTTCCTCCTGGTTCGGCACGACTCTCATTGTCATTCACGCTTCACGTACTGGAGTTGCGCGGTACAGCACTCAAGGTCAAGGTGAAGGATGAGAAGAACGTCAACTTTGTACTGGCTGTTTTGGCCAGCACGAGTATTACTTGTGGCCTTCATTCTAAGTGTCTTTCTGTGCGAATGGAGCCATGGCAACTGTGTGTTTATTTTCTACTTATTCCCATGTCTGATCATCTCGAATACATACTGTCCCAGCCAAGAATGGAAGATGTGCAAGAGAGGCTCGACTACTGACGATTCACATATGAACTTGCTGCGATGGGGCCTTTTGTTTTTTCACAGTGCGACGCTGACTGCTCGGAAATGACACGGCATCATAAGTTTGTTGGATGCACCTCGCATTTTTCCTTTAGTATATTATCAGGGTGGCGTTTGTGGTAAACATGAGCAACTTGTCAAGTTTCCAATACAATATGTTTTCGCCAGAAAAGATCGGGTTTATATTGATGCAAGTGATTTTCTGGTCCGCTAAGCTGTATGATATTAAGCTTTCTTCTCGTCGTTCTCCTTCTCCGCCTCCTTCTCTACTTCCTTCTCTATTTCCTTCTCCTCCTCATTTTTCTCCTCCTCCTTCTCTACTTCCTCCTCCACCTTCCTCTCGCCCTCCTTCTCCTCCTTCCTCTCGCCCTTAACCCCTTTCTCCTTCGTCACCTCATTATCTTTCTCCTCCACCTCCACCACAACCTCCTCCTCCTCCAGCAATTCCTCCAGATGCAACGCCGAAAACTGCTCGTTCAGGATGTTGTCGGCAGTTGGCCGCAGGTTCGGCTCGTATTTCAAGAAACGTGCCGCGAAGCTCAGGAAGGCCTCGTTCCTATTGCACAGATGAAGGAAATAGTCAATGGATAAGCCTATGCGGTCGTATTTTAGCCAAGTCCAAAAAAGCCAGTAGAACAATTCACAAGAAAAAGACACTTACTTCGGCATGCTCGTGTATGTCATCATTGCTTGCAGGGTGCGGCCGAATGAAAAAATATCGGCCGGCAGCCCATAGTTGCCCTCCGCCGTCACCTCAGGGGCCTGAAAGTTCAAGCTCCCGACCGCGCGCTCAGGCTTCCTAGAAATAGCAAAAACAACCATGTTAGTGGAACTGACTCATGGCAGATATGCTACTCTTGCATCACCAGATTCCAATTCCTATTGTATTACACTTACTTGGTCATGTCCATCGCTCCGCCTAGGTCTGCCAACTTGGCCACGTTCTGTTTGGTGATGAGGATGTTGGCAGGTTTTATATCACCGTGGAGTATGTTGTTCCTGTGCAGGTGTGAAACTCCAGCGGCGATCATCGTCGTGTACTCGAGAAACGTGGTCTTGTCGATGGATCTGTTGACGATTGCGTCGTGAAGGCTCTATTAATTAGACATGCAGAGCACGTACGGGGATTAGAAAATGAGAAACCGTGGAATAATAGTGGACTGAGGTTCATCGTTATCACCTTCATCGCAATAAAGCAAAGTGTCTTACATGGCTCGCCAATTCAAGGACCATGTGCAAGAGATCCTTGTACCGAAAGTAACTGACGTATCCAATGATGTTTGTATGGGGGAACTGTTGCAGCTTTACGGTCTCACTATAGAACTAAATTGTAAAAAGGAGAAGTAAGTCCATTTTTTTGCGCTTCCTATCGGCGACAGAAAAACAAAGTAGGTTTGGTAATTCGGCGCCGTCAAAGTGCATCATGTTGAACAAACATACTATGTACATGTTGTCCAACGACATGGTCTTGATCGCGAAAAGTCCACCTTCCTGAAGTCTCTCCACCTTGGACACAGTGGAGAAAGTTCCCTAAACAATGCCATTGGATTGATACCCTGTCAGCATAATTATTCTCGCTTACACTATCCTTTGCCACCATGATTTGTGGTTGCTTATAGCTCATTAACTTACTGTGCCTAGAGTCTCCAAGTACTTGTAACGCACTTTGCGATCGTAGTATTTCTAGAAATGTTATGTGGGTCAAATTTGGGCGATATCAAGTCGACGTTAGCATTTTTTTATCCATTAATAATACAACCACCGTGTGAAAAAAACGATTACGCTGTCTGTTAGCCAGAGCATGAGTTATCATCCGTTTCCGTCTCTTAACATACGGGCAAAGAACATGGTGCCTTAGCTGGGGCTGGTTGTGGGGGGCGAGCAAGAGGTTGACTGCTAGCCTTTCGCTTCAAACTGCTCTGACTGTTGCTGCTGCTACTGTTGTGGTTGTGATTGTTGTCTTTGCCGTTGTGGTTGTCGTTGTTGTCTTTGCTGTTGCAGTTGTTGTTGATGGGGTTGTTGTCAGTGCCGTTGTTGCGGTTGCTAAGGACAGACTTGACGACGGCTTTCATGTCTTTGGTGTCTGGGTTGCCATTCTCACCCATGCCGATGGTAAAGGTCTCTGGGGAAGTTAACGAGCTGGTAGGAGCAGGAGGGGGAGTGGTAGTGGAAGGAGAGGGTGGGATAAAGGCAGGGGGAGTGGTAGTGGAAGGAGAGGGTGGGATAAAGGCAGGGGAGGTGGTAGCAGTGGATGAGGAGGGGGTGGTAGTGGAGTTCATCTTGTTGGCAATGGTTGTTGTTGTGTGTTGGCGGAAGTACGCTGAGGAAGAGAAGAGAAAGATGTCAATACTGGATCCCGTCGACGCCTTTAGCTTCATTGCTTCTAAAACTTAAGCCGCCAACAGCTATGCAGCTTCGGACGTATTAGTTTCCATTTTTTTCTTTGGCCATCCTTTTTTTCTTATCTTGTGACAGTATCATAAACTGACTCTCCTTTGCCAACCACCGCATCATATGTCTGTGCCCTCTTGCACTTGTCCGCCACCCTTCTCTTGCTGTTCTTCTCGGGCCTTGTTGTTCATCTGTTTTCAGGCACCAGGCACCATCGGATCATATCTGATGATTGTGTATATCCCATCACTTTCATGTTCAGACACATCTCCTCTGCTACTATAGTACACTTTCTGAGAGAATGAGGCGTCTCTCATTAAAGAGTGAGGCGTCTCTTATATTGCAAAAAGCTTCTTTTTCTCAACGCTGTGTAATACGGGAGGGTTGAATCCATCAAATAGTCATACTTTGTCAACAACCTTTTTTCTTTCGTCAACGAAAATCGTCCTCTGTCCGAATTGTACTCTCGAATGGGATTACGATGAGACGATTGGTAAATGCTATGTCTATGTTTGGAATCTCGTCTGGGTGGAGGGCGAAGTAAAAATAAATGATTGATGGCGAGAACATGCAGAGTTCTTTGATATCATGCACGACCCTAGACAACGCATCTTCGATACATGTTATTATCTTTTTTCAATGGTACCTTAATATCATTAATATTCCAGGCTCTCATGTAAACTTTCATTTTTTCTCTTTTTTCATTTTTTTTTTATGTTCCTAGGATGTTCATCGGAATGCGGACCAGATTCGACAAGAATGGCGAGTTCAAGACAGACAAAAGACTGGAAACGAAGGGATCAAAAGTCGAGAAGGAGTGGTCGTGACCGTGGTGATAGCCATGGAAATAGATATGGGCATTGACACGGACGTGAACATTCGTAGCATCCGTTATCGAATATTAAACAATGACTGACCACATATCGTATCATTTGAATTAAGATACTTTTTTCACAAACGCGTTTTTAGTTTTGATCGTCAAACGAGCGTATCTCCTTTTTAGTCTCATCCTTCTCTCTCTTTCCCACCACACACTGCACCCAGCACCTTTTCTGCTTGCGATCCTCTTACCCCAATAGCCTCCACTCTCGCCTCTCACCTCTCACGACCACTCGTAGATGGCCTTCGGGCCATGGTCTTTGTAACCACGCCATTCACGCACCAGAATCAACCCGACAAAGGTAAGTTCATTCCCTGTTGCCTCTTTGCTTTAGGAATGAAGGGAATTTTGGGGGTCGAGTGGGATGTGGGTGAAGAGGTGAACGACCAAGAGCACGATGATAATAATAATAAAAAAAGAGGAAGATGCTGAACAGGCATACTGGATTGCCAACCTTCCTAGGGGTTCTGTGACGTTGGACGATGCATCAAGAAAGAAAGCGGAGGTCGACGAACTCGCCATCCTCTTGACGATCACAATAGCAGCCGTTCTTGCCTTTGTCAAACTCAACAAGTCAGAACTCGACATCCACCCCCCTCCTCCTTTTCAACCAACAGGCCCCAGTTACTCCCCTCAGGGATGAGGGCGAGTCAGCCATTCACCGTGCCAAAACTCAGCCTGCTAGATCCTCATTAGTTAATGTCCCTCTCACTCTTGTTACTATTTCCACCAGACTCGCAAGACCTCACCGGGATCATATTTGCCCAAGCAACCACACGACACAACACCTTCAAATGAAAAATTATGTATTTGGAGACGATGAAAAAAGGTACATTAAGGAGCAACAATGTAGCCGTTAATCATAATGGTAACGTTTCCTCCAGTCATCTCCCTGATCCGCCGGTGCTGGAGAATAACATCATCGCGACCCAGACCCATATTTTCATCAATCGAAAACCTCTCCAGTAGACTACCCTGGGGGATCTGGTCAACAATCGCGGCCAGCGTCTTGGAGCCCATAGGGTTGGGCTGGCGGATCAAGAACTCGCGCAGATGGTAAAGATCTAGATGCTTGAGCAGCCGCTCCCACTCGCTGTCCAGAATCTGGATTTGTGAAATCTCAAACTCAAGCAAGGCCACTATCTTAATCGGTTGTGCGCCCAGCCCTCCACAGTTCACATTCGCGTTGGCTACCTTGGCCACTTCAACTACTGCGACTGAGCGTGGCAAGCGACGCTTGGGCTCGCTCTCTGCCTTGACCTCCTCAGTTTTGGCGACGGGTCGTTGTGGGAAACGCTTCGACTCACTCTTGTACTCGACCAGTCGCTCGATCCACGGGTAGTGGAGCAACGATACCTTCCAATCGGCAGAGAGATTCAGCTCGTTCAGCAGCGGCATTTGGATCGACTCCTCCAAACGGGTTCCTAGCATGAGGACCAGCTGTGCAGTCGCCTTTCCCCGCATTTTGATACCAGTCAAGCAGCCTCGGATGGCAAAGATAAACTCGAACCAGATCGAAACTCGGGCCGACACTGACATGCCCTTGCCCTTGCGCGCCCTAGGGATCACAGGCACGACTTGGGTGGTGCCTGCCAGCCCTTCAGGTGGGAAATCGTCCTGGTCTTCAATGCCACCCGAGACGATCACCTCCATAATGCGGAGGCGCAAGATAACCTTCTTGAGCTCCTCCAGGGCAAGCGGCTCCCACAGATGCAATCCTCGAAGAACCAGACGGCGCAGCTTGAGTGGTCCCTTCTTGGTCTTCATCGACTTTTCAAACACAGCAGCATCCGCAGACTCGATCCCTTCAACCGTCAACTCCTCGATTGACGTGGCATACTTCTGGAACATGGCTCGGACCTTGGCTCCCAGTCCAAAGCTCATATGGACCCTCATCTTGGTCAAGTCGTTGGGGTAGAGCCAGATAAAGTTCGAAGGTCGGCTGCTGCCTTGGCGATGCTGAACAGACAGCTCCTGAAGGCTGGGGTGACTCGCCAATAAAGCCTTGAGACTCTCGTAGATTTGGCTAGGGTCATCCCTAGTAGAGTTTTGAAGCGTGAGCGAGTTGAGAGCCTTGCTGTGCTTGATCAGCTCCCGAACCTTGGCGCGGTCGCGCATCAATGAGAACGCCATCTGGACAGTCGTCAAAGCTCGCGACATCAAAAACTGGTTGTCCGGCATCCCGATGCAGGTGTACCTGATCGTGTCGCACCCGTCCCTCCGCACAAAAAACGACTCCAAATCACCCTCGTAGTCCATATCCTCCACGTCGCATCCAGGAACAGTGCTTCCTGGTCTCGCGAATCGAGCTTGAACCTCGTTGTAGGTGAAATCCGTCGCAAGAATGAGCTTGGAAAAGTGATGGAGACCCTTGACATGCCGACGGATGGTGTTCACGGCGCGATCGATGTCGGTGACCACAATAGTGACATTCAATCTCTTGTTGTGGCTGCTTCGCTTCATCCGGGTCAACAGGGCCACAACGTTGGAGGTGGAGCGCTCCAGGTCCGATCGCTCATAATGGGCTCGGAAGTTTGGCGGCTCGTCGGTTGTCCCCTGGACTAGTCGGAATCCTTCCAGTTTTTCGTTTCCGAGTGCTGCCAGGGTGATGGTCCAGTAACCCTTGGCAAACCCGTGCATGGCCCCGTCGTGAACACCAGTTTTGGGGCGGACCGTGATGTGAACACATGCGGCGGAAAACTTTTCCACCGCTTCGCAGAGGTGCGCCTCGTCCTGCGAGTTCATGTCAAAGTCGTTGAACAAGCGGAAGACGCAGGTGGTCGTCATCCGTCCGGCCAGTGTGTAAAACTCTTGTGCCTTGGCTCGATTCATGGCGACAGCGCGGAAGGTCGCCAGGTTGGTATGGTACTCGCTCTTGATGAACGGACTGTTGTCCTTGAACTTGTTCAAAACCGCCCACTCCTCCTGAGGGGACATGCCGTACCAATGAGGTAGGCATACCCAACGGACATCGCCCTCTCTGGTCCGGTAAGGGCTCATGCCCTCAAACAATGGCACATGGGTCATCTCCAATCGACGGGCCAAGACCTTGGTCATCGTCTTTGAGAGGGGCTCGATCGGGGTCATGCCAGCTAGAAGAGCAGCACCAGAGGGGTCCTTCTCTAGTACTGCCAAATTTTGGGAGTAGTAGTTGGCACAGGATAGAATGTTCCTCGACTCCAAGAACTCGATGGCAACGGATAGACGTCTTTGGACATCGGCATCCGTCTGGGCAGGGAACTTGAGGCGATTGTTAATGTAGACTCCATACTTGAGCATCTCGAGAACACCCATGATGTATTCGCCATACTTTGGGACCATGTCATCGACCACGCCGAGGGTAAGATCGTAGTTGTGGACACCTTCATGGAGACTGCCATGTGGGAACCACTCTTCCTCATATCCCGGAACGTCGCAACAGTCACAAATGAAAAAGAAGTGAAAGTCGGCCGCGCTGGGGTCAGGTGCGTATGTGAGTGGGTTGGCAAGAGTCATGGTTAACGGGGTGGCTTCAATGTCGGTGGAGGGGTCCCAGTTAGTTGGGGTCACGGCAGCCCTAGAAGCGACATCGTCAGACGTCGGAAGGATACAAAAGAATCTCGGGCAGGCGGCCTCGATCCAGCGTTGTCGCTTCATCAATACGTTCTTGACGCGATGCTCGACCAGATCCTCGATGGTGAGTGGACCCTGTCGGGGTGGGCGAACAAACGGCTGGGTCTTGGTCGAATAGACACGCATGGTTTCGGCGATGGCGGCGCGCCTATCCCATGTAGTAAGATCGGTGTCAACATCAGGATGTGTTTGAGTCATGTCGATGACAGACACGGATGATAAAGCCGGTCCTGACTGAATTCGATTGGCGATGGCGATGACGGCGGGCGAGCTAATCGAGGCCATGGTCGTGTTCGTGAGGGCCATTCTGCTTTCAACAAGGCGATCAAGTTTGTTGACGAGACTGAGCCCCTTGACTGCAATATCCACGGACTTGGACTGATCGGCTGCATTCCCGTTTGGATCTAACAAATCCTCGTGCTCGCTCTCGCTGGGGGGAGTCTCGTACTCGTCGCCGTGGCCATCTTTATCGCTCTCGCCATCCCCTAGATCTTCACCCGAGACATCATCCACGTAGTCTCCAACGTCTTTGCCTGAATCGCCGTCTCCCGCGTTTTCCTCCTTTGATATCCTTCCATCTTCGTCCTCGTCCTCCCCGCCGTCGCCATCGTCATCTCCCGAATCCTCGCCTTTCATATACTTAACGGACCCTTTCTCGTCGTCCTCGCCATAATCCGCATCATCGTATTCGTCTTCACATTCTGATCCTTCTTGATCATACTCGGAGTTGTGGTCCTCTCTTGATCGTTTCACAGAAGCTGCCGCCGCTGCTGCTGCTGCGATTTGAGACGGCAAGGGCACGGACATTGTGAAGGCTGTCGTCATCCCGATGGGCGTCGAGGAAGCACAAGTGATGTCGCGAGTGCTCCTGCGAATGTCGAGGCCATCGGTAGCGGAGCAGACGGAGGATGAACGGGAGGAAGGGACAGAGTGGGAGGTGACACCTGGCATGGTAGGGTATGTGGCAATGCCTCGAGCCTGACGAATATTGCGAATCTCGCGATAGGTACCAAGGGTGGACGTCGGGGGAGCAGGTTCTAGTTGCTGTTGTTCATGCTTGCGCTGCTGTGGTGGGAGACCGAACTTCAGGGTTGATTGAGGAGTCGTGAAAGACCGCCGAGACGAGGTTACGTGGCTGGGTTCCTGAGTGGTCTTTGACTGATGGGTATACTGCCGGGGTTGCTCATGTTCCTGAGAGATCTGGCGCGTCGTAGAAGCTGGCTGTCGAGAATCCTTTGGGTGCGGATGCTCGGGTTGAAAAGTAGCCGGGACAAGGGCAGTCGCGGTTGCCACAGTGAGTCTGGAGTCAACAGGAACAGCAGTGGGTGTAGTTGGAACAAAAGGAGATCCTCCTTGCTGAACGGGCTCCTGTACGGACTGGGATGAAAGCTGTTTCCTGTATTGTTTGACCGAGGGGGAGGACACCATGTCGTCGTAGATAACATCCAGAACAATGCCTGCGTGATAATGAATTCCATGCGGCTTTACACTATAAATACATTCAAGAATATGAACAAAAACGCGCCCAGAGTTTGTCAAGTCAGGCGACAGATGCCAATAATCAATTTATCATAGAGACAATAACGCGAATAAATCAGAAAACAAAAGGACTGAGTAAAACGAATGAAAAGGACGTTACCGGAGGAGGGATTTGTCGTCTCTGAACATGGGGACATAGATGTTGTCGAATTGGATGCGCGCTACTCCTGGGAAACAGTGCCGGATGTCGGACCAGATGATGTACAGGTGTCCGTGGATGGGGTGGCGGACAGCGGGGATGCGCACGAGACCGTGTCCTGAGCCTAGGCGAGAGCGGAAGGTCTGGAAGCAGGCACCGGAGTCGATGTCATTGTCTGCGGATGTCATTTGTTGCTGTTGCCTGGTTAATGTCGTTGTTGTTGTTGTTGTTGTTGTCTCTTGTGCGAGTGCTGATGTGAAAGTAGGGGATTACAGAAAAGAAGGAAAGAAGAGATGCCATGAAAAAGAGGCAGAAGAGAGCAATGCGCCTCTTTGCCCACCTTTCAACTCCGCTCATAATCGATGGCTGTCATCGTATTTACTACACATACTGTATCACCTGACAGATTGTCGCTGTTGCTTCTTTTTGGTGGCGCACGACTTCAAGTAGCTCGCAAAAAAAGGGTTCGAATAATTCCCTCCATCCTCTTCGTCCATCCCCTCAACATTCATTCACTCCCAACCACTGTGCACATTCGCATGCTCCCTTCGTCTCACCTGCCTTGCTCCTCGACATTCACTCACCCACATACATACACACCCATGGCTCACCACTCAATGCATTCGAATGTAAACGAACCACAGCAGGCTCACAGCGATAACAACATTCTTCCTCATTCCAGCTCTCCCTCGTCTACGTCAATTAACCTTCCTTCCCCACGTACCAGCAGTGCCACAGACAGCAATGACACAATCACTCACACCAGCAGTAACACCCATGGTGACACCCATAACGCCAACCACACCGACAACAACAACGACCAGAACGACAAGGAATGGGACTTCAAAATGGCAACACTCTTCTCCATCTTCGAATCAACCCCCGGCGACGTCCTCTGCGAGGCCCTCAAAACCTCCAGCGGCGAGCTCGATCAAGCTATCCCCTGGATCCTCAGTCATAACTCCAGCAGTGTCCAAGACACCGACAGCAACTCGAACACGCTGTCCACCTCCAAATCGACTCCTTTTTCATCCTCGCTATCAACACCAGCAAGGAAGAAGCAGAAGCTGATCCAGCCCCGCTTATCGGCCTTCATGCCAACGCCGTCTTCGTTGTCCGTTTTCAAACCAGGGATTAGCCCCGCTCCTAGTCATCAGCATAACAGTAGCAGTAGCACCAACAATAACAACTCTGTCGATGCGCCTTCATCATCCAACGAGACTACTTTTCCCTCACTCCCATCGCTCAACGATCGACTCCGCTGGAAAGAACCTCCCCTCACCTTCGACCCCACCGCCAACTCTATCGACACAACCCCCTCTTCTTCAACACCCGCTGTAAAACTCAAACCACCCAAACCCTTAATCCTCTACAGCCCTGAAGACGTCGCCAAACAGTGCCCCTGCACCCTCATCTTCAACGTCCTCGACAAGGACCTCGCCAACCGGCTCCTCAAAGCCATGCTCATCGACTCTGAAACCTGGAATAGAAACCGTTGGTGGCTCTTCGAAAGGATGGTCGAGTCCCCTCACAAGACTTCTTATTTTGCGGAACGGGATGATGATATGGAGGAGGTTGCCGGGTGGACGTATAATGGCAAGAAACAGGATCCACCGAGACGGTTTTTGCCTGAAATGGAGGAGGCCAAGTTGGTTGTGAGGCGGATTGTCAATGAGCTGCGCAAGGAGAGGGACATGTAAGATCTCCTTCTTTGACTTTGCGAAACAATTGGCAGTCGAGCTATGACCCTCGTTTTACTCTCCTCTCATCTCACACCATCAACCCACCTACCCTACCCCTACCTTACCACTACTCGTAGCCACCCATATGAAGTTCAAGGAGATTGGAACTGCAATGTCGCCGCAGTGAACCACTACGCACACTCTAAAGAATCCGTCGGCTTCCATGCCGACAAACTGACTTACCTCGGTCCCCGCCCAACAATCGGATCCCTCACACTAGGCGTCACTCGCTTCTTCCGGATACGGAAAGTCATCCCGGATGCTACACACCCCGATACTGCCGGGCAACTGATTAGTATTGCCCTGCCGCATAATAGTCTTTGTATTATGTGGCCTCCTATGGTGAGATATGATATCTCGTTTTTTTTTTTTTGGCTATGGCTGTGAGGTGTTCTGGGATACTTATAGTAGTTATCAATGCACCTGACTTCTCTCTACTTTTTTTGAATGGGCAGCAAGAGGAATGGAAACATGAAGTCCCGCCACAGCCTACCGTAACTCCTCACCCCATCAGGTAACCCCACTGATCCGCCTCATGAACCCCAACATATCCTCACCCTCATCGCTCAACTCTCCGAAATCTACTAACTAACACAACCCATATCTACACTTCTACTCCACATCAAAGTGGCACAGCGCGTATAAACATTACATTTCGTCTCCGTCGCGAAGGTTTCTCACCCCAGGAAACCCCCGTCTGTAAATGTGGTGTCGCCATGGTTCTGCGCTGCGTCTTCAAGAACAAGGCCAACTATGGTCGCTACTTTTATATGTGTTATGCGGCTGGGTCGAAGATGGGCCAGACCTGTGGACAGTTCAATTGGGTTGATATGGAAGAGAAGCTTGGCCTTTTGTCGCCTCCTGGCGCTGGTGGTAGTGGTGATGCAGGTGCAGATGATCAGGGAACGGTATCCAAGAACGTACAACGGGAAGAACAGCAGCAAGAGATTTCAGCAACAAACGCCTTCATCAATACCGTATCCGAATCTAAAGGAAGATCCTCCAAACACCCCAGGTCCCCGAATCAAGACCATCTTCTTGAACAGGTCGACGCTGATCAAGAGAGCGACTTGAACCTCGCCGAGGAGCTACAAGAAGACGACATGGCATTATTGGAACAGCAATGGGAGGCTATCGAAGAAGCAGATGACCCAATATTAGAGTAACATAGACGCCCTTGATAAAAGTATTATTTATGTTTTCTTCTTTAATGTCAATTTTTTTGGTGTTTTTGTAATAAATTACAAGTGAAGGCGCCTTCGCCGAGAAGGTTGTGAACTCCCTCATTTGTACCGGTATCGAAACTCAAAATGAAAAGAACTGAGTGTGTGCGAAAGCGAGTGTGTGGGTGAACGAGTGGCGTATATGTCGAATGTCTTTGCTTATAGCGGTGTGTGTGGCGAGAGAGAGTGAAACGAGTTCTGCTGGTGATTCCTTAAGCCTTGGCCTGAGCCTCTTCCCTGAACTGAGCCATGCGCGCCTCCAACTCGGGGCGGAAGTGGCGGATCAAACCCTATGTGGCGGTCACATAATAAGCAGAGAATTAACATCCGAATGGACAAAAAAACAAGACGCACTAGAACTGCCTCTGCACGGCAACATAAAAAAAGTAAAACATACCTGGATGGGCCATGCAGCGGCATCTCCGAGGGCACAGATGGTATGTCCTTCAATCTCACGGGAGAGCTCGTCAATCATATCAATCTCGCGAGGACGAGCCTGGCCGTTCTCAAAACGAGTCATCATGTTAGCCATCCAGGTGGTACCCTCACGACAGGGTGTGCACTGTCCACAGGACTCATGTCTGTAAAAGGCCGCAAGACGAGAAATGGCGGCAACAATATCGGTCGACTTGTCCATGACAATCACAGCGGCTGTTCCCAAACCAGACTGAACATCACGAAGGGCATCAAAGTCCATCAAAACATCATCACAGATCTGGCGGGGCAAGACAGGGACTGATGATCCTCCAGGGATGATTCCCAAAAGGTTATCCCAGCCTCCCTTGACACCTCCACAGTGCTTCTCAATCAGCTCCTTCAAGGGGATCGACATCTCCTCCTCGACCGTGCAGGGGTTGTTGACATGTCCGGAGATACAGAATAACTTTGTTCCAGCGTTACGGGGACGACCGAATCCAGCGAACCACGCGCCACCGCGTCTCAGGATAGTGGGCGCGACAGCAACAGTCTCGACGTTGGCGACTGTCGTGGGGCATCCAAAGAGACCTACATCTGCGGGGAATGGGGGCTTCAGACGAGGCTTTCCGGCCTTGCCCTCAATCGACTCAATCAAGGCAGTCTCTTCGCCACAGATATAGGCACCGGCACCGCGGTGAATGTAGACATCAAAATCGTATCCGGAACCGCAGGCGTTCTTGCCAATTAATCCAGCCTTGTATGCCTCATCAATGGCAACCTGAAGGTTGGAAGCCTCGTTGTAGAACTCTCCACGAATGTAAATGTAGGCGGTATTGGCGTTCATGGCGCGACCGGCGACCAGGCATCCTTCGACTAACTTGTGGGGGTCTCCGCGCATAATTTCGCGATCCTTGCAGGTACCAGGCTCACCTTCATCTGCATTCACAACCAAATAGCGGGGGCTATTTATCACAAGGGGTAATACTAGGGTGATTAGTTTCACTTCCATGATAAAGTACGGCTCAAGGAGGTAGTTGAGATCCTGTGAATTCATGCGGGTTAGCGTATTGTACCCTGAGTTCCGCTGTGAAACATCCATCCTGGATCTTCCTTTAGCAACCCGACATGTATATGTAGATTCCTGTTTCCTGCTGTTGGTTTTGTTGTTGTATTTGATGTTGTTTATGTTGATGTTTTTGTAATCATGCTCCAATGTATCCATATTCCTACTGTGATCGGTAAAACTGCATCCTGCAGGGGTCTTGTCCTCGATCTCAGCTCCACCGCAAAAAAACCCCTACCAATAACTGACCCACAAAGCTCAACTTACCGGCCATCATGAGGCTTGTTCATAAAACTCCACTTCAAACCCGAAGGAAACCCCGCACCACCACGACCGCGCAAACCAGACGCCTTCATCTCGTCAAGAATCCAATCATGACCCTTCAACAAGATCTCCTTGGTCTTGTACCAGTCTCCTCTCTTAAGCGCACCCTTGAGCTTGTAGTCGTGGAAGCCATAGATGTTGGTGAAAATGCGGTCTTCGTCGCTGAGGTTTCCGAATGTTGTCCGGGCTGGGGGGATGATGGGATTGACGGGTGCTGCTGTTGCGAGGGCGCGGATGGCTGTGCGGAGGGTTGGTGTTGTTGTGCGAGCTCGGGTTGTGGCCAGAAGGGCTAATATAGGAAAATGAGAGGAATGTTCCCAGTATCAGTACATAATGAAAGTTGTATGTGTTCGTCTGTGTGTGCGTGTTTTGGTGGGTGTGTCTGTGTGGGTTCGGCAACTTTTTTTTTATTTTTTTTTTGGTTGCGCGCTTCAAATAATTTGGTGAAGGAAGGTAGCTCCCATGCATGTGTGTTTTGCAAGGGCAGTGGTGCTGCTGAAGTGGGAACCATTCATTGGTGTGGTCCCGTCCGCCTTGCATTGTACCCAGGATCCTTGCTGGGGGTCATCCAAGTTGAAGAACAGCTCCATGCTAGTCAAGAGCCTCATCTCGTGTTCGTTCTCGGTGCTGATCTGTGCAAGTGTGCGAATCTCGGGATCTGAGAGTGAGTCCTGCAGCATCCGTGCTTCCAAGGGGTATGTGGGATAGTGTTGATGTATTACCCTTTGTAGCTCTGGTTGATGAGAGCATGGCGAAGTAAAAGGGGTATTTGGGGGGGTAGAGTGGAGAGGAAGGAAAGAACAATGAAAAAGAAGTGATCAATGTCCCCCTCTTTTTCTATTGATGATTCACAGACAAAAAAAAAGTCCGTCCCTTGTGCTCCTCTCACTGTCTCTCCGGAGACTGTGCGAAAGTGTGGACCGACCTTCGGATTATTTGATCTCTGGAAACGGGGGAAGGAAATCTAAGCCACTGACGCACATTTCTATTCAACAGATCGCGTCTTTTGTGGAACCATACATGTCACTTCATTTCTCTTCATAACTCAACTCGACCTCACCTTGGACGAATGCTATCAATGTGGTATGTTTTTATTATGTCTCTTTTTTATACTGCCTTTAATTGCTTCTAATACTCCTTACACCTTCACTCTCCAATCTGGATCGTCTTTGTTCCTTTCTCACCCCATCACTATCCGCGTCTCAAGAACCGAAAGTTCTGCTGCTCAGGCAACCCTCCAACAGCACCCACTTCGTCCTCAATGTCACCCTCCTCGTCGTCTGGCTTAACAGCAACGGCAGAAGGGCTAGCGACATCCTCATCGTCGTCGTCGTCAACTTCGTCCGTCTCGGGTTCGGCGTTGGATGATGGAGGTGCCTCAGCAGTGGGTGCAGATGATGGAGGTGCCTCAGCAGCGGATGCAGATGATGGAGGTGCGATTGGGGACTGTGTGCTCGCCACGGGACGGGAAGCGACGGGTGCAGCAGCAATTGGAGCAATTGCTGGCAGGACTGGTTGTTGCTGGGGTGCTAACTCAGGGACGGCATTCTGCTCCGAACTGTCGTCCTCGTCTTCGTAATCGTCATTGCCGTCGGTATCGGCAGGGACAGCAGAGCTCTCGGGACCTTGGTCAACATCATTGTCGTCGGTATCATCCTCAGGAGAGGCAACGTCGGTCTCGGGGGCGCTAGGGCTGATAGGTTGTTGGTTGTTGTTACGAACAGCAGGGCTTTCGATAGGTGTGTAGATAACAGGGACCTCAATGTCGTCATCAGGGCTGCCGACGGTGGCGGTGTTGGGCTCGTCGCTGGTGGTGTTGTCCTCGTCACCCTCTTCCTCGTTCTCGTCCTCGTCTTCGTCTTCGTTCTCATCAGTGCTGGGTTCAGGTTTGACTTTGGAGGTGGATGGAGCGTTCTCGTCATTTGACTGACTGCTGGGCGGCTGAGTAGTAAGAGTAGATGAGAGGGCAGGCTCTGCGATAGGTGCTGCTTTCGCAACTGGAGCGTCAAGAGCTGAACCGTAGTCTATGTTAGGCAACTCAGGCTTGAGCGCTAAGCTGTCGTTGTCTCTGTTATCATCCTCATTGACAACAGACCCAGGAGCAGACTCGTTTGAGTTCGTGGCAATTCCAACGCCAGGGTAATCTGACTCGATGGGAGGAATCAATCCGTCCAGAATGGGGTATTTCCCATAAGGATTCAGGAAGCTACCGGAGTCAGCACCGACGTCGGAGATGGGCTTGCACACAGGAACAACCGTGATGGTCTCGTACACAATGCAGTCGTCGTGGTGGTGGTGATGATGGTGCTTTGTTTTGGTGGGCTTGTGCTTGTTGTTGTTTTGGGCCTTCATGTGGTGGTGGTGCTGCTTGGCGTGGGAGTGTTTCTTCTTGGCAGCAGCGGCGGCGTTGAGCTTGTGGTGGTGGTGGGAGTGATCCAGCTTATCGGCATGATGTTGTTCATGTTGCTGCTTGCCGTGCTCCTGAGCGGCCTTGTGACGGTGGTCCCCGGCTTCCTTCTTCGTCTTTTCCTGTCCATCTTTGACCTTCTTCTTAGCCGACGTGGCCTTGAACACCTTCTGCGCCTTTGTCTTCTTCTCCTTCGCTACCTCCTTATCCTTTACCGCTTTCTTCTCCTCTGCTTCCACCGCCTTCGTTTTATTCTCCTTGGCCTCCTTCTTGTCCTTCTTCTTTTCTCCGTCAGTCTTGACCTTCATAGCCGTAACTTTCTTCTCCTTTTCCTTCTCAGCAGCCTTGTCCTTCTTCTCGGCAACAAAGGCGTTAAAGATATGAACGCGCGACTCAAGTTCCGAGAGTGAAGGGTAGACAACTTTTTCCTTCAGAGCCTCTGCTGAGATGACGAGTTCACCCTCCGCCGCCGCAGCGGTAGGAGGTATGAGAGGAACGACGGCCGCCTCTTGGGCTTGGACGGTTGAGAGGGCGAAGAGGGCGCAGGCGCCTAGACCGATTGTGATCAGACGCATGATTGTTGATGTAGCGTGCTGTTATTGCATAGGTGAGAGGGCTTAGTTGTCGTGATAGGAAGATGGGTAGGTGGATGGATATATATGATGGAATTGTGATAGTGTGGTGAGAAAGGGTATATTCCTAAGAGAAGGACGAGTAAAGTGGGGGGAAAAAAATATGAGCAAGTGCAAAAGAAAGAAGAGGCGAGAAGAAAGGAGTGCGATACAATAGCGAAGCAATGAGATACAAAGAATGGACTCTCTCTATCGTGCTCTATATTCTCTCACTCTTCCTTTTCTTCTTTCTTTGTAGTCTCACCAAAAGACATTATAGAAAAAAGGGGAAGAGGGAATAGAACGATCTTTCTTTCATTCTTTATTCCGAAAAAGAATGAATCGGTCAAGGGGCAAACACACGAGGGACATAATCTGAGAGTGCGAGGAACGAAAAGGAGGCATGGAACATAGACAGGGCAGGATGATTCGAAATCCAACATACACTCGCCGTGTGAAAGCAATCCTCGCAATATGTGCCTAAGAATTCGCGTCTACATTTTCCTCCCCCTGTTTTATTTTCGCTTGGTCGACTTGTTTTTGTAATCATGTTTTCTTTATTCTTTAGGGGACACTTTACATGTTTGTTCAATTCATCATCACCATCATTCATGACAAAGAGGTTGTGACAAACGAGATGGTGTGCTTTTTTTGAAAACAAAACAGCAAAGAAAGGAAGGTGGATTAAGGAAGGTGGATTAAGAAAGGTATCTTTTTTTGATGTGAGCTAGTGTAGAAGTAGAGAGGACAACCACAATCTTTAGACGCAAAGGAAAGGAAGAATAACCCCCCTCCCAAAATCAAGTACACTAAGATGATGCGTTCTTCTTCTTGCTCGTCTTTTTGCCATCGGAATGATGCTTCTTGGAAGAGGAGGATGAGGACACCTTATAATGTCTCTTCTCGTGTTTGTTGCGTGCTTTCTTGGCCTTGCCAGCTGCCGTCTTGACAGCCTTCTTGCTCGTCTTCCCCATCGTCGCTACTCCATCAGACTTGCCACCTCCAACCATAGGCCCCTTGACGATATGCAAATTCGCAGGCGCGGCAACAATCTCGCCAGAACGGAAGGAATTGAACTCTGCGGCGCGTAGTTCAATCTCGCGACGGGATGGGTAGCCAATTCGACGCTTCGCCAGCCTCGGCAACCCCGACCCCGATGAAATGGCCATCTTGTTATTACGGTTGCTGTCTTTGTGATGATGGTGGCGGTTGGTACCGCGATGATGACGGGATGAATGTCGCTTGTTATGACGGGCGACGAGACCTTGTGCGACCTTCATAGACTGGAACCATTCTTCAGGGGCAATGATTTCTTGGGCCAGGACTGTTGCGGTGAAGAGGGTGACTAGACCGAGGGTAAGGGTTGCTAGACGCATTTTTTGAGGTTGTATGTGTGTGTGTTGGAGAGAGCGGCAGGAAGAGGGGAGAGAATACAGACGAGGGTGAAGAAAAAGTGAGTCGAGGGAAAGAGCGAAAGGAGAGTGAGTAGAAGAAGAGGGGGGATGATCGAAAAAGAGAAGAAGATAAATGAGGATCAAAGTGGTACAAGTGAGGTGTGTGTATGCGAATGGAATATGTGGGCGGGATTCCAATTGCCTGGGGATAAGACGAAGAAATGATGATTCATTTAGGACATATCGCGATATGTTGGGTTACTCCTGCAGATGTAGGATGGAGAAGAGATGCCAATAAAGACCCATTCCCATCTTCGCTTCCTAGGCTGCCGAAATGGAGTATCGGACGCAGTTGCTGTGGGACGTTACGAGGAGGAGCGTCCGTTGATGCCAGGCGGAATCTGAACGAAGTGTTCGGTGTGAGTGAGGGAGGTGATCAAGGTGATCAGGCGATTAATGAACAACGAGACAAACAACCATATATAGCCCTGGATACGACCTGATCGTCGCGTCTGAAGGTTACATATCCATCATCAATCACTGTCTTTTGCTGTGAAGATAGATCGACATTGAAGATCAGTGTCTTGGCATAGTGTGGATGCCCTTGCTTACAGTTGACGTGTCCCCCTTCACGCCTTGCAATGCACGTGACGAACTCGATTGATCTAGGCCTTCTGACACCTTAAACCTTTTTACTCTCTTTCTTTCTTATTTTCCTTCATTACCCCTTCGTCATCATTGTCTTTTTATTCAGTCATCCCTTCTCTTCTCACTCACCACCAACCAAACGCACAACAAGACAAAGGACGCAGGACACACACAAGACAAGACGAACTTACTTCCCACACCACCCCCAGCAAGAACTACAATGTCAAGCAACACAGAGTCAAACTTCAGGAATGCTTTCAAGAACTTTGGTGCCCGCGGTGGTGTAGCAGCAGCAGACACCACCGCATCATCTTCTTCCGGTAGCGGAAGTCCCCTCAACAGAGCATCCAGCTGGTTCGGAGGCGTCAGGAGTCAGGTCTCGGGATACGTCCCTGTCTCCATGGGCGGAGGTGCACAACCGCAAGAAGAAGACTGGCTTGGCCTCACATGGTTCCAGGTATTTTACAGCGCTGCATTAGGAATGGCTATTGTGCTGAGTCTGTAGCCGTTGTTCATTCACCCCCCTCTCGCTCGCAATCGCAGTGACGTCCACCGCGTGGTCAAGGGTCGGTCCTTGTGCCATGTTTGTGGACGTTGCATACCTTTTTGTCTTTCCTTGGCACTGTTTTTTCTATTCTTCATTTATCGTCAGTCTAAAAACACAGCCCACAATCAACGAACTCACCATTCTGACATGTATATCTTTTTTTTTGGATATATTTTTAGCGCATGGCAGGGTTTGCGATCTGTGTTGCGGGAGGATTGGCATGCTTCATGATTGCCTTCTTTATCGGATTGCCCCTACTCGCGTTCAATCCTAAAAAGTTTGCGACAAGCTTTACACTCGGAAGCATTCTCCTCATGGCCAGGTAATTTTACGCACAGGGGGTAACAAGACAGGATACTACATACTTTGCAGGGAGACTCGCCACGAAAATGTGGGCAGGGCACAGACAACATGAAGCGCTATACAAAATAGTACAGGAAACTCATAGCCACAGTTACATGGACAGCAAGCGCAGAACTAAGTGAACGAGACCCGGATAGCACCAGGTGCCACGCACAGGACAGGAATCAGTACACAGTTATAGCCAGCAAGGATGAACATGAAACAAGTGGGCATGAAACGGATCTTACTAGGTTCAATCTCACGCTGGAAGTGACAATTTGGCATTAACACTCCAGTTATTATTTATCTCCGCCTGGATGAATAGTTTTGCGCTGCTGAAGGGACCTGCGGCTCACCTGAAGGCTTTGATTTCAAGGGAGAGATTGCCGTTCACAGGAGCATACCTCGGATCCATGATCTTTGTCCTCTACTCCAGTCTCATCGTAAGTCGGCTATGATATGCTCTTTTACGAAAAGAACCCCAACAAAGAAGTCTTGGCAAACATGTCTGTGCAAGGAACTGTGCACTTACCCTCATAATCCACCCTTCTTGCTTTGAACATATGATAGCTTAACAGCTATTTTCTCACAATCATTGGAACGGTGATCGAAATCTTCGCTCTGCTCTACTATTTCACCTCATACTCGCCCTTCAGCGGCGGATCGATCCGTCTCGGATCACGTATGGCTTCAGGACTTCTTCCCATCTAAGGCAAGAATGCCTTTTCAGGATCAGCTTTTGTTTTGAGCGAACATGAAAATGCAGGAGCACTGCTGTTACCGAGGAATAAAGCATCACAACCGGCTTTACTTCAAAAACTGTGCAAAGAAATTGATTGCGGGAGAGATCGACTATATCGCAGAAGGTCGTCTGTCCTGCTGTCTACTCCTAACGAATGAAAATCATCTTGGACCGAAAACGGGCACACCACGACCACGAGCACTTCCAGTACTGTGATTAAACAGTTTGAGCTGAGATGGTACTATGTAAAACGTTGTCACAGACGCTGTCATTTCCGAGTTGACCTTGCGCCCTAGCGATCTTGGGCCCGGGGGGTCATGGTAGGACGCAATTGTGCTCCGGTGCGAGCCATGTGTCGCTGCCCTTCGGAGTGTAGCCGTTGCCTACCTAAGCAGCGGTGCTACAGATGAGGTTGGTGGCAACCACACCGAGTCCATCTTGGATAGTCAACAAAGTCAAAGAGAAAGCACAGGAGTAGACATGAATAAAGAAATGAGAGAGAGAGAGCACGGAAGTATGATGCTTTCTTTTGGGCTATGCATCGATATGATTTATCTCTTATCATGGAGCGTTTTTTTTTTTTTAAGAAAACGACGCCAAGACGTGAACAAACCACATCTCTCTCTCTCTCTCTCACTCTCTCTTACCACTCTCTTCATCTCACATTCAACACGAATCAGCAATGGGTCAAACACTCTCAGCACCCGTCACCGAGAAACATTCCTCGACCGGCAACAATGACCGTCTCGCCTTTGGACAATCAGCAATGCAAGGATGGCGCGCCAGTAAGGAATAGTCAAAGTTGTTTCTTGTGGTAGGTGAACATTGAGGCTCGTATTAACGTTCACATGTTTTTTTTTGCTATCCCCACGAAAATAGCCATGGACGATGCTCACACAATCTTGCTGGATGTAGAGGGGGCTCCAGGAACCGCATTTTTCGCTGTCTATGATGGTCATGGAGGTACGTCGACGGGCTCATGATACCTCAATGATAAACCCACGAACCTATTTCTATCGAGTTATTAATTAGCCGCGCTATTTACCGTTTACATCTTAGGCGACACTGTAGCCAAGTACAGCGGCGATCACCTTCATAAAAACATTTTCGCGGATGCAGCATTTGGCGAAAAAGAGTTCAAGACAGCGATCAGGAACGGATTTTTGAAAACTGACAGAGCTCTTCATCTGGATCCAGACTGCAACAGCGAATCGTCAGGTTGCACTGCCATCACCGCAACCATTACAGACAATAATATGCTTTATGTCGTAAGGGCTCGACCAAGAGATTTTGGATGCTTCTCATTGAATTGGGATAGGTGCATGGTTTCTGACACAGCAAATCGATATCCATTGTTGTGTTTATTTTTAGGGTAACGCCGGCGACTCTAGAGCTGTTCTTAGCAGAGATGGAAAAGCTGTTGCTATGTCTACCGACCACAAGCCTACCGACTTTGGTGCGGAAAAAAAAATCAGGACCGCTTCGAACCAATATTCCTTCCATTTAGGTTTCTCAAGCGCTAATCGCTGTGCTTCGTATCTGTTTAGATGAATCGACAAGGATCCTGTTCTCGGGAGGGTATGTCGAGAATGGCAGAGTCAATGGCCTTTTGGCAACATCTCGAGCGTTGGGAGACTTTGGGTTCAAGTTGACTGATACTTCAGATCCTGGAGATCAAATCGTCATTGGTAAGCAAGCGCCGACCCTGTCTTGAGTATTAAGTCTGGAATGTTACATCCTAATTGACGAAACTCCGACTAACAAGTGCCAATGAATGTTATAGCGGTTCCTGATATCGTAGAGCATGAACTGGCAGACGAAGACGAGTTTCTGGTGCTTGCTTGTGACGGTAAAGTACACAGTTGATAGAGATTTGTCTTTGCAATGGTTGTATGTGGCAAAGTACTCACTCACTAACAACACAAGATGTATGACAATGAACAATTAGGCATCTGGGATTGCATGAGCTCACAACAGTTGATCAGTTTCGTCCGTCAAAAAATCGCCGAAAAAATACCATTGGATACGATATGCGAGAACACATTGAATCATTGTTTAGCCGACGCCGGCACATTGACCATCGCCGGATGCGATAACATGACAATGGTCGTGGTCGCCTTTTTGAATGGACGAACGGTTGAAGAATGGTACGAGCATGTGGGCAGTCGTGTTGCTCTTGTCAAACCTGTCGATACACCAATGAATAGTCGAGCAACAGCAGGAAGAAAGGATATGGCAGCGCATAAGTCAAAACCAGAAAAGTCTGGGGGAATACTGAAACGACTCTTCTCAATGCAGCCTCGTTCAACACATACGAAGACGAAAGCATAGGCCGCTGTATTCGATTGTGTAGTCCTATCCTTTCCTATGTTTATATCTGGCGAATGATGTGGGTCGCAATAGAGAACGAAAGGAGGAGAATGTTGACAGTGTTAATACACATTATCTGTCCGCATGACGTCCAGTTGCATAAGTAGGTAGAAGCATTAAACTAAGGAGAAGAGAGAAAATGAATGTAGAAGTAAAGGACTGTCCCAAACTGCTCACGGCCTCTCTTTTGTTTTTTTTGCCCGCTTCACATCTGCCTCCTTCCCCAAAGATCCCTCCAGTGGCCATTTTCCACCATGCACGACAATCAAACCAGGTGTAATGCAGCAAAAGGAGAAAGCAATAAAATGGAAGCATGTTTGCATCTTCAGCCTTTATTCTTCTTCAACTTGCCTTTCCCACAATGACTAACGTGAAGGGTATGATGTAGCGACAAGCAACAAGGAGTGCCTTGAAGAGGCACGATCGCGAGAAGAGCACTTTCCTAGGCTGTGTATAAAAAGTTCGAGTCTCATCCTGCCAATTCCTCTCATCATCATCGTCAACGTACTTCTTTTTCCTACTCTACTTGCTCAAGAAACACACACACCCACACCCACACACATACACACATACACACATACACACATATATAAAAAACAACACACTACAACACAAAAAATGGCACCCACAATATCAACCCACCCCGTCCGTCTGCTCAAAGTTCGCGCCATCTCATCTCTGTACTCCAGCACGCTCACCAACGGCACCGCTCATATCGTGTTCACGGCTGAGATGCGTACCGGCCACCGATTCAGTGTCGGAATCAACCCCTCCCACAGTCCCATACTTAACTCTCGTATCCGCCACTTTGTTGAACGAGACCGCAGGGGTGATTTTATGAACATGGAGTTGTTCCTTTCAGGAGAGGCTATTGTAATGAAGGATACGAATGCGGAGGGGGAGGAGTTGGCGCCCCATGTGCAGATGACGGCGTGGGAGGTGTTTTTGGAGCACCCGTTCGTTGAAGCTGCGTATAATATTCCTCAGATTCTTTAGAAATGGTTGATGATTATTTTTTTTACTCCCTCTGTTGCCATTCCGCCTTCCGTTCTAAATAAAATCGCATGTTGTATTTATCCCACAAAGAAAGGAAATTTTAGTTGTAGAAAATTCATTCTATTTGTCGTGCTTTTTGTTGTTTGTCGTGCCCCTTTTTTTTCCTTCCTGCTCTTGGTTCGTCGATCTTTGTCTTCGCTCTTCTTTTATTCGTCAGAAGCTTCCCCTGGATCTTGATTCTGTTTTGCTGTATGAGAGTTGTTTCACCAATGTGTCTCACTCACCGATCTTTCATTTTGGTGGCGTATAAAATGTCTCCGTTCAACCTTTTCTTTCTATTCCCCCCTCCTATTCGTCTTGCTCGCCTCGCTCACTGTCGTTATCACCCTCTCACCCACTCACCACCCACAAAAATTACCTTGTTTACTTTGATTGTTTCCATTAATATATTATACTATTCATCTTTCTTGTCTGTTTGTGTTGAAGACAGGGGGTGGGGGTGAAAAAGGATATATCTCTACAAGGAGCTTCAATTCTAGACAAAACGAGCAAGGATCTTCCTCCATTTAGGTCTCGGTTTATCATCCACAACCTCATCCTTCACAACCCACCGTCCCGAATCCAAATCTGCCAAGGCCGGATCAACAATCTTTGTCTTTCTCACAAACTTGTAAGCAAAGTACAACGAAATCGCCTGGAACCATGGGAACCAAGCTCCCAACAATCCCTGCGCCCACGAATCCCTAGCCTTCTTATACTTTGGATCCGCAGTCCCCTCTGGGAAATCCCCGAGTGAGGGCTTGGTGGCGATGGAAAGGTAGAAGCTAGCGACCACACAACAGACTCCGATCGTCATGGCCAAGTAATGTCCATAGGGATAACCCCAAGACTTGTAGGGAAGGTCTTGTGGAGTACGACCTTGGGCTTTCCAGCAGGCACGGAAACGGAAGTGGAGGAAGAGGATGCAGACCCATATGAGGAAGATGAGGGAGCCGATAATGGAGACGAGCCAGTTGAAGACGACCTCTGCGCCGGCGTAGATCATGACGAGGGCGATGCAAGAGAAGAGGGTGGTGATCAGAACGGCGAAGTATGGGACTCCTCGACGGTTGGTCTTGCCGACCCATTTGGGCGCCCAGCCGTTCCTGGAGAGCGAGAGCATCATCCGGGTGGCGACGTAGAAATCCGAGTTTGTCGCCGAGACGATCGAGGTGAAGATGACCGCGTTCATGTAATCCGCTCCACCCTTCATTCCGGCCTGCAAGAACACGATCGTGAACGGCGCGTTGACCACAGTGCCCCCATCGTTCATCAGGCGCTCGTCGTTATTCGGCACAATGCAGGACAGGAAGAAAATCGAGAGGATGTAGAAGACTGCGATGCGGACGAGGACGGTGTTGACGGCTTTGGGGACATGTTTGTGTGGGTTACTGGATTCGGCTGCGGTGATCCCAGAGAGTTCGGTGCCGCCGTAGGCAAAACCGACAGAGACGAGCACAGAGAGGAAGGCCTTGAAGCCGCCCTTGAAGGGGGCACCCTCAATATGCCAGTAGTCGACTCCAAAGGTCTTTCCACCGACTGCTCCGGCGTCGGTGAGGATGCCCGTGATAATGAAGACGATGATAGTAACGACCTTCAGGATCGAGAACCAATACTCTGCCTCTCCGTACATTTTCTACAAGATGATTTGAAACAAACAAAAAATATGGGCGAACAGTTAATATCTGCTCGATGTCCTTTGATCGCCATTGAAAGAACCCCCTTGCCCCCTTTTTCACGTCCATTGAAAGAACTTCGCCAAGCAGCGCGACAAAGAACGAACGCATATGTGAACATCGCACGTGACTTACTACGCCCAAGAAGTTGATGACCACCAAGACGGCGATAATAATGCAGGGAACGATCCAGAGCGGAAAATTGGATCCTTCAGGCAACCAGAACGAGATGACAAGCGAAGATGCAGACAACTCAGCTGGGACCGTTAACAACCAGTTCGTGAGGTAGCAGTATGAACTTCATCGTTACAAGAATCGGGAAAGGGCAATGGTAGAAAAAAACGCGAAGGAAAAGGATAATATATTGGCGTGGTCAGTTTGAGATGCGAATAATATTTTCTGTGCGGGTATGTGTCGAGGGCGCGATGAGAGTGTATGCTTACAGTTGAAAGGAGAAGGCCTCGTCAAAGAAGCGGGTTCCCCAGGACGTGAAACCTCCAGGGAGTGGTAGCAGTGTCGCAATCTCACCAATCGCCTGGCAGACGAACACCAGCCAGATACCAATCACCACATACGCCAGAACTATTCATCAATGTAGAAAAAGAAACCGACTTAAAAATGCAGTCCAGGGGGCAATTTGAAAATAATAAAACGAAGGCCCTAAATTCCAATCTAGCAAAAAAAAACCTACGTGCTCCGAGAGGTCCAGCAGTAGCGATAGTCTTCCCGGACGTCAGGAACAACCCCGTTCCAATAGTCCCCGAGATGGCAATCATGACCATATGGCGCAACTTGAGTCCTCTGTGCAACCCATCGGGGGTCTCGACGTTCTCCATCTGCTCGACGATAGGGCTGTCGGTGACCTCGGTCTTTTCATGTGAGAGGTCGTTGGTTGGAGAGGATGATGAACTTTGAGGGTAGGTTGGAGAACCGGAGGGATATGGGCCAGCGGGAGTGCCGCCATTGTGATGGCCGGGGGATGTGGTGGCGGTGTTGTAGGAGTAAGGGGTGTGGCCCTCTTTAGACGGCTCCATGATGTGTTTGTAAAGTGTGAGAGAGTGGAGCTTGCTTCAGAGGATAGAAAAAGGGCGGCGTTTAAAGGGTGAGAAAATGGGATATGAAAAGGAGAAAAGAGAAGGTTGTAAAAGGGTCAAGAGAAAGGAAAGTATGAAAATTAGGTGGATGATGGCAAAGAAATTGCCTTTATATATTTGAGAGAAAAGAAGTGAGGAGGAGGATGGGTGGATGTGAGTAAGGGGGAAAAGGGTAACTGCTGGTTTGATTATGCTTATGAGGGAGTGAGTGATGAAGATAAAGAGAGAGAACAGGGTTCCTGACCAAACGCCCCTCATCCCCCGGACTTGCTAATGAGAAGTGAAGAAGATAAATTGTTGTTTTGGATTACAAGCCCACAGCCAAGGGAACCAAAGTAGAATGAAATAAGAGACGCTAAACTAAAGTCAGATGTTTTCGGATTGAGCGATGAGAAATAGGTCTTTTGTCCAAAAAAAGTCGTCCCTAGTCCGGATGGACTCTTGAGAAACGCATTACAGCGTTTAGTGGAGAAAAAAATAATAGAATTCCGCACTAATACCATCTCCCTCACAGCCTAAGACTCTCCTAGCGCCCATTCTGTGTCCCTTTGCTCTCCTTCCATGTCCAGCAGCCAATAAACAACTCGATGCTTGTTAGAGTTCTGTGCGCGTGCACATTTCGCCTTCTCTCTCAAAGAGAGCAAAGTTGTCATTATGACATGAGAGAAAAGTTCCTTGAAATAACAACACCACGGGAAAAAAAGAGTTGTGAATGTGCACCTATCTTCTTTGGAAGTAAAGTTATCTCAATGTAGAGAAAGCGCATATCGTCATCCACAGAAGAGTGCTCATTTATTTGTTGCAAAGGGTAATGAATGAGAGAAAGAAAAGGGGGTCAACATGTCTTCAAAGGGTATCGATTGAGTAAAAATCGACGCCATTCCCTTCTCTGGGAGGCGAGGATGATGGGGGCCAATCGGCGCAACGTCAAAAACAACAGGAACAGGGGGTGCGATGGCAACCATTGAAGCTAATGGAACAACGTCAAGAGAGACCATTATCGAACCGGATATGTGCCGTGTGAGAGAAGAGGAAAGGAATATTATCGACTTTTCTTCCTCGCCTTCGTGTTCACTCTGCAGAGGCACAATCGAAGCGGGTATCGCTTGGTCCTCTCCCTGGTTCCAAAAATGGACAAACTCAAGTCGGCTGGATTAAACTCCTCGTCAGAAAAAGGAGTACAAAGAGAGCCTCTTGGCGTAAAAGAGGAAAATATGCCACTGCCACATCTCAAATGGCCCATTTGCCTTTCTAGTCCGGGGGAGGAGTGGGCTGCATTTATATCTCTTTTTGTTGCGGATGGAAAGAAGGACGCACTAGTTCGGCGCGCGGGTGCTAGTTGAATCATGCATGACCTCTCTCCATGAGACTTTACCCGCGTCGCTCACTTTTTCCTTTGACAATATCAGTAAATGAATAGTGGATGAATGGGTGGACGTATGTCGCAAAAGTATCCTCAGGAGTAGGTAGGGGGAACCGGGTTCATACTAACTTCATAGTGCTTCTGCAGATGCTGAACCATGTGGAAGAAAGTGGATGATAGAAGGAGCGATTTCAAACTGCGACAACACGCTCTAGTCGTATGTGAGTCGCGAAACAGGATGTAAAAGGTGCTGTAGTAAATTATTATTATTATGTTTATACGGTTTCAGGGGATTTGTGAGGGGACTTGGATTTGGATGGTGGTGATTGGTTGTGGTATACTAATAGTGTCTTCAAAGGAGGTGGATATTGGAGGAGCGGATGGTGTCGCAAGGGTGGGGTACTCTGGTGGCGGTGGAGAATCCCCATCTCCGAAAGAAGACGTTGAACCATCATTGCTACTATTACCACTCTGAGAAATGGCCAAGGAAGTAACAACACCCGGGCGAGGGTGAGCTTCTAGTCTGACGTCGCTCATGTATCCTGTCGCCACATCCATCGTCGTCAGCGAGCTCTCGAGACCACTCAGGTCCATGTCAACCGTAACCAGAATCTTATCACAGCCCTCCAGGCCTTCCAGACTGTCCATTAAGTGCTCTTCGAACTTGGTGTTATTGAATCCGTCCTCGTTGTCCTTGGAGACGTCTCTCTTTCCTTGCAACGCCTTGCCTTCCGCATCCCGATCGCCTCTGCCGGCGTCTTCCTTTTCCTTCAAGAGGTCGATGAGTTTCAGTCGCACTTTTCGCATCCACCGTGGCCAAGTCTGTGTTTTGAAGATACCCCATTTTCCGCGCCAGCTCCGTCGCCACCGCCGTCGGAAGGGGATATAGCATATCGCGGCCAGGACCAAAAGAAAGCCGATCACAGCTCCTGCGATGACGAGCGAGAGGTGTTCCTCCACGAAACTTGTTGAAGGGGTGCCTGCATTTCGATCCTCTCCATAGGGGTCTGGGATGGTGACAGGGAGGTATGGTGAGTATTGAAGTGGATCGAGGCTGCCGGATATAGGGTCGATCAGGACGCCGTATTGGTCTCTATGGGAGCTGCTTAGATAGGCCCACACGCCACTTGAGTCGTTTCTGTCGATGGGTTGGATGTACAGTTGGGCACTGTCGGTGCTGATGTTGGAGCGTTTGCTGAGGGCTTTGTCGCCGTTCTTGAACCAAGATACGAATAGTCTTCCGCGTACATAGCTTGGGGATTGATCTGTGGTTGCAGGTGCCTGAACAAAAAATAAATGAATGAAAGAAAGAGAATGCCGGTGGTTTAGTAAGGATAATGCGGTTCAAATGCTTATGTTTTCTGATATTTTGACAAATGTCATTTTTTGGCATCCAGAACTTACAGAGCAGAGAACGTAAAGGGTTGCCTGCGGCGACGAATACCAGATCTTTGTCGTCTCCATCTGACAGCTTTGGACGGCCGAGGCATCGTAGGCCACAAGGCCTGTTGGAAGTGTGAACCCTGAGGCGCCTCTGGCTGTGGAGTCGAGAGGAATCCGTGTCAGGTAATAGCCAAACTCTCCTGTCCTCTTGTCTGTTATCAGCCTGCCGAGTTGGTAAATCGAACTGTTTGCATACGCGACCTTCATCGGGTATCCGTGAACATCAGGATTCTACATGAATTGACATTTAAAAAACATAGGTGTTAACATTTTCGGTATAAATAATGCTTGCCCAGCTCTGTCTCTTTGTTGTTGATTTTTTTGTCTTGGCAATTTTATGACTCTCTGTTTGTTCCTTACAAGGGTATAATTTGCCACGTTGGTGAACGTGGCAGGCCCTCCTGCGGTAGAAGTGAGCAAGGACAATTGGATGGTACCAACGGTTGTATTCCCAATCCGCGCTTGATACAGCTCCGAAGTCCCCGGCCAATTGAACAGATCAAACGTCGTAGATACATTCCCCCACTCATAATCCGGACTGACCCCGAAATCCGCCCACTTTTCAGGTCCAATACCAGCGACAGGAGGGGTATACTGGAACCCCCCAGGCGGTCGAAGCGGCATCGGCTGTAAGATGTAGTAAGAATCACTAGCAAAATTGTTCCCGCTGAAGTTGGACATCATTGTAAACACGCCGGTGAGGGGGTCGACATGACAGGTGAGGGAGGAGAAGATGTCGGATAGTATGTTTGCATTTCTGGGCCACGCAGAGATGAGTGACCAAGAGAGGGTGTCGATTGTTTGAGGGTTGGGGTTGGACTGGATGAGGACGATGTGACTGAAATCGTAATAGCCCATGCGTTCTGAGTAGGATGCTGTCGGGAGTGCGTAGGCCATGCCAATGAAGCGGGACCCGGCAAGGGTGATGCATTTGAGGTCGAGCTGGCCCATTCAGAGCGGCATTGAGTATCTTGGAGGTCTGGGGGTAGTGTGTTGTGGTGTGAGTTTTGGAGGGCTGTTTTTGTTGCAGTGGTGGTAGTTGGTAGAAGGGGGAGGGACAGTCGAGACAACAAAGAGGGGAGTTGTATGGTGGGGGTTAGAAATTAAGCATGTAGGGCGGACCTTATTATTTAATTTGCTTTTTCAACAAAAGAGATAGAACGTGAGGCAAAAAAGACTGGAGAAGTCGTGAAAAGAGTTGATTATGGGGAGAGGTAAGGGGGTGAGTGATAGGTAGTTGTTGCTAAGAAGGAGGGCGAAGACGCGACAAAAGGAAGGATAGAAAGTGAGTATCAATCAGTGATCAGTCGCGAGACAATGTTCGTGATGGCCTGAAAGTGTGCGACACAGATACAACAAGTAGCCAATTACTGAGTTCATCTCTTTATTTTGAAACAATGAACACCTCTCTTCAAGAAAGGGAGGTTTCAAGGGTCTAAGCCACAGAATGAACTTGAATAAAATGTTTTCTCGTCTGCATTGTTTGTCCGACACTCCTTCCTTATTCAATTTCAAGGTACAACCATGATCCACACTACATCACAATAAACACTACTAGCAAGCCTGCATGGACAAAGACCACCGATGCCGAACACCATCATCGACACACATGATCAACCAAGGAGTGGTTTACATATCCTTATTCGCCATCATCCGCCTGTTCCTGTCGACCTATGGATACACTCTTCCGATGCCTATCGACCGATGGATGCATATCGGACTACTCGCTATCCGATCGATGTGTCTTCAGGAATTATCCCTTGTCAGAGTCATGGACTCACTGGCCTTGTGCTAGCAACACTGATTCTGGATACTTGCGCAGGAGACACTGTTTCTTTGCCGACAGACAACCGCCAACACTCGCAGCTACAGCAATCAACACTTCAAGCCAAGGCCATATCACCTGCGAACACACCTTCCCTCCAGTCAACGCTGTATTCCTAACTATCCTGCGTGCACTTTCCAAACGATAAAATAGATGAGAGACAAGTGGAAGAAGAAGCGCGTTCGTCGCCTCAAGCGCAAAAGAAGAAAGATGAGAGCTCGCTCCAAGTAAATTCGTTACGACAAGGCAGCTCAAAGCGCGGTTCCCTCCCTTTCCGTCCTTTCGATTCATCAGTCCCCACCCCCGTTTGGATCCAGGACACTGTTCTGTTGACGTCCCCCTACCAGCAGGAGAGCATGAACGGGAATACCTAACGATTTCTCAAACAACAACCCAACAAAACCATTAAAAAACAATTCAAAAACAAAACTTGTCAGATTGTTCAACTGCTGCTGCTCGATATGTTTTTGACTTGAAAATGCCCTTGGACCATTTGGATAGACGTAAGAAAGGGTGCGCCCAGATCGAGATCAAGTGAATAAAGAAGCTGAGGACCCTGAAGATAACACATGCTTCACTATCCTTCAGTGAGCGTGTGTGAAAAAGAGTGAGGCGATGGAAGCCGTTTGTTGGTTACTGCCAATTGAGTTATTCTTTTGAGTGGTCATATTTGCATATTTGAATGGGTCGCTTGTCCCTTTGCCCAGGAGGCATGCATGACATAACTGGGAAAAAAGGTGTGGGGTTTAGCATACTAGTTTGAGTTGTTAGTTCGGGCGGTATGGATGACGATATGTCAGTGGGTTCTGCGAGGTGACAGATATTCTTTCCCCCCTAGTCCCTTTCTTTCTTTCCTGGGAATACTGCACGTGGGGGCTGTGAAGGGTTACGGGAAGAATGCAGGAGAGAAAGGGAAGCCGAAGAAGAGGAGAGGGAAGTGAGAAAAAACAACCAACACTGGCGGGACAAGTTGCAGAAGGGAAGAAGAAAAGAGGCATGATGATGACCCTGTCCCCTCTTTTTCCTTCTGCGCTTGCCTTCCTTTTTGCCACCCTTTCCCTTGCTCTCTTTTTTTCTTCTCTTTCCTCTTTTCCTTTTTCCCGTTTCTTCTTCTCTTTTTCCCACCTCCACCCCTCACCACCTCTCTCACTCTCACTCCCAACCCAGACGACAACCACCAACACGCCCACCCTGTCCCCTCCTGCCAGCTACTCATACTCCTTCATGGCCGACACCGACTCGCTCGACGCAACCGTCTTTGACGCCATCCTCCTCGGTACAGGATTCACCCAGACCATCGTCGCCGCAGCCCTTGCTCGTGCCGGCAAGACCGTCCTTCATCTCGATGAGAATGACTATTATGGCGGGGCATCGGGGGCCTTTGGTGTGCGCGATCTCTTGAAATGGGCTACGAGGATCGCATCCACCTCTTCTGTTGGTCATGACGGTAAGCTTTTTTAATTTTCTTTGATGTGGAATGGCTTGAAGAAGAGAAGAGGAGAAAGGGAACGAGGAACAAGAAGAAAACAGGAGCCAGCAGGAACAGGAGCAGGAAGAAGACGAAGTAAAGGAAGAGGACGAAAGAATAAGGTCGCGACCAACAGACGCGTGCTTCCTGCAACTTACTACCCTCTTGGCTGTTTCTTTACTGACGATGATGTCTAATAGCAAGCGCGGATAAGATCGAGTTCGAGAGACTGGTGGCAAGATCGTACAACAACCTCGAGTTTCAATTCCATCGCGTCGAGACTGGCGGCGCTGCCGACACTGTCATCGACCTCACCACTGTCCTGCAAACTCACAAAGATGCCTCGGCCAAGGACAGGATCAAAGCCGTCGAAAATCACATCACTGCCGCGTACACTCCCATCAACAACAACCCATCCAAGGAATCAAAAGAAGCCATCTCCTCCCTCGCCACCTGGGCTTCAACACCCGAACTCGGCGCCACCGCATCCCAACTCACGTCTGTTTCGTTCTCTCAGATCCAGTTGCTCGAGGAGTTCCTGAAGAACACGCGCAAGTACAACTTTGATCTGTCGCCAAAGTTGCTCTATTCTCGCGGACCATTGACCAACCTCTTGATTTCTTCGGGAATTGGAAAGTACCTCGAGTTCAAGCTGCTGGAGCGCACTGCTGTCTATGAGGCTCTTACCGATAAGGTCGAGATGATGCCGACCTCAAAGGAAGATGTCTTTGTCTCCAAGGCCCTGTCCCTCAAGGAAAAGCGACTCTTGATGAAATTTTTGCAGTTTGCGGTCGACTATGAGAACCAGACGGAAGTTTGGAAAGGTTCGTCCTTTTTCGTCTTTTTCGCGGAGCGATAACGATTACTGTTTATGAGTATGTCCTGACCCTCGTTCGCATTCTGTTGTCTAATAGATTACAAACATGCTCCGTTCACACAGTTTGTTCAGAGTGCATATGGATTGACGGACAAGGTTCTCACGGCCGTTGTCTACGCGATCGGATTCGACGGAAATGACTATGGTAAGGAACTGAGATACAGGTCAGGACTGGGCTGTATGGAACATACTGTTATTACACGCGTTATTAATCTGTTTCTGCACTCATTGTTCTCTAATGATAGCTACGACAACGGAGGGCCTCAAGTCTGTCAAGGTCTACCTCCAGTCCTTGGGCCGCTACGGCAACTCTGCCTATCTTTGCCCCCTTTATGGCGTTGGAAGTGAACTGGCCCAGGCTTTCTGCAGGTACAACATGAACTTTCGCGGTCTTGTTGGCTGTATTATACAGCTGCGCTTTAACCTCTCGCCACACCCGGCAGTAATTCTAACACTTAGAGCCATTCATGTTGCGATTTAATTTTAGAGTGTCCGCAGTGTATGGAGGCATTTATATGCTGCAGCACGCACTGGACAAGCACAACGTGGACAAGGAGGCGAACAAGTGGCAGTCAGTGGTCGATCACACTGGCCAGACGCTGAAGGCGAACCAAATCATTTGCTCGCGTGAATACCTTTCCAAGGAAATGGATGAATACATCGAGGCCAGAACGTACGTTTCATTGTGCTTTTATATTTTCTTGAGAGGTCGTATGCGAAAGTATCGCAAAGACTGACAATTATTATCTTTTATCTTGTGGAATATCAATAGCCTGAACAAGAACTATGTGTCGCACTGCATCATTGTCACGGATAGGTCGGCATTCGGCGAGACGACACTGTGCAAGACACTGTTCCCTATGGACTCGTTGGTACTCAACCCAGGAGAGACTCCAGTAAGGAAGAACAATCACACCGTCTCTGTTCTCCAAATGTGCGGTGGCACTATGTCCTGTCCCAACGACCGATGTAAGATCTACATTCAATACTTTGATACCATTGTGCATTCTGCACAACTAGACGTTATTTAGAAGACGCTGACATTTAATTTCTCGTTTTATGTAGATATTCTGTACGTGTGGGCGGAGTCGGAGGACTTGAAGACGGACGCAGAGGAGGATCTGAAGGCCGCTATCCGGAAGCTGGTCCATATTCCCGGTGATCCTCTCTCCCTCAAAGCCCCAGCTCCCACGCAGGTTGCTGCAGCTACCCCTGCAGCGCCAGCATCAGCTGAAGAGTCCAAGCCTGCTCAGCAGCTTGGAGAGGCCCCTGCTGGGGAGGACCAACCTCGCATGAGTCTGGATCAGGAACTGGATATGGAACAGGTGCGCCAGGAGATTCTTCAGGCCGAGAAGAAGCTGTTCGAAGAAAGCGACAACAACACCCCAGTCCCATCGCGCCCTTCAACACCAGCGCCAGGAGCACCTTCCTCTACCGGATCTTCAACAGCAACGCCCCTCTCAAGAACCGCTTTCCAGAAATCCAAATCTGCGACATCACTGTCTATGGACAGCATCATTGCACCGATCGCGTTGTTTACAATGTTCTATAAGCGTGCGGCGTCTTGGCCTCGTGTCCCTTACCCTATTGGGTCAGAAAATTTGAAGCCCCTGCCTGATAATCTGACGGTGGTCCGCCCCATGAACCACAGTCTGGACTTTGAGGCTGCGACGGAGGAGGCCAGGGCGATATTTGAGAAGCTTTGTCCTGGAGAGGAATTCTTGCCACCCACCCCTGAGCCTGAGGATAACTCTGGATTCTAGACATATCTCTTTTTGGGGTACGCGTTCATTTTTTCTTTGCTGTAATACAAAAGTGCGAAACATCCCTGTTTTGGTACACGTGCGGTCGATGAAGAGTGGCAACACTCAAAACACCATTCTGGCGATGTATGGTGAAAAGAAGCCCCAAGGAAATAACATCAAGTAAAATATCTCGGCAAAGAATCACCGGTGTCAAAAAGGGGAGGAAGGTCAGAGAGTCGCGTCTCATTGAATATTATCGACATTTTCAGCTCTTTGCGGACACTAAGAAAATTGTTGAATCTACACACCAAGGTGAGCTATGATAAATGGACCTATTGGGTCATGGTCTCCTGCAAACTAAGTCCAGCTCTTTGTTGGTCATGGTTCGCTGTCTTCCTCCTCTCTCCTTTTCTTTGAATGTTCGCAAGACAACAAAGATGAAGAAGGGGCGGGCTGGTTTTCCAACGAAATTAACAAAGAAAAAGAACCCTGGACCGTAATACCGTGTGTCCCTCCTCTGCTCTGCTCTGCACACACAAATGATAGAAGAAAAAAAGGATCCACACTTTTGTTGTCTTTTTTAATTGTTCCTATTGTAAAGTGTCCACAGTTCGAAGCGGAGGCAAAGAGACAAGGAGGCTAACTGCCTGCCTCAGGCTAGGTCAATGAAGAGCTGTATATAACTTGGACCTTCTACTCTCACTTTTTTTTCCTTCCCCCACCCTCTCCCTCACAGACACTCTCTGTCCGCCAAAACCACATACCTCCGCCCAGCCCAAACACAAAGTTATAACAAAAGAAACAAAAGTCGACCATGTCGACTTTTGACTCTAACGCGTTCAAGACCGCAAGTACTGCAACCCCTTCTGCGACTTTCTCCTACTCTCTCCACCACCAACTATCAAGTCGCTTCTCGATCAACAACCACTCTACAAGTATTCCCTCGTTCTCTTCGATCTCTCCATTGTCGTCTTCCCTCTCCTCGATCCCCTGGAACTTCAAGACCTGGAACCCTCTGGCCACCCCTTTAAACCTCCAAGCCCGCTCATCGCTCTATACCACCTCCGAGAGAATGCCGTTCATCTCCCACTCCTGGACCTCTGCCTCCTTTTTGGACGTCGAGGCCGTCGTCCCCAATGAATCCGATCCCTTCTTCGAGAAGCGAGATCTCGCTCAGATTCAGAAGTTGATGGTCGCCATCACCACACAGCGGCTGGAGCTCAAGAAGCTGGGTTGCCCTCTCAAGACTGTGTTGAGAGGATTCCGTGATCCGATGTCCGACGATGATATGGTTAGTGACCATGACAACGACAGCGATGATGAGGATGAGGATGGTGACTGCAAAAGCATGGGCCTTGTTGATGGTGCCGCCAGCACCAAACTCGATACTACCACTGATGCCGATGCTGCTTCCGATACCGACCACGAGAAGAAGGATCAAGTCGCCCTGTTGAACGGCGGAGAGGGTGCAGGGGAGCCAAAGGCCGAGAATGTTGGAACTGTCGCGCATGGCACCACCAATCTGTCCAAGGGAAGGGGTGCTCAGTCCTGTAATTGTTACAAGGTCGGTCAGGGGATCGACAAACTGGCGCAGGGGGTCTTGACCCTGAAGCTCCGTTGCTCTCACGCTCACCTTCACGCTCACTTCAGGGTCAACGACGCTACTATTGCTGCTATGAACCGAATCCCCTTCCCTGTTCTCGAGCACGGATACCAAGGCCCTCCACCTTCGCCCTCGTCGCCTTTGGTAACTTTGTCACCTCTTGCCGAGGACAAGTTTGCCCCCTCTACCACTACCGCCTCCTCTGACTCTGTCGCCTCCGTTGCACAAGCTCCCACTCCCCAAAACAATGGTGTTACTCTCAAGGGCAGTCTGGTCGTCATCAAATTGCCGAAGACCTCCAGGACGGTCGTTATGCCCAAGGGTCACATCCCCGTTTCCATCCTCCTGCCTCCTAACACCCTCACCACTGCCGAGAAGAACCCTTCCCTGGTTTACGAGGAAGGAGTCGAGGTTGAGGAGGAAGGAGAAGCAACTGGACAGAAACGCAGCTCTATCAGTCTGAAGTCTAGTCAGGATGATGCGTCCTCATCGGCCAAGAAGAGACGTTGAACGGAAAGAAGAAAAACATCCCAGGTTCCCGCCTGCCTGGCAGGGTGGGTGGGGCGTACACAGATGGTTCATTGTTTGAATCAGTATTTTTAGGAGTAAAGCATGAAGGAGTAGCCATCTTGAATGAATCACTTTTTTTTGATCGAAGTTACAGATCCTCCTTCGCCTTCGTCTTTGGATGCGATGCGGTTGTTTGTGTCGTGGCTGGATGGATGGATAAAGAATTCTCTTTGAATAAGCCAGGATAGACTTTCTAACGATACCCTTCTCCTTCAAACAGCCCAAATCAATCTGCTTTTTGCCCATGTCGCTACCATTTAAACCATGTACCATCACCCATCCAAAAGAAATATAGACCATGGACTAAAGAGAGGCAAAAAAAAATTACACAGAAAACGATGGTTCATTGCTTGCCCTGTATCCAACTTCCTTGTAAAAAGGAAAAAAAGCAAACTGGCTGTCCGCCCGCACCATTGGCAACGATGTTTCATCAGATAGGAGGCGCACGACCAAGGGCCCCTCTGTCGGCGATTAGTGGTCTGAGATTATCATAATGTGCGAGCTTGTCCGTGCCATTGGATAATATCTGTCGTTTTCCACCTTTATTAGGTTGATAACCACAGTGGTGAGGCACCCTCGCCCTTGGGCTTTGCCCTGACCGTTGGAGAAGCTACCATCAGCTATCTGGAACCATCAAGTATGAAGGTAGAACTGGAACCCGACCAGTCGTCATGAGACAGACAGGTACTATTCATTGTGTGGTTATTTATTTTTTTTCCCAATGCATATTTCTCATTTTCCTCTTCTTTGCATTCTCCTCAAATTCTCACACTCATCCCCATCCCTCAAACTACTTTTCAATCAGACATCAGGATTAAGGATGACCGATCACTTTCACTACCCCACGACATCACTGACTTGGATGAGTCCTCGATTCGGCATCAGGATCGTCACCTGAATCCATTATGACTCATAACAAGTCTTCGGTCACTCATCACTTTCACTGGAGTGCAGCACTAGAGGGCAGCACTGTTTTTAAGCACGACTTTTTACTCCTCCCGTCACCATAACTTTGGTGTTTTTGTCCCGGGTTTGTTCATTAAAGCCGGTGGTTGAGAAAGGTGCACGGACGGCATACTTTCATCTTGTAGTTGTGGCATGGTCTTGGGCGATGGGGTTATGACATTGATATTATGAACCAAGGTGCGCAGGATCAAAGGATAATTGTTACTTCTTTCTTTTGGTTGGGTCTCCTTGAGCAACAATAGGATGAAGCACAACAACGTTCTTATTGGGATCTTACCCGTGTGTTCATTTTTCATATCAAGAGACAACGCAAAGGCAAAGGGGCGATTAAGGAAACAACAGCGCAAAGGAAGACAAAGACCGTGGGTGCATAGATCAGGATGGAACGGTTATCTCAATAAAGTCGACGTTTCCGTCATCTTTGGATAAGGACATCTAGTCACGGACAGTGGGTATCACCGGCGATGGTGGTCATGACCATGAAGGTCATATATGTCTCTACAGGAGAGCGCCAACAGGTGTCATCCTTCAAAGACAATACCGTAAAAAGGACGCAAGCATACGTGTAAACGTTTACTCAGGGCGACTAAAGAAAACTATCAGAAGGAAGGGCGTTTTGCATCTTTTTTTCTCCCGAACTACCGTTAGCTTTTTTTTTATTGAGGTATCCTTGAGCAATTTATTTTGTGCTATGGTTTTGTCTACTCGATTGTGTGCGTTGGTATAGAAAAAGGTGATGTTTTGGGGTTTCATGTTAAAACCAGTGTTTTGGAGGTATTTTTTTTGTCATGCAATGTACTTAGGCGCACTGGAAGAGAACTACTGTTGGCTAATTGGTAAAGCGTTGCGATTCTGAACGAAGTCATGCCGGCTCGACTGGCGAAGGCCGTATTTTTCTTTTCCCCTCTTGGTTGAGTGTCTACGCATGATTGATGGTTACCCTTCTTCCCACAGAAAATGTTTTGTGGCAAATCGATCTGCAACAGAGAGAACACCATGGACATAGAGGATGGAAAGGGCTCTTTTCGGCAAACAAATAATGGGATGTGTCTCTTTGCCTTTTCTCTCTCTTTACTCTCCTGTTTCCACCTTGCAACACTCACCTTTCTCCCCTCGCCATTACTCCTCATCTCCCCCATTTGTCGTCTTCACTGCCAGTCTCCTTTTCTACATTGCACCTCACCTCATTAGCACCTGTGGTCATTCCAACATCCCTCCATTATCCAACTTTCTCTTTTCAGTCCTCTGCACCTTTCTTCGTGCTCAGTCTACCGCCTTCCTGTGCTTGTCTGTCTTGCACCTAACAGTACTGAGCACCTCAAGCTTGGATAGGTATATTCCTTACGTCCAATAGCCCAGCTCACATACTACAATTATCGCTGCTGGTCACCCCTCAATCAGTCGTTACCCTTTCCGCCAAAAAGCGATTGCCTGCCTCCTTGTCGTTTCCCTGTCCAGCCCAACACCTGAGAAAACGTTCTCACTAGGTTCGACATGCTTTGTTAGGACATGGACAATTGTACTTGCCTGCAAGAAGAGACTTTTCATATTCTGTTTACCGCGTGCTAACCTCCTCCTTCCGATAATAACATGGGTAACTTCGTTTCTAGTCTTCGAAGCATCTGCCCACAGCGGACCACGAGCTATAACAAAAACAACCAAAAAAAATCCTTTTTATTGCTACTCAGGTGAGCCATCCTTGCCCACTTACCAGTGTTAACTGGTCAATTCATGACTCCCTTTACGCTGACAATTGTTAACCAATGCTCTGCATGCATATAGATTTCTTCCCGAGTAACTAAACAGACAAAGCAAGAAACAATTTCACCTCTGTGTTATTCCCCAATGTGAGTTGATTGATACTCAGCTCCGCGGATAAGCACTGCACTGCTCATTTTACACCCACTCATCATGCCTTGTTTTCCTTTTTTTTACAACTCTTGAAGTACCACATCGTTTCAACCCTGATTTCCTCCCTTAAGGTAAACAGAGACAACAAGGACATTGCGCTTTCTAACATTTGTGTATGTTTACAACACAGTCTAATATTATATGTCACGATTGCTACTCTGTTTACCATTAGTGCATACATCATGTCCAAGGAATCGCATCCAACCTCACGCCACGACAACAATTCTGCCTCCTCCCAGCGTGTACGCAAGTTGGACAAGATCTTCAACCTTTTTCGGCCGTCCAGCTCAGAGTCCAAGGCCAAGCAGTCCCATAACACCAAAGCGACTCCTCATCACCCTTCAACTGTCAGCGCCGAGTACAATGTCGACATCAACCATGCAGTCTCAACCGCCGAGGTCAAAAGCACTACCTCCAATGACCACCCGTCAGCTCTGTCGGCCATACCTCGCTTGGACGTCTTCCCACAAAATATCAGCCCACCTACCGTCCCCATCACTTTACCCAACTTCGGTGCTCGTATCGACACCACTCCCCAGCTTGCCTTGTGCATTGGTTTGCTCCCCAAGATCGGCGATCCCATCAACCAGCAAGAGGATCTCTCGCAGGTTTTGTCCTCTGGCACTTCTGCACAACTTGCCTGGACCAATTCTATGAAACAAGACCCCGTTGAACAGGAACGTCTGCGTTGGCTAGAAGCTCGCATGGTGGATGAGTTTACGAAAGATACATACAAGAACTCGACCGAGATCGCGGAGATGGTCCTTATTGGGCCTGTTCTCGACAACGAGCACTTTCGCAGGTTGCTGTCGTGCACCATCACAGCATTCGACCAGGCTGTGCTTCTGGACGTCGATTTGCTGCAGGGTCTGGTGCAATTGGTCCAATCTGCTCCCTCCGAAGCTCTGCTCCCTGACGACCTGGTAAAGATTCTCCGCATCCTCAGACTTCGTCTGCAGGACACCCACCGGCAAACCTCAGTGCATCCTTTCCATCTCACTCTGGCAGTTTCGAGGCTGCTTGATGTAATGGCGGAGCACAAGGTTCAGGACTTGGATCGAGTCGAGGAGCATGAACCTCTGTCTGGGGTGTTTTTGGGTTTGAGGGCGAGCTCAGATCCCTACTTGATGTACCAGGCATGCTACGCGTTCCAAGCATTGCAGTACGTGCCCAACAACGAGTCGCCATTGCAGGCAGTTCTCCGACACTCTACCGGGGTTGTGGGCGGATTAGTCAAAGTCTCCGCTGTGTTTAAGCTGGATCTGGGAGCAGTTCTACAGGGGCTTGACGAGTTGCAAGAGGCGCTCGGCAGCGTCGCTGGGGTTGCTGAAACTGTCTATGATGGTACTTGCTCGGTGTTGGAGAGTGGCCGAGGCGTTCTTGAGAGTCTGAAAGAGGGACTCAGGTCAGGGAAGAAGCGTCCGTGGTACACTGCCATTCGTGCCGCATACGCTCTTGTTCAAGCCGGCCAACTCAAGGATCTCAGCGTGCTCATTTACGAGGCACCATGTCGCCGTGACCCCTTGTTCCAGTGGGGTGTCTGCCAACTGCTGGGTGAGATCGCGACTGACGACATCTGGGATATCAACGTCCGTTTGCAGGTCGTTGTTTTTCTCGGAGAGCTGTACAAGAATGATTCACTGTGGGGCCAAGATGAGAGCGTCAAGTCCTGGATGCTGAACATCATTCACCAACTCTGCGCCTCTACTCACCAAGCTGTCAGCGACAACGCTCTTGCCTTGCTCAAAGATCTCAACCAGGACCAGGATACCGCCACCCGTCTTCCTTACCCGCTCAGAAATCGCATTCCTCTGCCTTCATCGTCTCCAACGCTCGCCCGAGTCCAGGCTATCCCCGATGTCGACTACGATCTGCACAGACTGAGACTTCGGCGCCTTGAAGATCACGGAAGAAGTGTTTACATTCATCCTCAGGCGAAACCTAGCTTACAGGCGTCCGGCGATACTTCGTTTCCGCTTATGGAGAAGGTTTTGGATTTCTTGGCCAGTCAGCGACAGGTGTTCCTGGTGCTGGGAGATTCTGGTGCGGGCAAGTCGACGTTCAACCGTGAACTGGAGAAAGCCTTGTGGAAGACCTATAAGAAGAACGGACCCATCCCTCTCCATATCAGTCTCCCCACCATTGACAATCCAGCTAAGGGTCTCATCGAGAAGCAGCTTAAACACCTCAAGTTTTCAGAGGATCAGATTCAGGAGTTGAAACACCGACAGTTTATTCTCATATGTGATGGATACGACGAAAGTCAGCTCAAAGTCAACATCCACACCACCAATCAGTTCAACGGACCAGAACCATGGAACGTCAAGATCGTCATCAGCTGCCGTACCCAGTATTTGGGGCAGGACTATCGCTCTCGCTTCCAACCTCAGCCCATCGATCGATACCAGAGTATTGCAACGGATCTCTTCCAGGAGGCTGTCATCGCCGCGTTTTCCAAAGCCCAGATCCAGCAGTATGTTGAAGAGTATGTTAAGAAGCAACCTACAGTCGACCCTCTTCGGGACCGGCCATCATGGACCGCGAATGAGTACATGGACAAGTTGAATGGGATCAAAAACCTCATAGATCTCGTTTCGAACCCCTTTCTCCTGACGGTGGCCCTGGATGCTCTCCCATCTATTGTCGAATCCAATAAGGATCTTTCCGCGATCACGATCACCCGTGTGCAGTTGTACGACAGTTTCGTCAAGCGATGGTACGAAGTCAACCGGAAGAGGCTGGAAGAGAGTCTGTTGAGCAACGAGGAGCGAAATGAGCTGGAAATTCTTATCGACGACAACTTTCTCTACCAAGGTGTCCACTACCAGAGGAGCCTTGCAATGTCGATCTTCTTGGAGCACGCAGGCAACCCCATCGTCAAGTACACCCATGTTCGCGACAAAGACACTTGGAAGGAAACTTTCTTTTCCCCGAAAGGTCAGACTAAGTTGCTTCGCGAGTCGAGTACGGTGATGCGGTCTGGCTCATTCTTTCGTTTCCTCCATCGGTCCCTACTGGAGTATTTTTATTCCAGAACTATCTACGATCCTCTCGATCATGATGCCAATGATGATTATGGACTTGACGAACGCGAACCAGGTCCAGACCTCATGACCTGCCTGTCTCGGATGAACATTGTGGAGGAGCCGTCGATCCTGCAATTCTTGGCCGAGCGTGTTGATCAGGATCCCTCTTTCCGACAACAACTCCGCGATGCCATCGAGCAATCCAAGACCAATGCCAGTGCCACCGTCGCCGCCGCCAACGCTATCACGATCCTGGTCAGAGCCGGTGTTCTGTTCAACGGCGCTGATCTCTGTGGCATCAAGATCCCAGGCGCCGATGTTTCCTACGGCCAGTTTGATTCTGCAAAACTCCAAGGAGCCGACCTGACGGGCGTCGATCTCTCGAGGAGTTGGTTGAGGCAAGCGGATTTGAGCCATGCACAGCTGGACGGCGTCCGGTTCGGAGAGCTGCCCTACATCAAAGTGGACGGTACGGTACAAGCCTGTGCCTACTCGCCTGACGGAAGGATGCTTGGAGTGGCGTTATGGGGTGATGGTCTTGGCGTCGGTATTTACGACACCTCTACATGGCAGCGAATTCGTCTAATCACAGCCACTCAAAAAGTCCTATCTGTTGCGTTCTCGCCTGACAGCCGACGAATCGTATCTGGGGACTGGAAGGGAATGGTTCGGTCGTGGGATTGCACGAGCGGCGAGGAGTTGTTGGTTATGAAGGGGCAGAGTGATTTCGCTGCCTCATTGGCGTACTCCCCTTGCGGTAATCGTATCGCCTCGGCCAGCGGCCAAACGGTGCAATTGTGGGATTCGTTGACCGGAGAGTGCATCTTTGTTTTGGAAGGCCACACCTACTCGGTTATGAGCGTCAAGTTTTCCCCGGATGGACGGCAGCTTGTATCAGGCAGCCTGGATAGGACGATTCGGTTTTGGGACTCAGAGACAGGAAAGCCAGGGGTCGTCTTCCGTCCTTCGTGGGAAGGGATTTACGATTTTGCCATTTCTTCAGACGGCCGATGGATAGCTTCCGGTCACGAGGATGGCAAAGTGCTGTTATGGGATGTAGTGTCCAGTAGCCCAGGTCCTGTTCTACAAGGTCACACCGACTGGGTTAGAGGAGTCGCATTCTCTCCGAACGGCCAATTGATCGCTTCTGCCAGCAAGGACCGCAAGGTGATGTTGTGGGACGCATCGACAGGAGACCTTATTTCCTCATTTGACGGTCACTCGGACTCTATAGGGGGCGTGGCCTTCTCTCCGGATGGTCTTACCTTTGCATCGGGATCTGAGGACAAGACATTGCGACTATGGGAGACGAGCTCTAGTCCCTCCACAATCGCGGTACAAAACCAGATCGGTGACGCTTCCAAAGTGGCATATTCTCCCGATGGCCTATCTATTTTCTCTTTCGTCCGCCCAGGTTTTATCCGACAAGGGGATGTCACAACAGGAGCGCTCGGATCAGTGTCGTTTGAGTTGCCGGACCCGGAGTCGATCTTTAGCCTGGAGTTTTCACCGGACGGCAGTCGGATTGCAACCGGGTGCGAGGATGGTTCAGTGCGATTCTGGGATCGCAGCACTGGCGCAGCAGGACCGGTCTTGGAGATGCATTCGAGCGCTGTGCGGTTAATTGCTTATTCAACTTGTGGTCACTGGATCGCTACTTGTGACAAGGACATGACTGTACGGTTATGGGACCTTCGTGATACGGAGCAGCAATGCGTTCTTGTTGAAAGAGGTGTAGACAATAACGACTGGATCTTTGACTTGAAGTTCTCACCAACAGGCCATCAACTTGCGGTCTGCACGGAGGCCGGAAAAGTCTGGCTTTTCGATCCACGAACAAGAGTCCTCCTGACGTCCAAGAAGCTGATGAGGAAGGCGATCGTGGCATTGGATTATTCGCCTAATGGTCACCAGCTTTCCTTGGGCACTTGGACCTCGGTTGCCTTATGGGACCTGCAATCGGATGAGACTAGTCTGGAGTTGAACGTGGCTGCCAGTCCGGTGTTCCCCTTTGGTAAAAGCGTGGCTGTTGCTTACTCGCCATGCGGTCAGTTTCTGGCATACTCCAACGCCGACTATATTGTGCATCTCTGGCACCGACATTCGACCAAAGGGAACATCGAAAGCTGGTCTTGCGCAGCTGTGCTTCGTGTGTTTCATGGTTTCATCCCGAGCCTCTCTTGGAATCCAGTTGTCCCGACGGAGTTCATCACAGCCAGCAGAGATGGGTCTGTTCGAGTATGGCGAGTGTCGAGCGATGATGGAGCGGTCGCCGTCAAGATGCTCTGGGGAACCAATCTTAGGAGGCTTTGCACTGCAGGCACGGTTCTTGAAGGTGTAACTGGCCTGAGCTCGACCCACCAGAAGTTGATATCTCAACGCCGTGCCTCTGACAAGGGTCCATCTTCAGAAGACGACTGATCAACATGGGTCTAGCGGCAAAGCTCGCTGAGGGGTCTGGAGATGAAGAGTAGCGAATGGATCTCAGCTGCCGAACAGAGAAAGGGAGGCGAACAAGTCAGCAAATACAGAAAATAAATATCATCAAGCAGTAACTTCTCTCGTTCGGGACAGTGGTGTCTCTCTCAGTGTTTATTCTCTTCGTCCTTTTGTTTTTGCATGTTTTTTTCCTCTTGCCCTTGCTTCCCACGTCATTGCATGGGGCGTGCACTTTACCCTGCCTGTTAGAACTTAGAACAATAATGGCGAGTGTGTCACTCCTGATACTCAGGAACCTTAAAATATAAGCCCCGCTCTGGAGGGTCTGGTAGTCAGAAATGGAGGCAAACGAAAGGCGACGGATGTGGGGATGGATGCGAGCCAGCCAAAAAAAATAGGAATGGCATAACTAGCTATTGTCTATTTTGGTGCGTTTGTGAATGAAGTTGGTACATTGGGTCGGGAAGCGCAACGATATCTTCGGTGACGTATTTATGCCGCCCAGTGCCCTGAAACCTGACGCGCGCAAGGGTCGCGAAATAAACCCAAACAGTTTCACACATCTCTTCTCATCACAATCCCAACAAACAAACATCTAACACAATGGCCAACTTCACCCCGAAACAGATCGCCTTCATTAAGACCAAGTTCGAGGAGGCCGACACCGACAAGAACGGCTCCCTCACCCTGGATGAGCTCACTACTTTGCTCAATACCCTGGCCGGCGGTCCTTCTCGTGAGTTCTCGGCCAGAATCTCACTCGCTCAGTTCGACAACAACAAGGACGGCCGCTTGACCTTTGACGAGTTCCTGGAGTTCGCCCCTACCGTTGCCAATTGGGAGCTTGAGTTCTAAACGAACTAGAAATGGTCGTTCATCCTTTCTTTGCTCCTTACTCCCCAAAAACAACCAAGTTGCCGTCAACCTACCGCAAGACAGATAGTTGCAACTCATGAGACCTTTCCTAGAGCTCTCACATTAAACTACTCCATGATTCGCACTTATGAATTCATCATCTCTCATCTCCCATCATCTCCAGAGTCATGTCGTAACTTCATCAACCTCTTGTTGTTGGTACACACAATCCTAACACATTTTGGACCCCTTTTCACGTCATCCTCCTCTACTGTCCCCCTGAAAGGAGAAAAAAGGGGCAGAGGAAAAAATAGAATAAAGTTTTTAAGCTGTTTTTTCTCTAACCTGCAATTTGTAGACATGCCTGTTCAAGTGAAGAAGTCAGTCTGTGTCTGAAGTGCACCTCGTATGTGAGGAAATCTAGAAGGAATTGGCTCTGGTTGGTCCTCATCACACGTCGTTTTACCCTCACGCAGCTGCAGACTGGTCATGAAAAAGACATGTTAAACAACACTGAGCGTCAGACGTGGTCCAGATTCAACAGGGACGAGACCTGTCAGGCATTCGCAGCTGCATACCCATGCTTTCTCCATCACTGCACCCTTCCAGCGTAGATGGTACAAGACATGGAGTCTGAAGAGCGCACGCCGGCATCAGATAAGGTCAACAAGACCTCATGGCTCTGTTAGATGGCGACATAGAAGATATCAACTGCGCCATATTCACGTGATATTTAAGACAAACGGTTCATAAGCCCCCCCCCCCCCCCCCCCCCTGTCGCCCCTGAATTCCAACGCCTTCTCTATTTCTTTATCCCATAACCCTCATTATGGCTCTAAAAGACAAGAACAACCGTTTATCTCTTGACGTTGTGAAAGCGTGCCCATTAATTTGACCTCGGAACACGGGATAGAAAAGGTCTCTCTCCCAGCCTCTGCACTTCCACTGAACACCTCGTTCCATAATCGATGGTTCTTACCATCTCGTTGCTGCTCACAAGACGAGATTGGAGTGCCTAACCTAGGCAAACAGATCTAACCTTCAAGCGCTGAACGCATGACTAGGAAAAAACAGAGAGTGTGGTGGCATCGAATAGCATAAATAGGGAAGGCAACCTAACCAATTGTGTGAGCTGGAGATAGGCACAGGGTGATGATGGCAGGGTAATGATAGTCGATAGTCATAGGGTGATGATGCTCACTTTGTCCCTTGTGGCAGCGAAGTGTAAGGGTCCTTGAAGAATGATATCCCCGTAAAGTGTAGCTGCTGTCGTCTAGTTTGTCAATTGTACATTTTTCCAAGTACCAGTCCTTCGAATCTGTGGGCGAAGGATGGGAAGAAGAGCGTGTGGAAAGTAGACAAGGGGAAGATATATGTGCCAAGAACAGTAAGAATAGGACTTGTCTTTTTGATTGCCTTTCTTTCGTTTTGTCCACGACTTGGTTGCGTATCTCGGTAGGATATCCGTGCCATGGATGTGTTTGGGCCTCAAATCTCTTATGAGCGGAGGGTACTGCGGGCATGCATAAAAGGCTCTCCATACCAAATTTAGTCAGCTTTCTTTTTTCTTTGCTCGCCTGTTACACAGGGAACGTTTGACGTTATGACAGCTTAGCATCAAAGTTGACACCAGTCTTGGCATCAACATTGAGAGCATTCTTGGCGGATGAGTCGACGAGATAAATGTTCCGGCACCTCCATTTTTGGGCAAAATACTGGCCAAGAAGCCGACAATGCCACAATGTGAATTTTTTTGACAACAGCCCTACTTGGACTAGAAACCATAATAACGTATTCTATCAAGCGTACGCTCTCTTTTCCGTCTCTTGGGCTTGGGGCGCACTGAAGATCCCAACTGCACCTTTTTTTCTTACAACACTCGGTCTATAGAGTTCACGTCCGCCTTCTACAATTTAACTCTCGGGGTTTGCGGCCATACGTACAGCTATCCGCTCGGAGGTGTGGAGCCAATTTTTGAATGCGCCCCGAGAGACTGCTTAGAAAGCAGCTGTTGTGGTGATTCTCTGTGGTGCCATGTAGACGGCATTGGGCTCATGAGTGCTAGCGTGTCACGATAGCCCTACCTGCTGTCCAAGCCTGGGACATTCTCGAACAAATGCTAACAGCCTGTGTGATCGCGAAAAATACATATTCGTGGGAATAATTCCACTGGCCAATCGGCGTGGTCCCGAACACGATTACCTCTGGAACTTTAACTGGGAAAGTATAAAAAAGGCGCTCTTTTCCCTACTCTTTCAACAATCCCATCCACCACACTCGACATTTTACAAGACATGACTGTTCCCGCTCTCATTCCAAGAAAAGCCATATTCGGCAACCCCACTCGCTTGCAACCCTATATCTCTCCTAACGGCAGACTTCTCGCTTATATCGCTCCAAAGGATGATGTTCTCAATATCTGGGTTGCTCCCATTGATGATTTAAAGAACGCTAAATGCATCACAAGCGACACAAAGCGCGGCATTAGACAATTCAACTGGACGTACAACAACCAGATCGTGTACGTCCAGGACAAGAATGGAGACGAAGGCATGTCAATCTGTCTCGACTTGATGAAATTCGTTTCCTTTGATTCTTTTATCATCCCTCTTTCTTACACAAGTCATTCGATTTCCTTTCATTTTTCATAGACTGGCAAACCTACCTGGTCGACATCGAAACGGCTCAGGTTCGTAACCTCACCCCATTCGAGGGTACCACGAGTACCCCAATCAAGTTTTCACTTGCTCGTCCCAACGAGATACTCATCATGCTGAATAAGCGTGACCCTTCAGTGTTCGATCTCTACCTTGTCGACCTGACCACAGCTGAGTTGGAGTTGATTGAAGAGAACACCGGGAACTTCAGCGACTGGCACTGTGCGGAGTAAGTGTTCTCAGTCAATCGTTCGGTGTGAAAATCAGCCATACACCCATTTTATTAATTTATCTTTTTTTTTTCTTGCAGTGATCTTAAAGCTCATTTCACAGTTCAAGTGCAACCTGATGGTGGCAAGAGTGTTCTCCAAAAGAACAAGAACACTGGAAAGTGGGAACCATTCCTCACCTGGGAATTCTCAGATGCAGTTAGTGAATTCCATTCACTCAACAAGGATGGAACCAAAGCCTACTTGCTGGATAGTAGAGGACGCGATAACAAGGTAAGGATACAATAGGCTCTTTGTCCTTGAATACTCTCTGTGACTCGTTATAGTATTTCCCCGAGTTTAATACTAACATCCATTGATCTGTGTTAACTTGGGCTATTATTCTTTTTCGTAGGCTTTGGTAGAGATAGACTTGACGTCTCAGGACAAGGTTCTCAGACTTCTTGGAGAGTCTCCTAACGCTGCCGATATCAAGGATCTTTTCAAGGACCCCAAGACCGGAAGTCCTATTGCTTTCAACGCCCAGCACGCCACCACAAAGTGGTGTGTTCTGGACGCTACTTACAAGAAGGACTTCGAATACCTCGAGGAGACGTTTGCAGGAGAAATCGACATCGCCTCACAGTCTCTCGACAATTCCAAATGGGTCATTACCCAGAACACTGCATCTGGCATTCAATACCACATCTATGATCGCGGAACAACATCGACAACATTCCTGTTCCATTTTAATGACGAGCTGCTCCAGTATTCCCTCAACAACATGCACCCTGTTGTGATCAAGTCCCGTGATGGCCAAGACTTGGTTTCGTATTTGACGATCCCAGACCATCTTGAGGATCCTAAGCGCCCCGGTCGTCCCATTCAACCTATCCCGCTTGTTCTCCGCGTCCATGGTGGCCCTTGGTGGAGAGACAGCTATGGATTTAGCCCAGAACACCAATGGCTCAGTAACCGTGGCTTCGCTGTCTTGAGTGTGAACTTCCGTGGTTCCACCGGCTTCGGAAAGAATTTCGTGGAGCTCGGAAACGGACAGTGGAGCAAGGATATGCACACAGATCTTATTGGTAAGCAAACGTGGCATAGATGATGAGCTTTGTTAATGCGTTCGAAGACTCAATCGAACTAACAGGTCGTTGCTTTTTTTTTATTCCCATCAACTTCAGATGGCGTCGAGTGGGCTATCACTGAACGAATTGCAATCCGTGAGAAGGTGGCCATTTATGGTGGCAGCTATGGAGGCTATTCCACGCTTGCCGGTCTGAGTAAGGATTACTGCATATCGCGCCCGACATGTCAATGGAAAGATGAGCTTGTATAGGTTAATACTCACGTTGCCCTGATCATTTTCTCCTCTCAAAAAACTAGCTTTTACTCCTGATGTGTTCTGCTGCGGTGTGGATATTGTTGGTCCCAGTAACATCATCACTCTTATGGAAACTATCCCACCCTACTGGAGTGCCATGTATCGGCAGCTGGTCCTCAGAATTGGCGGAGATCCTAAAACTGAGGAAGGACGGAAGTTCCTCACTGAGTGCTCACCCTTGACTCACGTCGACAAAATCAAAAAGCCCTTGCTTATTGGTCAAGGTGCTAACGATCCTCGTGTGAAGCAAGCCGAGTCGGATCAGATCGTTGATGCCATGGTGGCGAGGAACATTCCAGTTGGATATGTCTTGTTCTCGGATGAGGGTCACGGATTCGCTCGCCCTCCCAACAAGATCGCATTCAATGCCATTAGCGAGAGGTTCTTGAACAATCACCTCGGTGGAAGACGTGAGCCCCATGGAAACGACTTTGAGGGAAGCACAGCAAATATCTTGCGAGGAAAGGAGGATTTGCTGGATTAAGGGTCCATCAATAGCGACTACGACAAAGCATGTTCCATGACCTCTGGCTCCCCTCTTCTCCCTTTGTTTTTCTCTATCTTTTCTCTTCACCTTCCCAATTCTCATACAATCCCATCTTTAAATAAAATTATGAGGTACTCCGTCCGTGCAACGTCCTTGACTACTTCAAGCCATTTACGAGATTGAATCATTGATCACTCACTTATTGTTGACCACATCAAAGGGTTCCCCAGTTGTTGGGGGTGTTTCTCCTTCTATTATTATTACTTGTTGCCGCTGGATGTCATTGTTTTGCTTCTGTTAGTTTTTGTTGCTTTTGCAGTTGTGGGTTGTATAACCAAGATGACCTTTCTAATATACTTTTGCCTATACCAATATCAAACGAACGAAGGATACTTTGCATTCGTCATTCATATGATGTGCCGACGACCGATAACAAAAGAAAAAATAAATGGTAGGGATGGTTCATCCAATTTTTCAAAGGTCAAACAAAAGCAACAAATGGCTGTCCTACCGTCCCTTTCTAATAACAAAAGAAGTAACCACACTTTTTCCTGCTCAACATATCCACAACAGCCAGATGCCTCTTTATCTTTTTTTATTTCTTCTTTCCTTCCTTCCTCTCGTCCAACACACGTTTTCGTCATTCACACAGCAACATCCATTCGCACCTCTTCTTTATCACCACCCCCACCCCTCTCACCAACCCACCTATGATGCCACCGACCATAGTCTCCCCCATCCAAGCCGCAAGTCTGGTTATTTCTGACGCCGAGATGCCGCCGCGTATCATGTATCCTTCTGATTCCCTCGCTGCCGCCCCACAAGCCCTTGTCAACGACACCGTATCGGTAGGTCCCTTTGGCGGCCCCTGGCACCTAGAGAAAAAGATCACAGACCCAAGCCTGATCGAGCAGCATTTGTCTTCCTCAGAGGACCACTCCATGTCTGTCTCTGAACCTGTACTCGTCCAAGTCACCACCGAGGAGATCTTAAACCCAGACCCGATCGTGCATGCTTCGCCCTCCTACTCAGAGAACCGTTCCTTGACCGTCTTGTCCACCGGACCCGCGCTCGCGCAGACTACCACCGAGGAGATCTCAGACTCAAGCTCGATGGAGTACACCTCATCTTCCTCAGAGAGTCGCTACTTATCCTTCCCCCTACCTTCGCTCTCTCAAAGGGCCACCACGGAGGAAGAGGCGATGGAGGAGTTCGATTTTGAATACACCTCGTCCTCTGGCCACGTCTTATCCACCCCTGCCCCCGCCACCTTCATGGAGAAAGAGGAGGATGGGGAAGATGAGTTCATTGGTGCTGAGGATCATCCTGTACCCCAAGTGGCGTTGCCAGAGTACGACCCAAACGACCCTCTTTGGATGTACATCGACACCTGGCTGAACCAACTTCCGAACACTCGAATCCCGGATCCCTTCGTCCACGTCCCTGCCCAGTACCATCATAGTCTCGAGACTTTACTCAACTCTGTTCTCCCCCCGTCGTTGCCGTCGCACCAAGTCCAAGATGGTGGCATGAATTCGACCTCGAACAATAGTCCTACGCCTTTAGGAGTGCATCCGAAAGCTCAAGGTCCCTCCGCCGTGCTCAGTCCATCGACACCGACACCAATGACTGTGGATGACGACGGCTCGTTGATGCTGTCAACCCCGCCGGGGTCATGGAACAGTGTGTGGACGATAGGCGAGGACGATGACCCAGATGCTCCCTACCAACAAGACTCGATGCCATGTAATCAGTATATGGCGGCGAGGGTGTTGGGTCAGTTTGAGGTTGATTATGATGAGCATTGTGCGGACGACATTCAACACCTTGACGATTTCCAGAGTGAGGAGGAATGAGGATAACAAGGTGATGGAGATGTAGGTGGGCGGTGTCGAATGAAGGTGTTATTTTTTGTTTTGATATCATAGTATCTTGAATAGCCATCAAGTCTTTCTTTCATTCCTTCGTTCTTATTTTTTCATTCATTTTTCTATCATTCTTTCTTTCTTGTTTTCAGTATAAAGCTTGAATGTTTACCAAAGCAAAGGAATAACGACATAGAGCAGCGGGCAAAAAAGGAAGGAATCATCATACCCCACACACTCACACACACAAGGAAAGCAACGGTTCCTGAAAACATGTTAATTGATTAATCTCTTATTACCGATCTCATTCAGCGGCTCCCGAGTTGTTGGAATATCTCCTTCTATCTTTGAACCTGTGCGTTTTGGTACTGGTGTTCCTGCCCTTGTCCTCGCAAGTTGTTGTTTTTATTGTTGTCTCTATTGTTGTTTTTGCATTTGTTGCCTTGTAGTTTGTTGTTATGTTCTGTTGTTGATTGTAAAAAATAGGATGAACTTGCTAATAATACCTCTCCGCTCCAAACCACCTTCATCCACATTGTTTTTACCCGTGTCGCTACTATGTTACACTCTACCCTTCGTCAAACGATGAAAATGTTTGTTGCATTCGTGATTCAAATGAATATGGACGATGGACAACAGAGAGGCGATAAATTAACGCAGCAAAGGATGGTGCACTTGTGTGTCTCTTCTTCTGCACGCAATTGTCTCCTGGTCAAATAATTATTGCAACAAACGGCCTGTCCACTCGATCTATGTCGAAACAAAAGCCTCATTCCAACAATGACGAGGAACATCATCGCCTTTCCTTGCTCAGCATACTTATAATAACTAGATGCCTCTTTCCTTCTCTTTTTTTTATTCTCTCTCCTTATTTCTTCATCTTTGTTGTTCAACACCCATTTTTTTCGCCATCCCACACAGTGACATTCATTCACATCTGATCTTGTTTCTACAACAATATCCACTCACACCTTTTATTCAACCTCTATCCACCCACCTACCCAGCTATGCCGCTGCCGCTACTCTCCTCTATTCAAACCGCAATCAGGATTGTTTCAAATGCCGTGATGCCGCCGCGTAACCTGCTTCCGTCCTACTCCCTTGCTGCCGACCCACAAGCATTCGTCAACGATACCGTCTCGGTAAACCCCTCTGAGGCCCCCCTGGAACCCATCGACGAGACCTCAGCCCACGACCCGATTGAGCATTCTTCGTCCTCCTCCTCCTCCTGCTCCTCCGCAGAGGGTCGTCTCGCCGGTCATGCGCTTGCTCCGAGAGCTTGTATGGAGGAAGACGAAGAGGGAGAGAAGGAGGAAGGGGCGATGAAAGAGTTCGATTTTGAGTACACCTTGACTGCCTCAGAGGGTCCTTTCTTATCCTACCCCGCCACCTCGAAAGAAGGTGAAGAGGATTTATTCGACGCCGAGGATTATCCTGTACCCCAGGTGAACTTGCCCAAGTATGATCCAAACGACCCTCTTTGGATATACATCGACACCTGGCTGAAGACCCCTGAACTCCCTGACCCCTTCGTTCACGTTCTAGCCCAATACCACCAGAGCCTTGAGACTTACCTCAACACTATCCTCGCGCCGCCGCCGCCGCAAGAAGAAGCTGATAATAACGCCGATTCGTCCTCGCGCCATGATTCTGTGCCTCTGGGAGAGGATCCGAACACTCAAGGCCCTACCACCTTGCACGGTCCAGCGACACCGGCACCAATGACTGAGGATGTTGATGACCTGTTCAGGATCCCAACCAGGCCGGGGCTGTGGAGTGCTTTGTGGGTGATGGGCGACGACGACGACGACGACGAGGTTCCTGATCTACGAGATGGTTCTGCGCAAGTCCATTAGCAGGCGGTGGAGTACCTCTTGCAACAGTTTGAGCAGGGGTAAGGAGAGGATGAGTGATGGAAACGGCGATGGAACTGTAGGTGGATGGTGTACGTTTTCTTTTCTTTCCTTTCCTTCAATGTAGTATACTGGACCTGCGCTTCTCTTTCTTCTCTTCTCTTTGTACAAATGCTATTTTTCTTTTGTTATCATAACATGTTTTTTTGTCTTTCCGTAGTTCTTCTAGCCTGAGCAACAATAGAGTAGTAAGAATTGGCCAAAAAAGGAAGTTGATCATCACAGACCTCATACTGCTCACACAAGAAGCACAAAGGTTCCCGAAAAATGGAAAAGACAAAGGCGTTTGGTGGATCACTTATTACTGATCACTCCCAGAGGTTCCCAAGCTGTTGCAATACTTCCTTTATTATTGACAAGCACTGGTACCTTTGGTATGATGATGTTGATTCCCTTGTTCCGTCTATTGCTGCTGTTGCTTTTGCTCAAACAGGATGGACCTTCTCATGATACCCTTTTCCTTCAAACAACCCACATCCATATACTTTCCGCCCATGTCGCTACCATGTACCAACATCGTATTCTCTAATAATGAAAGATGGTTGCATTCATCCCCCATATGTTATATGGACAACCGACAACAAGAGAAAAGTAACATGGTAAGGATGGTCTATACCATGTCCTCCAAGGCAAACAAAAAGCAACAAATGGCTATCCTCTCATCCCTTTCTAACAACAAATGAAGAGGGAATAACACCTTGTCTTTGCCCTACATAGCAATAACAACCAGCCGTCCCTCTCTTTCTCTCTTTTTTTCTGTATTTCTTCCTTGTCGTTGATTCCTACACACCAACGTCCATTCTCACCTCTTCTTGTTTCAACAAAAACTTTCACTCACACCCTTTCTTCATCACCCAACCCCCCGCTGGGAGCCATGGACTGGTATTTTTGGGGTCGACGACAACGGCGAGATCCTTCCTCCCCAACAAGGCCAACAAGGCTGAGCGCTATCATGAGCAGTTGATGGAGAGTGTTTACCTTCTAGAGCATGAGGGGAGGAGGGGAGCTCTAAGCGGATGGATGGTCTCCAGTGGAGCGTGTTATGAATGTTTTGATATCTATTTTTTTTTTTTTTTTTTTTTGTTGGACTTGACTTTTTTTCTTACTTTAGTGTCATGTCCTTTCTTCGTCAACCGTTGGAAGGGGACAAGGAAAGGGAGACAACGACTACACCCACACCCAACCTCACTAAAAGCACACCTGGTTCCTGAAAACAAAGGCAAAAAAAAAAAAAAAAAAAAAGGTGGGCGCGGATAGATCGATCAATTCCTTATCGATTAAAAAAAAATCCAGACTTTCCAGAACTGTTGGTATCTCTCGTTTATTGAAGAAGTATTGGTATGGTTGGTATGATAGTGTGTTTTTGGAGTTCCTGGTTCCCGCAAAGTTTGTTGTTTTTTTTTGTTGTTGCTTCCTAGTTCTTTAAGCTTCCTTGACCTTCTCGCGCATAAGGTTTTCAGAGTACGCCCACAACTTTTCCTGCAACTCCTCGTCCAACGCATGCGCGTCTATCAAATAAGAGACAAAGAAAAAAAAAAGGAGGAAGGGTGAGCAAACACGAACAGAACCTAAACAATAAAACAAGCAAATCGCAAAAAGCAAAAAAAAAACTTACTAGGACGAAGCTCATTCCCCACAGGAACAAAATACAACCCTCTCAAATCCCTCTCAACAACTTCCTCACTCGTGGCCAACCACAACTGGTTCAAAGCGCCCACCTCAGGTTTGCTCGCACACATCCGTCCCGCCAAATCATAAACACCTGCCGCAACAACTCCCATACTATCCTTATTATTCCTGGCAAGCTCCGTGTACACGAACCCAGGGTGTGGCATATTCACCCAAACCCTCTCCTTGGCCAGTCGACGGGCGAGGGCTTTTCCAAAGAGGATGTTGGCGAGTTTGGAGCGGCCGTAGCGGGAGGCAGGGTTGGAGGCGGAGCGGTCGTTGAGTGTTTCAAAGTCGATGCCGTGTTTTGGAGTGTGTTCGTGGCCGATGGAGGAAAGCATGACAATTCGGGAGGGTTGCGAGGCGATGATCCTGTCGAGGAGGCCCATCGTGAAGACGAAGTGTCTATGTTATCATATTTTGAAGAGGAAAAGGATGAGTGATATTAAATGGGCGAAAGGGGAGTAAGGGGTTAAGGGAAAAGATGGACGATTAGCATGTGTGGCTTAAAAATAGTGTGTTGAGCGGGAAAAGAAATGCGACAGTGGGAAAAAAAAAAAAAAAAAAAAAAAAAGGAACGAAAATCACAGACGAAAAGAAGACTGGACATACCCCATGTGGTTGACAGCAAACTGCTGTTCAATCCCATCAGCACTCAACGCAAACGGACTGGTCATAATCCCTCCATTGTTGATCAGAATATGCAACGCCAATCCCTTCTCCAGAAACTCCTTCGCAGCTCGAGAACAGCTGTTCATATCGTTCAGATCCAACTGCAAGAACTCCAACTTGGGCTCCACAGCGTTGCCATCCTTGTCCTTGAGGTACTTCGCGGCCGCGATCGCCGCCTCAGTAGGACCCTTGCCGGTTGGAGAAGAAGTGGCGCTGGTGGTGGTATTGCTGGCAGTGGTAGTAGTAGTGGTGGGGAAAGAAGCGGCCCGAGAAGAACCCCTAATCTCTACTTTCGCCCTTTCAATCGCCTCCAACGCCTTATCTTTCGACCGACAAGCGAGGAAGACATGTGCACCGTGGGACGCGAGGGCGACGGTGGTAGCGTATCCGAGGCCAGAGTTGGCGCCAGTGACGATGGCGACTTTCCCGGTCAGGTCTGGGATGTCCTCTGTAGTGAATTTGGTCTTCTGGACGAGAGTTTTCCAGAACTGTGGGTTGAATGCTACGTTTGTGTATGGCATCTTTGTTTTTTCCTTGTGGTTGTTATCTGGTAGTGGTGGGTGGGAATAGGGTTGAGGTTGTCCTGTACTGGGAGGAGTAGAGATGTGTCGTGTTGTTGGATGCTGTTGAACGGTGTCGGTGTAGTGTTGAAGAGTAAGAAAAAGAAGGAAAGAAAAAAAGTGGAAAAGGTGCGTCCCTGTGCTCATATTTATGCAATTGCGACCCACACAGTTCACCCACCACACAGCATGGCATGATTCTCCCGATCCAAAAACAACTCAACACCCTATCCCATGGCATGGACCCCCTTCTCCCTCTTTCATGCGGTGTGCGAAAAAAAAAAAGATTTCTCAAATGGAGTTCTGGACAGCAGGAAACGCCCATCCAGGAAGCAATAATGACGAGCAAGAAAAGGGCTCAAATATATGAAATTTCCCTCTTGTCTAAATGGGTCATAACCCTCATCGATCGCTTACATCACAACCACCTGTGCTTGCATGCATCGCCGTAAAAATAAAAAGAAATACAGCCTGGTGCATGCTCGCTCGTTCACAAGGTTTGTGCGAATAGGCTTCTTTATCACATTTAGAGAACCATAAGAAACCCCTTTTCACAAGGCTGCCTTGCGTGTTCAGACACAAGAGAAAAGAAAATGAAAGAAGCATCATGAAAGAGATCGAAGGCAGAGTTAATACCAACTTTGACGATCGAGTATCAAAATAATGGTTCTTTCCTTTTGCCTTCTGAGCACTTTTTCCCAAGGTCAACTAACACATGAAAAATAATATCGATTCTCGTGCAACGCATTAGGTCCACGCAAGCATGTATTTCCTCCTAGGAGAAAACACTACCTAATACCTACAACTCTCGTGGCCCGTCGCCGTAGATGGCTTTGACGATCGGGAACCTCAGACTCCACACGACATCCCCACCGTCCCCTTTATCCTCATCCACGTCCTTGTCGTCGTCAGCACTTTGACCGATCGAAGATGAAGTCGACCTGACCCTACTAGGACTCCTGTACACCCTATCATTCACATTCCCAGAACCGGCCTCGTCATCACTCCTACCACCACTGCTCACATTACCAGCGGTGGAGGAATACGTCTTAGATTCTTCAAAGTACTTGACGGTAATAGTCTTGCCAACGATCAGACTAGGATCTTTGCCGAACCGGATCCGCTCCTCGGCAGAGAACCCAGACCCGACGCCGACTCTGTTGCCTCGATGGACAACTGTGACGCTGGTGAGGCAGTAGCGTTCTTTAAATTCGCCGTTGAGTGGGAGACGCATTGTTCCCAATGTTGCTTCTTCGACGATGAATTCTGCTTCCTGGAACTCTTTGAATTTGAGCAGGTTCCGACTAGTGAAGAAAAGGTGAGAGGGGTACATGGATTAGAGCAGAGAGACAACTGCATGCTTAAGTAAGGGATGTAGAGAGCGTTTAGGTTACCTGCGTTTGCCTTCGTAGCCAACGTTCTTTCGGAGGACGACACCCTCCCATCCGCGCCCAACACTTTGGGTGACCATCTTCTGCAGCTGCTCAAACGACTCGACCTTGGTCTGGCTCAAGACCTTGACAAGTCCACCACTTTCCTGTACACCCTTGGACTGCATCAATGCTCGGGTCACACCTCCAATCCTGTCCAACAATGGTCGTGCTCCTTCCCGATCCTTGAATTCCTTGTCTGTCAGACAATCAAATATACAGTAGATAGGCCGATCGTACTCCAGGTTCATTTCCTCTGAACCGCCAACTGGTGATGTTGTTGTCGATTTGTCCTTGGAGAGCCTATCGTCGTCAGCATCAAGTGAATTCTCGATGGCGCCTCGCGTTACAAAGGTGATCGCCTTGGTGAATTGCTCCCTGCCCAGACCATCCTCTTTCAGCAAGCCAACAAGGACTGGTGACGGTGGCGACGATGACGACGATGATTGATTGTTCCCTGGCGGTTGTTCCTGAACCGGCTCCGCCATAAACACACACATCTCGCCATCCAAAACGAGCGCTTCTGGCAACGCAGACCCGTCCTTGCCAAGCAGTCCAAATGCTTGTCTAAAGAACTCGTCCCGACCTTGAGTCTCATCGTTACTTTGTCCCATTCTCATAATCGAACGGAACGCATCCTGGATCTTGCCCAAGCCGTCAAACTCACGTCCAGCTCTAGACAGTGTCGTGATATTTCCTGTTTTCCGATCAATCCGCACCAGACACCGCACGCCGTCCAGTTTCCGCGACCCAAGCCACTCTGCGTTGTCAATATTTGGATCCGAGGCCGCCATCTTTGGCTTCTTGCCTTTTGTTGTTTTCTCGATTGATTTCGTCGCCTTTTCAAACAGCTCACGCGCACTCTCGAGCGGCATGTGCTTGCCCAGAGCCACATGGAACCCGGGCAACAACAACGACGGAAACGCCTCCCGGATCAACGCAATCCCGCATCCAGCCTTGAGGTTCTTGTCCAGGATCTTGAGAAGGAGTTTCGATCGTGGAGTTGACAATAACGTCGCCATCGCACGATCGTAGGATCCTTCTGGCGATGAAATGGAGTCGAGCGGTTCGAATGATGATCCAGAACCAGGTCCGCAGAATCGATCCATGAATGTCAGAATAGCGTCCAGTGATGCGTGACCAACGATGGACCTGGACGAAAGAGCCTCCAAAAGTGAAGGGAGAGTGTCGAACTCCTGCCCTGACTGAGCTGCCTTCGATTTTACTCCGGACGGATGTTCCGTTGTAGGCAACGACGACCCCGGTCCTGCTCCCCCGTCAAAATCAGACGCCCCACCACCGGCAACAACAGCAGCCTTGGCCGCCGCAAGTGCCTCATCCTGCTGCTTGGCCCAACGCTGTGCATACTTGACAATATTGGCAGGACGGACATAGAACTGCCGTTGCGGGTCATAGATCCATGCCAGCAGTGGTGCCTGTTCGGGATGTTGGATCAGGATATCGCGTTTTGAGACCAGAGCGTTGGTGGAGAGGAGTTGGTCGACAAGGGCCTGTAGTCTGTCCAGGTCCTGGCGAGGCTTTGTCTTTGAGTGTTTGTAGTCTGGGACCTCGACAGAGGAGGCGGAGTTTGGGGGTAGGGGTGTGCTGTTGGTTGAGGAAGGCTTTCTATTGCTCGTCGTTGTCTTTTTGCTGGTTGGTGTTGCTGAGGAGGGTTGTGTTGTTGATGATTCTTTCGATGGGGATGGGGATGGGTTCTTCTTCTTAGTTGATGCTAATGTTGAAGCTGAGGTCGACAGTCCTCTGCATGAGGAGAAAGTTGGTTTCCGGTGGTGGATGTAGTTGTTGGTGTTGGAGACGACAAGGGGTGATGCTGTGAGGTGAGTGCGTGTTGTTGTTGTTGTTGATGCCGATTGAGATCTCACTGCAAGTCCTCCTCCTGATCGTAGTCTTCCTACTCCAGAAAGGGATACTGATGCCGAGGGTGACCTGAGGAGGCATCGAGTGCAGATGGTGCATGTCCTGGAGTACATTGTTTGTCGTTATGGTCCTTAGGAATGTGTTAGTGGACTGGAGAGAAAATAAAAAGAAGGCTGCCACGAGAAACTGAAGTTGATGACTGTGTGTGACCTTTATTTTTTTAATCGCGAGAAACAGCATACCATACCACGCCACATAGCGATAATGATGGATCCATGATCAGCCGCAGCAAGGGTCAAAGGGTTAAAAAGATCAGTGCTGATCTTCGGGTGCCAGTTAGCTGGGGGCCAAGATGATATTTGCTTGGCCCTGAGTCACCATTAAAGGGAAGGGTTCTAATCACTGATCTTTGGTCCGAACGCGTTCGTGTTCACAATCGCGTCTTTACGAGTGCATCTCGTTGCTCATTTGTCAAACCTTTTTAATCCCTCGTGCTATTCTCATGTAAAAGCCATGGGAGAACGGTCAGCATGAATTTCCTACACGTGACTCAGGCCCATCTCCATTCTCCAGAAAGGTCTAGACCCAGAAAGTGACGACAAACGAAGAGGCGGTGAGGGGCAACTCTCAGCGTTGAGTTAGACTTTTGAATAGCAACAAAAAGAACTACAAGTGAAGCCCATTGGTACACCTGTTGGTTGAGTCTCAACCTCGGCTCTTTGAGCACTTCCAATTTAGGCCACACGTATTCCGATACATGGCGTTTCCAGCTTCCGATTACAGTAGAATGATTGACCTGGGCTGTTGTTTTTAAGGCGTGTGGGTGGGTCATGCATTTTATCTCCACCCTGGCGCTTATGAGAACGAAAGAAAGGAAATGCAAAGAAGAGACCCTTGCCTGGTCTGAGAAAGAAAAAAAATAGCCTCATTGATTTGCAACAGCCCAGGCAAAAAGGGTAAAGGATGAACTCCATGAACTGCAAAAATAAAAAATGAACCAATGGATCGCCGGCTGTTTGTCCGATGATGATGATGATGATGATGATGATGATGATGCTGGGTGGTTAATAACGATAGTAATTGCAATAATAATGCCTCACTCTGGCGGGCGCTGGAGTGTGACGAGAGATGGGGATCTACGCCGTGATACGATAGAGAGTCAAGGAAGAAGTAATCTGTATGCTACCTTGTCTGGTTGTCCCTGAATCGTTCTCATTCAACCCACCCCGCCAACAACCCAACAACAGAACCAGCTTCAAAAGGAAATTTGAGTCCAGCTGGTATTATTATTACACTCTTCCACACACACACTGCAGCCTGTCCCTCCTACTCTATTTTTCGCCTCTCCTTCCTTACTCGTCCCTCGGATTCATCATCCTCCCTCTTTTTCATTCATCTTTTTTTTTTTTGTTTTCTTTTCTTTTTCTTCTTTTCATCATTTCTCTTTCTCTATCCTCTATCCCCTCTCATAAGGATATCATCATCGTCATCATCCCCTTTCAACAAGCAACACTGCCATTCGTTTCTCTCTTTCTTCCTTATTGTCCTCATCACCTCTCATCCCTCTCTACATTCGCCTACTTCGTTCATCACGAAAACAACAAAGACATTGGACGCCTCCCCTTTCTCTAAACACTCATCCTCCAATCAATTCTTTTCAAATGTCCTCTATTCACAGAGACACATATAACAACAATCCCGAGACAAAGGTCACCACAAGACAAGACGACCACCAATACCATCACCGTCAACAGCAGCACTCCTCGTCGTCCTCTTCCCCCTCGCCTTCTCCTCCCTTACCTTCAATGACACCCTCTTCATACAACCATAACCACACCCGTGGTGTCAACCCGCCCCTACCTTCTTCTTCTTCTTCTTCAGGCTCTCCATCTGTCCTCCCTGTCCCAACTATACCTTCCAGGCCATCTCCTCCTTACCCCCACCGTCACAATCATCCTTACCACCTAGTTGCGCCTCCTCCTCCTCCTCCTCCATCTACCCACCATATGCAACACCAAGGCCAACATCAATTCTATAGTGCACATCATAGTCAACATGAACTCAATCGGCACCATCCTCATGACTCTCCCTCTTCTGCACGCCAGCGTCCACATCCTTCTTATCCCGACTCTTGGTCCTCATACGCTTCTCAGGCTTATCAACATCATCACCACTCAAATTCACACGCGGGCCCTTCACAAACAAGAGTCTCCCACTCTCACCCGTCGCCATCATCTTCTTCTCGGTCGCCTGCACCCCTAAGCTCTAGATCCTATCAACACAGTCATGGGGAGACAAGACGACTGTCGCATTCTTATCAGTCTCATTCTACCCATCCAAGCACAGCCTCGGCCGCTGTCTCAGCGCCATCTCACCCACATCCACATCCAAGCCCGCCTCAGGTGCAGCTTCAGTATGGCTCTCAACTGTCCCGTCCAAAAGTCCATCCTTCCGTCGAGGCAGAGCGCGACAAAGATTCTGCCAAACCCGAACAAGCGCCCTATTCCGATGCTCATGATGACGAATACCAAGAAGCAAAAGAAGAAGAGATGGATGAGAACCGCCCCAAAGTCAGGTTTGTCACAAATATCCGTATCAGACCCCAAAGGGTTTAAGAGAGCGAAAAAAGAGAGACGAAAAAAAAAGGACACCAGCTGGACAAAAATAAAAAAGGGAAATTGGGGGAGTGTGTGAGTCGGAAGTAGAGAGGCCGGCGGGCAGAAAAGTGCATAAAAAAAGAGAGCACAAAACAAAGAGGTGTGGTGCGGGCTGTTGCATTTTACCACAAATAACCATAAAACAACCCCTGATTGGGTTGGATTACCTTAATTTGTTCCTTGTTCCTTCAACAGAACGCCCTGCCTAAATGTCAATCTTGAAATGAGAAAAAAAAAAAAAAAAAAGTTGAGCGGAATAGTGAGTGAAAAAAGAGCAAATCAGCGAATCAGTGGTGAGGATGGCCCACACATCCATTTGATGTTGTCGTGCAACCTCAAGCAAGAAGACAGATAAACGATTGTTTGTGCGTGGCTTGCTCTTCGTTTTTATTACCTTTTTACGCCGATTGAGCACTTTTGAGCAGAGAGGGTGAGAGGTGGACAATTAACATACCATACCCAGATAGGGACAACTATATTGACACTACCAGGACGCTGAGGGGAAGCAAAGCACTACCCTATTATAGACACAGCCGACAATTGGGTTGCCTTCATGCGAAACATATATATTGCCTTCTACTAAAGTACGCCCACTTCCTTTTTTTCATCTCTTCCTCTCTGAACGTCTTTTGCATCCCACTCCACATTTCCCTCCCCTAACATGAAAATGCCACCTATTAGCATCAATGCAATTGCTGCACCTTCAAGCTCCACGCCCTCCCCAAATCCAACAGACTGCACTGCATCAGCCCCCGTCACAAGGACACCACCACATTTGTCAAAGGGACCAACACATCGAGCAACGATCAAGATTGTCCAGCAGCCGCTCCATGCACGGATGTGTGGATTTGGCGAGAAGGATCGTCGGCCGATTGATCCTCCACCAATTGTCCAGCTGATCATCTTGGACGAGCCCGACTACAATGAGGTCAAGGCTCCCCCTAAACCAATTGCCCCTGTCAAGCCACGGAAGAGTAAGCGCAAGGGCGCAAAGCGGGGTCGGAAACCGGGCAAAAAGACCCTGGAACGAATTGCTGCTGCTGAAGCCGCTGCTGCTGCTGCCGCTGCCGAGGCTGCTTCTAGGAGTTTGGAGGAGGAAGAGGAGGAGGAGGGCGAGGACGACAATGACGATATCGACCATGGTGATGTGCTTCAGACGCCAGGACATGCCCGGGACCTGAAGGACAAGCATCCTTCCTCGGACTCTGGGATTCCCTCCCCACCACAGCCTCGGCGTCGAGGTCGACCCTCCCGCGCCAGCATTTCAGAACTTCAATTGGCAAGCAGGAAACACGGTCGCGACCTTGACAAGAAGGAGGAACCCAACGCAAATGAAGATGACGACGACAGCGACCAAGAATGGCCCCGATACGAAGGAGGCGCAGAGGCTCTCCAACAAGACCCACTATACATCCTCCAAGTCTCATTATGGTCCGAGGATGGCACCAAGGTTCGGAACATGATTGCGACCCCGGGACAGACAGACCCTCCACGGCTGACCAGGATCCTGATGGGCGCGTTGGTGGTTTCGCCCACATTGCTTCTCAACGAGGATAATCAGTTGGGGTGGTATTTCAGTTTCCCTGATCTCAGTGTCCGTACCGAAGGTGTTTACACCCTCAAGTTTTCTCTTATGCAGTTCGCAAAGTACGTGTGTTTTTTTTATATTTGTTTTTTGTTCTCGGATTAATCTTTTTCACTTTTTCTCGCTTTAGCAGTTTCTGTACTCACGGTTGCTCTCTCTCTCTTTGCCCGCTAACTAACGTCCATTTATGTCTCCGCTGAAATCTGTTCTGTCATTAGTTTTGAATTCGACGAGAAGGGTGGGAGCTATGCATCAATACTGATCGCAGAGGAGACGAGTGAGCTTTTTACTGTCTACTCAGCCAAAAAGTTCCCAGGAATGACAGGTACATCACACAATCAATCCCCCCCTCCCGTTTCTAATTTATTCCTCGCACCCACGACACCGATCAATTGCGTGGCGCCGGGTCGTATCCTTACAACTTGCAGCAACAAAGGTTTCTAACACACTTGCCGCTGTTCTTTTTTTCCTTCCCTTTCTTGTCTTGCAATTGCGACTGTGTAGAATCGACAGAGTTGTCAAAGGCGTTTGCGAGACAGGGTCTGAAGATCCCTGTCAGGAACGATCTGCGGGTTCGAAAGGTCAATGAGGGGACTCCTCCACTCTTCAGTACAACAGCACAGCATGAATGAACCCTTCGTGTCCATGTGGACAATAATAAAAAACGAACCAAAGCGCATCCCCTTAAGATCAGATTGAGTGTAATGTCTGTGTGCCACGAGTTCAAAGAAGTGGTCTTGCGCGTGCACAGGTCAGGTCAGGCTAGACCAGACCACCTTACACCCCCCACTCTTCACATCGCTCACACATCCACCTCTTCTTCATTCACTTTGGCGACTTATACATTCAGGACCGCAAGGACACACGAACAACAAGCAAGCAAGCAAGCAAGGAACAAAAACAACGACACTTTTACCCTTCCACCACCAATACACATCACATTCACATAAAACAGGATGCCGTCGCAGTGGAACACAGACGGACGCATCTGTCGGTTGCCCATGCCAAGGATCCCTCATCTGGGCGCCAAGGCTCGCGACGCAGGCGTCTATGTCTCTGGAGGCCTGGTAAATACCACCATAATAACATACAACGGCCAAGGAGTAACGAACGTTTAATGGATAACAGACTAGGGACGCTTGGTGTCTTACACCTCCTCAACGGACTACCAATTGTGCCGCCCCCGTTTCGCCTCCCCTTGACGGACAATAACACCAAGTCGAGGAGAAAGCAGAAGTCGAAGGAAATGAAGGAAGCTCAAAGGAAAAACACACCAAAAATAAAGACAACAGGACAGTCTGACACCTACCCTGTATTCGCTCCTATTTCTTGACGACTTTTTATTTTTCATCCTTGAAAATATCTGCAATAGTTCGCCGTGGGATGGTGGTTCTTCATGGATGCAGTGATATGTTCCAAGAACTTTGACGACGTGGAAGAACAGAAGAGGGTGTCGGTCGAGTTTGTCGATTGGGTCCCTGGCATCTGTAGCACCCTTGGCATGATCATGTGAGTCCCTTTTGCTTCTTGTTTTTGCCTCTACTTGGTCGTCTTTTTTCGTGTGGCGTCGTCGTCATCGTTACCTTAGGGCTGTGGCTTCGCTGTGTCCCAAAAGAGGACCTCCAACACAGGCTGTATTGTCTCCAACAACCAGTATTCCTAACCGTTCCTTCCTTACGTTCCCCTCTTTCGTTTGATTTTAAATATAGAATCAATTGCATCGACAAGGCATCGCTGAGAGGCGACTCGTTCTCGTTCTCGAGTTCAGGAAGCAGTGTCAGTGTTACATGGGTCGCCCGGCTGCTCCTGTTCATTGGTTTTGCCTTCATGGCTGGAGGCCTTGCTGGATCTATCGTATGTGATGTTTTGTTTCCTCTCTCTCTCTCTTCCTCCTCCTCGTTCCTCCACTCCTTTCCGCATCTTCCCGTCAGCCCCTATCTCAATTGAATACCTTCTCGCAGAATTATTTTTGGATGACCATCATGGGGTAATTGACTGACTGACGGGTGAGCATTCTTACTTTTTGTGGGTGGATTTGTTTTAACGAAATGAATAGAGTGTGATGTGTATCAAGTACATCATTCCTGATTACGGCGATCCTTTTACATTCTGGGGCATCTGCAACGTCATCCAGAATGCTGCCATCATGGTCAGGTAAGGGTACTTCTCTCACAGGAGAAGGATGGTTTGCCATGCTTAGGATAATGCGATATTGTGTGCAGTATTTTTGTTTGCTACGCGATTGCGTGAGACTTTTTGATCGGAGGCGAGTGCTCCTTTTTTTTTTCTCTCCACAGCACTAACTCGCTTCTCTTTTTGTCTATGATGAATATTAGTGCGGCGATGTTATGGATTGCGCAGAACACAGAGTCAGAATATGAGTACAGCTTTGGTATCTAAACACCTCAACCCGTCGCTCAAACACCCCGGACCCCCTCCCCAAACGCAAACCTCCTCCTTCGTCACTCCTTGGTGTCGGTTATTAGTGAAAAGCAAATAAATGAAATAACTAGGTCAATTGCAATATACGATTAGGAGCCACGTTTTTTTTTTTCACTCCAAAAAAAACAAGGTTTCAGAGCGACCCTCGTCATCGAAGGATGGATGGTATCTTTTTTTTTTATGTAGCTCGTCACACTGGTTTTGTGAGGATTAACGGCGCGGGTTGTCAACAAACACACCGCTGACTTTTTTGCCACCCATTTTCTTACCGTCCTTTCGATCGTTCTCGCCGTTTGCTCCCCTTTTTTTTGGGAGATAGGGCCAAACGTTTCTCCATTGGGTTACACTGCGCATAAGTCGAACGCATTGTTAGCGCCTTCGTGCTTGGCTAGTGAAATTGCCCCATTTCCCAGTTGGTCAAATGAGCAAGGAAGGGCGTCTTGTCGGGAGAGAGAGGATGAAAGAGAGGTACAATTGGGAATCTGCAGAAGGTTGGAAGTTGATTGATTCTCGCTCCAGACTGGGTGCAGCAGGTGAATGGGCGAGTGAGGGTGAGAGAATGAAAAGAAGTATCGACACTGCAGGAAGGATATGCCACCCGTTCGATGGATCCATCGATAGAAGAAGAGCACAACAGAGATAAAGATATTAGATTCAAAAAACAGGTACTTTTTTTTTTTTTTTTTTTTTTTGCTTGGGTCGCACATTCAATACAATTCACAGCCCAATCGACATCTATTTCCATCGGTCGACAAAGAGCATAGTAAACACCGTGGCGAGAACTCTGAACAACATAAATACCACCCCTTCCTCTCTTCAGCCTTTTTTTTTTTCCTTTTATTCTCCTCATCCTTCCTTCTTGACCAAACACAAAAGAACAACCACAACCAGATTCACTGTACTCCCTATCCCTATCCTCGTTCTTGGCAATCATTTAGGCCCTTGCTCCTTTCCCCCTATCTATCCTTCGCAGTCCAATTGCCTATTTTCTTCCACTACATAAAGTCGAACCGTTCTCGTCTCTTCTCTTCTCTTCTCTTCTCTTCAACCATCAATTTCACAAAACGCACAGCTCAATAACACAGCTACCCTCTCACACCCTCACAACAACCATTACATCAATCATGTCGGCACCACTCCATATCGTCTTCGAGAAGCGTCTCTCCAAGAAACAGCCTGCCATGCCCTCGCCCTCCCTCGTCCCCCAATCAATCCTCATCAAGGACAACTCCTACTTCTCTCTTCCCTCGCCCTCCTCCACCACAACCAAGTCAACCTCTGGTGGAATCTTCGCAAGACGGGGCAGCGATAGTAGCGTCTCGTCGACTGGATCCACAGGATCGCATGACTGCTTCCAATGTGGCCTGCATAGCACCTCCGATAACGAGAGCAGTAGTGAGGGAGGTCATCGTCAAGGAACTCTTTCGAGAAGCGCATCAGAGTCGTCGACTGGTTCTTCCGACTCGCTTACCGTCCCCGCTGGCTCTAACGGCACAAGGAGACTCCGCGTTCAATGGGTTGACCGGATATAGAAGATACCCATCAAATCGATTATCTGATGTCGAGTTCGAGCCCCAAAGCATCAAGCTGTATTAAGGATCCCTCTCTCTCCCTCTCTCTTCTTTTGTCTTTTTGCTCTGCCTTTTTTTTTTTTCTTTTTTTTGTTCCTTCTCAGTTTTGCTTTATTTCGTAATCTTTTTTTTCTTTTCTTCGTCCGTTTTTCCTTGTTTACGTTCTTCCCTTTCGTCACTTTTGTTTACACCTACCCAACAACACTTAATCAACATCCCGATCATATCCATAGACATCCACAACAACACCCAAAATAGCATTATATACATACCCCCCCACCCCTCCCCTTCCTCCTTCAGCCTGCTGAACCCTTCAACCACAACACCACGCCGTACATTAAAATACGAAAATACCCCAAAATAACTTGATTCATTCTGTTTGACATTTTGTGTACGTATGTACTGTGCATTTGGGACATGTATGCATGCATGCATGCATGCAAGGAAAAAATAGTTCCGCGGATGGATTTGGGCATTTCATAAGGAAAGGGACGACGGGAAGAAGGGAAGGGGGGAGAAGGAGAGAGAGAGAGAGGAATTTTGATGCGAGAGGGGAGGAGGAGGAGGAGGAGGAGGAGGAGGAGCAGGAGCAGGAGCAAAGAAAAGGGAAAAGTGGAGTAAAAGTTCCTTTGGTTCTTTGGGATAAACACTTTGTGTGCGGAGTTTTTTTTTTTTTTTTTTTTTTAAAGAAAAAACCTGGTATGTGTTCTATCTGTGCCCCGTTGGCAATAGAGGAAACCGAAACGGTCGCGGAATGCTCAGATACGCTGAGCTGCTTTGATTTGTTTTGTAAGGAGTGGTGTTGTATTATTATTTTTTGCGCGAAGGAGTGAGAAAGAGCTAGAAGTGGTGGTGTTGTGGATATGTAAGCTGTTTACCGGGTGATCTGGTGTCTAGAGAAGACACAAGAAGGAGAGAGACGAAGAGGACACTGTCAAATTGACCAACCTTCATGAAATCTAGGTTATCAAGATGACAATGTTCAGGAACAGAGAACTGAGGTATGGTCTGACGCGCTTGCACCTACAATGCTAAAAAAAAAAGGAGAGCTTACCCTTGTCAATAGGAATGTATCGAAGGGTGTATACACAAGGACATGGACCCAAGCCCAAGAGGACAACATCCAGGCACCATCAGTTGTTAAGATTACGGCCAAGATCATTTTTTTGCGAGTCACTCACTCATTTGTCCGAACCTGATCAGCTGGTGGCTTTGCCACTTGTCACTTGCCCTTTCTTCTGCCCTTGGACCATGCTCATTGACCCTCTCCTCACCACCTTACTCACCTACTCACCTCCTTCCTTCCTTCTTACTCATCCCATTCTTCCCCATCCACTCCCTCAAACACAAGAACAACACACAATGTCATCATCCACATCGTCATCGTCATCCACAGCAGGAGGGCTATCCACCCGCATCCCCCAAGAACCCTCCGTTAACCCCCTCACAATCCGTGTTGCACAACCACCTGCACCATTACCCACAACCTCAACCTCAACCTCAAAGAATCAGCCCATTGACGACCGCCGGCTCTACATTGGAAACCTTGACCCCACCATCGATGAGTACGTCTTCATTCTCTGTCTGTCTCACCCCCCCAAAATGGCGCATCGCTACCATTGGCCGCCTTTTTGTTTAGTACCTCGTTTTACCCCCCCTTCCCTCCGTTCTGACAGCCAAAAAGCTAACAATAAACCTCTTCCCCCTCCTTCCTACCTTCTTCTGGCACCTAGGTACACGCTTCTAAAACTCTTCTCGCCCTTCGGAAAGGTGACAAAACTCGATTTCATGTTCCACTACAGCGGGCCCAAGAAGGGCACCCCTCGAGGTTACTGCTTCCTCGACTACGAAGCCTCATCCCAGGCTGCAGTGGCCATCAAACAGATGAACCGCCGGTCCCTCAAGAACCGACCCCTCATCGTCTCCCTCGCCAACATTGTAAGAATGTCGTTTATATTCAATACCTACGACTCTCATACGCTTTATGATAACCTCGTTCTTTTTCATTTGTCCCACGATTTTCTTATATTTATCGATTCTAATTATTTACCCTATCTTTGTGAATGGATCTGTAACATTAGGCCCCCCCGAGCACAGACCACCAAGACGGCCGAAAAAGAACCCACGACCCCAACCGCCCGACAGCATTCTCGATCCTCAAATCAGGCGCCCTCAAGAACGCCTCCACAGACGAAAAGATTAAAGCTATGGAACGGAAACTCGCCCAAATGTCTGAATCCTCTACCAGTGGCACCTCTGCACCTGCTCACCCTTCCTTGCCCTCTCGACCAGCATCTAATACAAACGGTGTTGCAGGATCAGGAGCAGGATCTTCATCGTCACGGACGTCAGCACACAGAGGAGCAGGAGCTGGATCGAATTCTTCTGCCAGGCAACGCCCTTATTGAAGAGCAAACTCGACTTCTTCCTTGCGCTCAATAAAACATCGCCACAAAAAGAAAAAGAAAAAAAAAGGAATGTATTCTACAAGACTCTATTGTTGTGTTTGTTGTCTATTGCGCTTTCAAAAAAAAAAAGCATTGATGAAAAAAAAGTATTTGATCCACTCAATCACCAGACCTGGTGACGTACCGAGTTCAGAAGTAGGTTCTTCAGCCGGATCCGTATGACCCAGAGCTATATGGCCACTGTCCAAAATGACGCAGATTCTCCTGGAGATGAAGGGCCTGCTCGTACATTACAAACATGAGCGCACTCTGCAACGATGTCCAGAACACTCTGGGACCAACTCCTCTGAACAATCCCGATACCACGCCATGATGCTTCAAGTTCCATTTCAGGCCATCCCAGATCCCGACATAGTACTTTTGTGTCGTCGTCGTCGTCGACGATCCCGTTGATATTGCGCCCTATTGTTTGTCGATCATTTCAGAGAGAGAAGCAGCGTTAGTGCAAGTCATGGAAGAAACGAGTCCAAACATTCACCGTTGGGCTACCAAAGCAGCAAGGAGGGGGAAAAAACGTACGGATGGCTTTTTGACTTGGGTTTGGAGAAGCGTTTTCATGACATCTAAAGGCGTCGTCAAGAACCCAGCCAATCCTCCTGCAACAGCACCACACGCCGTCTCAACCGGCAGCGACATTTGTCCATCCGGCCGGGCCTCCCACTTCTTTGCCGCCAGCTTGAACTTTTCTATAAGATACAAATGCAGAGAAAAGGAAAAGTAAAGCCTGTCAGCCATCTGCCATATTACAACAAAAAAAGTCCGGCTCCAACAACGCTCAACAAGCGAAAAGCAAAGCAGGGGGAATGCTGCAATAAGTACCGTAGAAAGCAAACTGGAGGGCAGAAAAGGGGACATCACGGAGAAGGGTGGCTCTGTAGCCCTGATAGAGGGCACCGATTCCGTCGTACTTGACAATCATCTGAAGTGCGTGCCATGTGTTCTTGTAGTTGTATCCACTGATGAATGAAGGGTTGTTGTATCGTCCTTGAAGCTGCATCCTAGTCTTGAGAACCTCTGAGGGCACATAGATGAACGATGCCACAAAGTCTCCCAAAGATCCTAGTTTGTAGTGAAGTAGACACATATAAAGTTGATCCCTGGTCAGTTTGGGGTTGCTTCTCCTGGGTTGTTTGGATCATCCTGCAAGACCACGACAGGCCTCGATCAAAGAAACAAATATTCCTCTGTTTTCTTACCTCCTGCCAAATGAGCCAAGGTGTCGGGTACTCCTGCAGAGGTCAATGTGCGCTTGGTATATTCATATGTCCCAAAGTACAGAGTAGTTCCTGGCACTATGTTTGTTCAGCAAATGAGATCGGGTCAGTCAAAATGTGTCTCAAAATAGAAGCGTTGGGGTTCGTAAGGTCAAAGTAGAGTGATAGACTCACAGGAACCAGTCATGGCTGGGGCGACTCCACTGTAAAGTCCTCTGGTGACACCCTCCTCACGCAGGATGGTGCCGTAGGCGTGGAACATGTTGTGGTACTTTGGCGGGTTGGCGGAAGGTTGCCCCTGTAACCGCGTCTTGACCGTATCCACACTGCGCATGTGAACGAATCGATTCACAAATATATCAATTGCAACGCCCAAGGGAAAGAAAAGTATCAATAGGATACGGATTAGCAACATGTCATTGAATATTCTGGGGTTAACTCCAGATACGACCAGGAGAGAAAGAGAACTCGGCCATGCAGTTCCAATGCCGATGCCATCTCCCTACGCGTTATCGCTTCCTCGAAAACGCAAAAAAAAAGCTGATCAGTTGTCTGCCCATACCTGTGCATCAAAAAGTCGGCAATCGTGCCTCCCATTCCTCCCGCAATCAGGACCTATAGTTCGTCAAGAGTAAAAAAACCAAGATTTGATGATGAGTTTACTGCGTGTCTCTGATGAACAGATCAACGTAGCCCTTTTCTTCCTTCCCTGCATTCATCTCCCTATTTCCAAGAACGTACATCGATGTATGGTGGATCCTTCTCGGCCTCCTTGTCATGTAAGCCAGTCGGGGGTAATGAGCGCTGTATGGATTCCGAGGGCAGTTGTGAAAAGATGCTGAGGTTTTTATGGCTTTTGTTGTAATTGGCGTTGTCCTCGTTGCTGGTGCTGTTGCTCTGAGGAGTGTCGGAGGAAGAAGCTACGACGGGGGGTGTATGGATGCCATCGCGAGTCATGGCACTCTCTTGTCTGGCGGTATTTCCTTCGATTTGCAGGTAGGTGTTTGGTTTGGTAGGTGAGGTAGTTGGTTCCTGTTGATGGTGATTTCCTGCTGTGAGTATGGGGTTATGGCTTTTGTTGAAAGAAAGAAAGAAAGAAGAGAATAAAGAGCCGAGTCAAGAGCTTCCCTTCCTTTCACACCCGCAATGCCCGTAGTCATCACGTGCTCTAATCCTAAAAAATATCTAAGGTTTCTATGCTAACTGTTGTATCTGAGAAGTAGGAAGAAAAGACACGACTGGGGATATGCTACAACTGAATGATGGGTTTCCTAGGAGGTCAAAGGACATGAACAATCGACATTGGAGACAAATGGCGAGTTGTAGTTGTGGCGGCACGCCCTGGGTTTTGCAACTATGCAAAGGTGTGAATCACCCTTGCACAAAAGTCATCAAGGCTTGCACCATCGCACCGAGCGTTGACGAACCTGCCGTCTATCGTTCCACATGTCGTAGGAGGGAAGGGGAGGACAAGAAACAAAGAAAGGGAAAGAAAAAAGAAAATGTAGAAAGAATGGAAAAGCTTCCCCGTCATATCATTGATACTGACAAAAACGCGCTATGCTCAGGATGTCACGTCCATGAGATTAAACGCAGCCCAGCTTGTCTCAGTCAGAATGCACCCTCTGTTTGTCTATCCGTCTCAACAGACCAGAAGAGAAGAAAGAGGAGAGAGGAGAGAAGAAACAAAAGACAATGGAGAAGCGAGGGAGAAGAAGAGAAAATTGTGTGTCACCGACGCATCCTCGCATTATACAGAAGGCCGTATTGATTACTTTTTTTCATACATGCTTTTTTTTTCTCATCCTGGCCATTCACCAATCACAGTTCTTACCTCCTTTCCTCCACTAAAAGATGTCACAACAGCATGGGCCAAGAAAGTACGTCAAAAAGTGTTTATTGACATATTGGACCCAACACAAACCATAACTCCGTCCTCGTCGGTACGATCAACAGACAAACTCCGTGTACTCTTTACAATAAACACCTAAAAAATCTACACATACACACTCAGGCAGTTTGCAGACTGGACTCGAGACGGGAGGCCAAGAAAATAATATGCGCGCTCGTAAACACGCTCTTGTATCCTTGGCGAGCGGCGATGGGAAAGAGATATTTTTGCTTTGTGGAATGTGGGTAAGCGAGATGCATGAATATTCGTCAACAGGAACAGGGAACATTACTTGTTCCTTTCCCCTGCAATAAGAGCTTAGATCCGAAAATAAGCGCGCTAGGTACGTAAATAAACTCGTGCTCATGAGGACAAATGCTTATTCAATCTTTACCAACATACTCTCTCCACATAAACACATATTGAAATGATTGAGGTAGAGGTGGGATGGAAGAAGAGCACTACTTCTTCATCGTCCAAAAATGTTTATTATATAGTTATATGTATATGTTCTGTAGGGATGTACCTCGTCTTCACAAGGTGTAGTAAGAAACCAACTTGGACGAAGCCAACTCGGTCGCAAAGACATTAGTTGGCGTAATCAAGATCCTATGAGCCTTGTTCAACTGCGTCGGCGTAACAACAATATCCTCCGACACAATCTTGGACCATCCAGCATCAAACGTAACCTTGATAATCATGTCGAGCGCATTGCTGTTGACGATCGACGAGGCGAGGAGCCAGAGCGTGTAGTTGGTCTCGGCCTCGGGGTCGAATGCCAAGTGCAACAGGGCTGCCTTTTTGCTCAGGGGGGAAGAGGACAGTGTGTGGTAGGTAATGGTGTCGTCCTTGTGGAGGTTTCCAATAGTACCTGTGCCCTGGGTAGCGTTGCCGAGGAGGGTGAACCAGATGCCGCGGCCCGGAGGACCGGCAATGAGGCCGACGGGGGTCATGCCGGCGGTTTCAGGGATTGGCAATTGAGAGGTGGTGTTGGCTACTGGGTCAATCTTCATGATCGAGGCTGAGTTGTCCTCGCCTGTGTAGAACTTGCCGTTGTCTGGGTGTTGGGCAATAAAGATGGGACGAGGGATTCCAGTGTAGATGGTATAGTTTGAAGGGTCGTTGTAATTGATTCGGAGCACATGCGAACTATCCTGAAGGGTCGACCAGAGCTCATCGCCATATTCGCCGACATAATGAGGTCCCAGACCAGGATTGGGGACAACGATCTCCTTGATGACTTCGGGAGCTGCTTTGATGGAGTTTACGATAGGGTTGAGCAAGACCAGCTTGTTGTCCTTTTGCAAGGTCACCCAGACCTTTCCGGGGTCCGTTTTGGAAAGAGCCAGTCCGTGAAGGGCAGAGGTGCTTTCGCCGATTCGGAAGGCACCAATGTCCGTGATGACACCGTGGTCATCGACGGTGGCCTTGAGGAGGACGCTGTTGGACATTTGGGAGATGAGGATGACGTTGGTGCCGGCGACGCGGACGACTTCATGGGTCTGATCGGCGGGCGGGAGGGGGTTCTCGATTACATAGCGACTGGCGGCGCGGTCTGCTGCAAGAGGAGTGATACTTAGGGCAGTGGCGATGGACTGGACGGACAGCAAGGAGAAGAGGGAGGAGAGTAACTTTTTGTTGACGCGCATTGTGAGTGTGTGTGTGAGGAGGGAGGGAAGGAGGTATGAAAGAGAAGTGAGGATGAGGAATGGAGTGGAGGTGATGATAGCAGGCGGAAAAAAAAAGCGAGGAAGTGAGGATATTCATCATCTTATATACTCTTTGGGCGAGCGGTCAAATATACTCTAGTTCTCCTTTTTCTGAGCTTCCTTGCATTGTTCATGAGTGTAGGGACTAGGGAGTGAATACAAGCAGATATGAGACGAATTGAGCCCCAGTTTGAATTGGGGCACCAATGGTGACACTTCCTTGTGATCCACAACGCCTCCTGTCAGTCCCTTTCACCACCTTTTCTCTTCTCTTTTTTGTCTCCTCAGAACCAACCACTCACGGAACGACCTTCACTCACATACAGACATTATTATCTCCTATACACAGAACACAAATGGTGACCCTTTCCATAGACTCATTCTCCGTTTCTTGATTTTCTTCACCACATCCAACACCCAACACTAACACTTTGCTTCCTCCCTTGCTTGCTAAGATGGACGATGTCACTATTATTTTCTCTTTCTTTTGGAGTCTTCCTCTCCTCGAACTCCTCGAACTTGTTCCTTGCCCCTTTTGTTTCTCGTATGTCCATGCACTCCGCCTGGTTGTTCTGATGTTTACATTTCTGCGTCTTTGCCCTCACTTTGCCGATGTACTTTCTCCACCGTACCAATGTCTATGAAAGAGAACGAGAATGTGGATGAACACAAGCGATCAAAGGGAATCTTCCAAGTCCATAAAGCATACTACTTTGCTGTCGTATCTCCAATTGAAGTGACGAAAAGAAGGTTTTAACGTTCAGTCTGACAACAAAGCGCTAACACTAACCGTTTTGCAACCTCTTTTTTAGAGTAATCCAAGACCAGTACGCTATTAGTCCTCAGGACCCCGTTTCTTTTAGACAAACATTCTTGTTCGGAGGTTTATGATCCATTCTCCTTTACTTTTTTTTTTCGCCCTCTTGACCTGTATGTATACACCTCCCTTCCTTTTTTTTTCTCAATCTGTTCACAACAAATTCCCATAGACAGTGAGCTCTTCTCCTTACCATCATTATCATCCCCTCACTTCTCTCCTACAATTCGTTAGACCTTTTTTAAAAAAAACCCCCCTTCCTCTTCTCATCTCTCTTCCTTCTTCTCCCCTCTCTCTCTCTTCCGCCGAGCCCCTCCTGGATAATTCTCCTTACTCCCCATCTACTATTTTTTCATGCATGATAACGAACCTTCACGCTATTCCTTTTTCTGCTAACATGATTCTGCGACAACTATTTCAAGAAAACCTTTTTAGTGTGAGTCTAAATAAGCGTTTCAAAAATATAATTAAAAAAAATGGAGAAAGTGGAAAGGAAGTCAGCGTGAAGATTGTCTCAACCCCATCCTTATGGCCAATCGCCCATAGCATGCCAATGCCAGAGGATAGAACACGGAGGATGGGAGGGATGACAAAGGGGGAGAGGGGTTAATCAATAGAATGGGGAAAAAAAAGCACACATAAAAAAAGGTGATATGTTGATGTTTGTTGTGGGTTGTGGTGTTTCTTTGTCGCGAATTAGTTAACCTTTCCAGGGTCCAACGATCTCTCCCTTTTCTTTTCGTTTTTGTCCCACCATGTTGAGGTTTGTTTGTCCAATTAAACAACGGCATGGGGAGTATTATCAATTGAAGAAGAGAGGTCGATGTGACAATAGACCATTCACAATACAGCAACAACACGGAAACGTAGAGTGAACTTACAAGATCTCTTAACAGCTGAAAAACAACAACATTGAAGGCCTGCCTTTTCTGACAATACCCTCAAGTCAAAAGAACGCGCGTTGGTTCTTGTTTTATTATCGGCCCAACCCCTCGACAATCAAGGAGTAGGTGCATCTGCTGCAATCTTCTCCTCGCCTTCTCTTCCCTCCTCACCACCTCCAGAACCAGTGCCCACCCCTCTCTCAGCTTTGCTCCTCTCCTCCTCAGCCTCAAGCCACTTGGCATACCGATCCAACCGCTGCCTCTCCTCCTCCTCCAGTTCCTCTTTAGACTTTTGCGACTCATACTTGGTATGCCCATCATAGATCTCGGCGACGACACGCTGGCCCGCAAAGAACCGTCCCGACATAAGTTTCACACAGAGGTCAGCCGATTCCTTGTCCTTGTACCTCACCGACACTACTCCGTCCGGGTGATGCTATAATGATTATAAATGATGAACAAAACATAGGCGGTTAATGACTGTACAAGCTTACCGCACAGCAAAATTCGCTCACAGCAATAACAACAACCAAAAAAAAAAACGGAGGGCGAAAGAATAACTTACGTCGTAAATAATGACATTAGTGACCTCGCCGACCTTTTCGCACTCCTCACGAATATCCTCCTTCAGATCCAACAACAGGGTCGGATCGGCTTCGAGTTCCTGGAGCGTGAACATGTGCTTGAGAATGCACACCTTGTTCCACTTGTCCGCCTTGACCAAGTTCTCGTCATCAAACCAGTCCAGCTTCTTTTCCAGTTTTTGGTACTTCTTCTGAACCTTCTTCTTGCGCTCGTCCACCAATCCCGCTGGCGTAGCCGTCCGCTCCTTCTCCTTGAACTGTGCCTATTTATCGCATAAAAATATACCATAAAAAGAAGTCAGCCTCAGCGTCAATTAACGCACCCAACCAAAACATCGAAATAATCGAAGCGACAAAAAAAAAGGGTACCTGCTGGACACGGATGCGGCCCTTCTCGACTCCCGGCCGATACTCGGTATCGTCCAGGAGATCTATTGCCAGCGCCACGGATTCGGGACGCAAGTATGTCACCAATCCTTCGCCGTTTCTCTGTCCCTGACCGTTAGTGTACAACTTGATCCTTGGTTTCTCTATTAATTTAGTCATTCAATATGAAAAAGATGATAGCTAACGGCGTTAAAAACAAGAAGAGAGGGAAACTTCGATATACTTTTCAAACCAAGCACTTACCATTCTCGTCCTCCATGAAGACACCACCCTTCTTAAACACATCCATCACCTCCTCCAGATCCGTGTCAAGCGGCAGACCTGTCACAAAGACCGAAGAAATTGGTTTGGGTTTCCGTTCACCCTTGCCCTTGGGCTGCTTCTGTTTCTTGTTCGCATACTTATTATCCGATCCATCACTCTGTCCAGGGATCGACGCCAGTCCTGGGGGGTAGTCGTTCAGCCCAAGAATCTCGTGCGCGTCACCCCGGTCCTCGTCTTGTTCCTCTTCGTCATCGTCATCGTCATTGGTGGTGTTGTTGTGATGAGATCCCGCGGTTTTTGTAGTGGCTCCGGCGCCGTGGTAGATGTCGTCTGTGTTGTCGTTCTTGCGCTTCTGCCGCCTTGCATTCTCTGCATACACCGATTCCTAATGTAGCGGTGATATTTCGAAAATCAAAATTGTTAATAATTAGGGACCTCCAGCCACGCTATCCTTTCTTCGCAAACAAAAGTAAAAAAAATAAATAAACTGACATACCAAGTTATCCGGGATCGTCTCTCCATAAGCAGACTGCTGTGCTTGAATCAAATGCTCGTTAAACTAATCAAGATCATAAAAAATAGATATCCACAAACAAAGGTTAGCAAACACGTCCCGCAACTCTACTCAGCCACCCCATCCCCCCCCCCAATCGCCTCTGTTTTTATCGTTCAGTATGATTATCACATTTGCCACGCGCGGCATTTTTTTTTTTTGGCAAAGGGTGGCAAAGCTCTTACCATAGGAAACCACGCCTTCAAGTTCTCGTCGTACTCAAACGAGACCCCCTCGGCGTCCGTATAGGTCCATCGGCCAGTTTCTTCAATATAGTGCATATTCTGCTGTGCCACTTGGGGTCCTCTTCCTCCTGCTGCTGCTGCTGTGGGCTCGGTACTGGCTGCTGATGGGTTCGCGTCAGAGGTAGCAGAAGGAGCTGCGCCTACATCGTGATCTCCTTCAGTCCATGTCGCGCTGCTGTTGGCTTGTTCGTAATCTTGTTCAGGCGCACTCATCGCGTTTTGTTTTCTTTTTGCTCCGAGAAGCAGGGAAAGTCTAGGTATACCGTTTTGGTGTGTTCTTTTTTTTTCGCCTACGGTTTTGCTTCTGAGTTTTCGACTGGCTTCGTTGAAGAGAAGTGTGTGTGTGTGTGTGGGAGGTGAAACGAAATGGAGGAAGAGGTGGAAAGAGATGTTGTTCGTGGGGAGTTTTTTTTTTCTACTTTTTTATGCTTCTTTCTCGTTTTATTTGGCAGTCACGATAGTCCGCCAGTATCCTGTTCTAATTACAGAATTCTAGTGGTACTTTCGCCTGACGGGATCTCGTATTAGGTCCGAGTACCCTGAAGACATCGCCTCGTCCGCATCTGCATGGCCGTCGCCCCTGCTGGTTGAGGACCCAAGAGCAACAGGACGCGGGTCTGCTGATGGCCATTCCTGTTGCGCCAGTGGTTGGGATATCGACTGGATAGGTCCTAGAGGATGAAGTATCGGCATCGAACGATGTTGAGGGCGCGAGTGAGATAACAACGCAGGATCATAGCTTGGTGGTATCTCCTGACTGCGATAGAGTCGGACAACGTCCTGTGGCGAATGGGGCGGTGGAGGTGGAGGATATATCGACCGATAGAGCGGATAGGGCTGATATCTCTCTGGTCTGCCTTGCTGGGGGTGCTCAGTGGGACGATACTGACGACGATAATCCACAGGAGGGTGCTGCTCGCCGGCGAGAGGATGTTGCAGCTGCTGGTCTCTCGGAAACGCAGGCTGGGCATACCTCAAGGGCGGCGTGATACCGGACAATCCCAACCCCACGCCTTGTTCTTGTCGCTCTATCGCATGAGTACTACTAAACTGACTCCTCTCTGAAGGCCGAGACCCGCCTTGTCCGTCCTGATGCAATGGGTCCATGTTGTAGGTGGCCACCGCTCTGTAAGCAGAAACACTCCCACTTTCCGACGGTAGACTCGGCCCAGAGTCAGCCCCACTTTGCACATAGGCTTGTCCTAAATCCGTCACGGCGCCGCCACTCCTCCGAAGAAGTGCAGCCTCTTCATCCATTGCAATTGCATACATCGAAATCGAGGGCCGTTTCCGTCCTGCATGCAACGACGGCGTCGGTTCCGCGCGACCTTCTGACGGCACACTGCCCTTGTCTTGACCACCGCTACCACCACCGCCCAGAAAAGGCTCCTCAGAACTAGATCCTGTCCCACGATCACGACTCGGGGCTTCCCGGAACCGTGGCGACTCCTGCCTAGCCACTGCCGAAGGCCTTCTGCTGCCGGTTCGACTGCTCGGCATCGCAATGGGTCTGGCTGTTGTCGACTGAGGCGAGATAGACCACTGGGGTGAACTCAAGTCGACAACACTCTGAGACGACTCTTGTTCATACATCTCCATCTTTGTGACATCCCCTCGACTTGACTGCTCTATGGGCGTGCGAGCAGGGACGGTCGAGAGGCTCATCACGCTCTCGTCTATAGAGTGTCGATGGTACGTGTGGTGGTGTTGCTGTTGTTGATGATGATGTCGGAGTCGAGCTTTTTCCTCCATGCGCGCCTCAAACTCCAAACGGGCATGTACAGGCTCTTGGTCTTGTCGGTGCGAGGGTGGTGATGCAGGGTCCTGAGAACCGAGCGGCAGCTCTCTCCGCCTATCCTCAGGAAAAGACGTCGCCCCTTGTGCCACTGCTCTCGATGCGTACTCTAGACTCAAATGCGAGGCAGACGTTGCCATGACAGACGAAAAATAACTGTCGGTATGCTGTGCAGAAGTGAACAGTCTCCTGGGATCCTGCTCACCGCCAGCTTTTGAGTCCAAGCGACGGGAGGGGTGATAATGGCCATGAGGACGAGACGGAGGCGGATCGTGAAACTCTGAAACTTGTTGTTGGGTCCGGTATGCATCCATATCCCGCCCTGTGTTGCTCTGCGGCCGCATCTCTCGCGGGTGCCGCGTCTCTCTGGGGCTCCGTTGGTTGTGTTCTTTGGGGCGGGTATGAGGACCAGAGGGTTGATTTGAATGCTCAGACGCAGATCTCCACTGTGTCTGTCCGTATTGGTGCGATTCGTCATGTCGTGCATACTGGGTACTGCTGGTGTCTTGGCGTTCACTGGCCAGCAGAGAACGACTTGATCCAGTCATAAAACCTCTATCGTGGGGTATTGGGGCACTATAGACGCTTGAGGTCGACGAAAAAGTAGGCGGTCGTTGTTGGTCGGATCTAGGTAGAACCGAATCTCCTTCATAATGAAACGATCGCCCCGGACCATAAGGCTCATTTTCGGGTAACTCCGAAGGCCACGCCGACCCAGTAGCAGATGGGGAGGAAGGAAGGGCCTTCGGAGCTCGAGATTGATCACCATCGTCGTGTGCTGAGGCGCCTCTATGGTGATGGCCATCGTGACTTGTCCATGAGCCCTCATGATGTGGTGGTGGGAAGGTATTCATGGATCGGTGGTATAATGGGCGTTGTAGGTCTGCGCGAGATTGCCGGGGTGAGAGAGGGTGAGGGTGAGTGTCTGATGGGGGCCGGTAGTCTTGAATATGGAGAGAATGTGAATCCGCAGGCTCACGTCTTGTTGGCGCCGGCAAGGATGAGCGCTGGCTCATGGCAGGGTGGGACTGGACATCGGTGAAGGAGACAAAGTGGGCGGTTGGACTCTCTGTTCTGAGCGAGAGGACAGATATGGACGAGGAGCGAGATCGGTCGCCTTCGTACTCATCCCGGGCTAATGAAAGCGTGTGACTCGTCAGCACCTCCGCCCCATCTAGCGGACTTTCCGGAGGACGATTGTAGGCCAAGGCAGTAGTTGCCAAACTCTGGGTAGTTGTTGGAGACTCGAGAGAAAGAGCGAGTAATGACGCAGCAGCGCCATCCTGCAGGGGGCTGACAGGAGCTATCCTTATGGCGTGTTTTGTGTCTAGCTCATCAGCCTCGTATATTGTTGGGTGGGAGCCTTCTTGTGCCGACGTTGTCGATGAACTGTAGTCGGACGCCAAAGAGATGTCGCGTTTGGCCCTTGGTGGCGCAAAAAATACCGGCGACTCCATCGACACACTTGAAACGGATGACGTCCGTGGGCGGAAGGTCTCTACTGGCATTGCAATTAAATAAACGGATAATTAGAAACTGGTGGTAACATGGACCTGACAGCATTTCCATACAGACACTTCGTTTTCGACTCACTTTTGGACGACTCTGTATGGGCAATGTCCTGGTTCGAGGATGACGACGGAATTTTGCCAACGGTATCAAAAGGAGCCAAAGTCTGGTTGAGCACGTCCAGCGGCAGGGAAAAATTGAACTGTCGTATGCACCACAGGGTCTTCATAAAGTTCACTTTGGCTGGTGTCGAGATAGCGGGATCGAGTTCCTTGGAGTTGGCCAACTGGAGCATAGCCGCCTCCGCCAGACAGCGCAATCCATGGGCCATGCAGTAGTTCCGCAGCTCTGGCTCTTTGATCAGATCGCCTACAGTTGCTGTGATGCCATTGGCACAGGTAGCCAGTATCCTCAGAGGAGACTCTCGTCTTGGACCCAAACCTGTTGGGCTCGATCGGACGGAGGACGGGAGACTGTTCAGGAGCAGGATGTGACCAAGGCGAAAGTAGAGGTCGAGTGCGTAGGCTGACGGTGATACTGTCCCCTTCCCACTGGCAAAAGTCGTCCGGGAACCTGGGCTGCGTAGGTGCTTAGGGAGGCTGTTGTGCCAGGCTATGAATGCATCCAAGATGTTGGTAACGGCGTGAAGATCACGTGAAGACATGGGTAACTTGATCCTGGTGATCGACTGGAATATCTTGAACAGATTACCGAGGTGGTAGTGGACGACTTCGGCGATGGGTGTCTTTGACCCCGGTACTTCGTCCGGCCGCACATCCAATGCACTACTTGACAGGTCTTTGGTCGGCTATGGACAAGAAAATTAGAGAAACCTATTAAATGTCCGTCCGGTACTCCGATAGTGCTATCAACCTGGAAGAAAAAAAAAGAAAAGCGGGAGAGGCACTTACAACAACCTTGCCGCTCTGTTTAGAGATCGTAAGGCCCATGACCTCGTTCCAAACAAACAGCCTCCATGTATTCCGCACAAGAATGTCCTCCTTGGAAAGCTTCTCCCGATGGGCCAACTCTAGCACATGGGTTCCCAGCTCGATCTCGTCAGCTATCTCGGCCATAAGACGAAACGACGAGTTGGCTTCGTCCACTTGGCTGGTGAGGTCGAAGAAACTGTGCATGATCAAGATTGTTTGGATGGTGACAATGTCCCGTGGCCGCTCGTCCTTGAGAGTCCATGTCCGTCTGTAGAATTCGTACACAAGGTCGTCTCGAACTCCCGGACTTGGAGTAGACGACTTGAAGACGGCTCCGATCGTGCACATGGCGTAAACAATCGAGGCAACCTTGGGTTCCATTCGAAGGTCCAGCCTTGTCCAGAAATCCGGCGCTTGAGGGTCTACAAGACCATGGATTGGGTGCATGTATTGAAGGTAGAAGCCCACGAGCTCCCGAAGAATAGTTGGGGATGGAGTGACGTCGTCCGCCGCAAAGGGGTCTCTGTAGGCGTAAAGGTCTGGATCGGCCGCATCCATTAAAGATTGCATGATGGCATTGGGAGACGTGAGCCACAACATTTTTGAGTCAGGGGTGTAGGATGAGAACTCGGCCGAGGGCGAAGACATAGCGACCGGTGAGCTGATGGAGTCGAGACGGTCATGGTCTGTTTTTTTGCGCGAACTGACAGCCGGACGGCGCTTCTTTCCTGTCGGAGGGAAGGGGAATAGAGGGACCAAACACAGACACAGGTAGGACAGAAACTGGTTGGTTAGTATGCACATCATGCAACAAAGTTAAAAGCAAGCTTGTGATGTCGTCTGTGTCCACATAGTTGCTCCAATGGGAAGGCGAGGGTAACACAGAAACATATTTTGCTTTTCCTCGTCGTTTCTTTCTGCTTGTTTTCAAGTCGGATAAACAAAAAACTCGAGGTGTGAGTGTTTTTGGAGTGTCTGTACCGGAATGTGGATGTCAGGTACAAAAAAAGGGGGAGCCAGTTACCATTAGGCTGTTTTCTGTTTTGTGTTTTGTTGTTGTGTTTTTGCAGATTGTTGCATTGGCATTAGCGGGAAGAAAATTATGTCCTGCAGAATACCACATTGCACAGCGTTGAATTGTGCAGTCAACCCTGCAGGTCCTGCCCTTCCCGCTGGCAATAAAAGCAGAAACACGGTCATACCAGTGTGAGTGAAAATCATACACAGACAGGCACACCAAGAGCAACTGGAATGGTAAAAGAGGGAGAGGACAGTGAAAAGACAAAATAACTGACCAGAGGATAGGAGAGGGGAAAATGAACAATGGAGAAAAAAAGTGAGCGAGAGAGAGAGAGAGACAGAAGGGATGGAGATTGAGGTGCTCCGCACAGCGGACAGCATCACTTATTTCTTTGCGTTATCGCGCTTATTTCGTTGGTGCATATACAAATATGCACTCACACAAAAACAAACAATGACAATGTGCATTGTGTTGTCTTGTGTTGTCTGGAACCTCAATGCCCCCCTCCCCTCCTTTTTTTTGGTTTGCTATTCTGTGCCCGACGATTATCGATGATAATCGATGATGATCATGTAGAAAACCAGTGAGAAAGACTGAGAGGGGTATTGACATTCAGTTAACCGAGGGGGTGAGTAGCAGTGCCCTTATCCTTATCCACTTCCCATCAATAATAAACCCAAAGTACAACAAAAAGAAAACAATAACCACACGACCGATACGTTCTTCCCGTGAAGTTCATATGTGCTCTCTGTTTCTCTAGAATCGCTCTCATGCCCTGGTCTTCAAGGCTCGTCCCAGGACACCAACTCGGAGTGACTGAACGAATGGGGAGATGAGCGAGACGAAAGAGAAAAAAGTAGAAAAAGAGAGCAGCTCAACAAAGATAGGTGGTGGGTGCGCAAACATTATAACATGAAAAAGAAGCGAAGGAAATCTTCTTCACACACGCTGTTCAACATACACGCACACGAATGACAACAACCACAACCTGGGATGGAGACACATGTAAATACACCATGCAATAGAAGAAGAAAAAAAACCTGGAAACTGAGCAATCGAATAGGAAAAAACTTTTCTCCCACTTTCTCTCCCTCTTCTCACGACCCCTTCATGGATGTTGTGACCGAAAAAAATATACAAGTGCCTCGCCTCCCTAACTCAATTGAGTTCAAAGAGAAAGACCAGTGAGAGTCGAGTGAAATAATGATCCCGCTTTCAATTGAACGCCCATTGTACTGTATCCATCCAGGCAACAAAGAGGAATGAGAAAGGGGAGGGGTAAAAGGGACTTACGGGAGGCTCGGGATTTTGGCGAGTATGCGGAGGAGGTGATCCTTGAGCCAGATTTGATCGAATCATCTGTCGACCAGGAGGTGATGGTGTTGGTGGTAGAGTTGGTGGCAACGGGAGTCGTCGGAGAAGGGGTAGGCGAGGTTGTAGCCGATAGGGTAGTCGTCGAGATGGAGGCAGGGGTATTCCGTCTTGTTAATACCGCCGCCGTTGTCGAAGTTTTTGTTGTAAAAGCTGCTGTAGAAAAAGAGAACAGGGAGGGAGAGGGAGAGGAAGGAGACGTAGAAGAGGCGGCAAGAGTGGTGGTAGTAGTGGGTGGGGGGATAACATTGGGGGTGTTGACTCCGGCTGCAAGGGCCGCGAGGCGGTGAGCGGCTTGGTTAGGGAGGACGATGTATTGGCACTGGAGGCCAAAGGTGTGGCAACGCGCGCATGGTTCCTGACCGTTGCACTTTATCTTTTGGGTCCGGCAGTTAGAGCAGCCCTTGTAGATCTTTAACAGACTGGAGGGAGGAATTGGCTCAAACATTCGCAACGCGGGCGCATGTCGAGTCCTAGGGGCGGGACTGAGGTGGATCAATGGAGAGGAGAGGGGAAGGAGGATGAGGAGGGATGAAAGAGAGTGTGAGATGGATTTGGAGGTGATGACAGTGAGATGTAATGTATGTGGATGAGCAAGTAAGAGAGCGAAAGAGTGAGTGATGAAAAGGATGAAAAGAGAGACGCGTGCTGGAATGAGTTCAATTAAGGGAAAGAGGACGAGAGAGGTGGATGAAGGACGAAGAGAGGGTGACGGAGATGACCCTGGGTTGAAAGAGAGAAGGGAAGGAAGAGTGATGGAATGAACAGGAAACAGGAAACGGGAACAACAAATGAGAAGACAGGAACAGAAAAAACAAACAAGGAAACAAGGGTAAAGAGAAAGAAAGGGTAAAGTAAAGTAAAACACAAGGAAATAAAAAGAGAAGAGGAAAGAATTGACGCGTTTCTATGCTTCTTCTTTTCTTTTTTTCTGTGGCCCCTTGGGGGGTGAAGAGGAGGGGAAAGGGGAGAATGAGGCTGAGGAGGAAGAGGAGGAAGAGGAGGAAGAAGAGGCAGAAGAGGAAGAGAGGAAGAGAAGAAAATGGCGGGTAATAGTAATAATGACAGAGTGAACAGCCAATGTCGATGGGAAACATTAAAAGAGAGACAACAACAACAAGGTGTGAGAGAGAGATAAAAAAAATAAAAATAAAAATAAAGAGCGGAGAACGAGGTCTTGCAAAAAGGAAGGAAGGGGGTTGCGTGGAGGTGAGGTGGGTGCACCATCGGGGGATTAAACAACAGCAATTGACCGATAGTGAGAACGACGAAAGGAAAGAGAACGAGAGCTTTCTCATTCGTCTTTCTCTCCTGCTACTGTAGTTCTGTTATGTGTTGGTCCTTGTACTTTGTTCTTCGCTGTACCTTCGTTCACATACAGCAACGAATTGAAACTAAAAAAAGTGAAGGGCAAAAAAAGGGCGACAAGAAAAGGCAACGAGTGTCACCAACGGAACGAACGAACGAACGGGTAACCACTTTATATAAAAAACGAAAAAAAAAAGCGTCCCCACTTAGAAGGAAGAAGTAGCGATGAATGAAATATTCAACAATGTTGTCTGCTCTCAATATTCAAAGGAAAAAGGAACAAGAAAAAGAAAAAAAGGGCCCAGTGGCGAACAGTCGTCCCTTTATCTTATCCTTTTTCAATCAGCCTGCTTACTGAGTCCCCCTTTGCTTTCGCTTCCTCTTTTCCCTGCTCTTGTTATCCGGGTTGTTTGTGTAATATGTGTGTGTGTATGTTTGCATTATTGTCCGTTCACTCCTTACTTGGGGGGGGGGTTGTTTGTTCTGCTGTGGACTCCATCCCATCCATCGTGCATCGAAACCGTCATCTCATTCCTCCCCGCAGTCTCACCTTGAATAATGAACAATGTACAAAACCCTCTCTGCCTCGGTGTACACGCCTGGTAGATGAAGCAATAAACACACGGCTGTGAGTGTAAAGAAGTACGTGGTTATAGTAAAATATATGTATGAAAGCGGACATAATCTGCAGACTGACTGAGAGCATAGCATAGCAAAAAAATTAAATGGGCCTCTTAGAAACGTAAATAAATCCCAAGAGATAATATTTCAGGCAGGATAGTAGGGATAGTAAAGACATCCATCTCCACAGACAAACACGTCGTTTTCATCCCCTTTCCTTTTGTCGCGCCATCACTCAACCCGACATCATCTCTGTCTCCCTGTCGCACTTTTTCTCTTTTTTTTTGCCCTTGTCATTCGAGAATTGACATATTGCCCCTTTTCCTTTTCCCTTTTCCTCCCCCCTCCCTTTTCTCATCTCTCATTGACTGCCGACACGAGCGACACGACCAAACAATGAGCCATCTCGAAATTCATACTCTACTTGCAGCCTTCCATCTCTACTGAACTCTGCACCGGTCCCCGACCTGGTTGAATCCTGGTGATTGTTCTTCTCCCTTGACTCGCCTTCTGGCACTCACTTTATCGCATCCGATCCAAAACAAACAACCGATCCGAATGACAACTTTCAAGCGCTCCCTTTAACTCCACGCCCCCTGGCCCAAGGACAGATTAGAACGCAAAGCGACTCGATCTTGTGTTGTTGTTGCTTTTGATTGCTAAACAAAAATAAAGGGCGAGAAGATGCACCACCACTTAAAAGAAACACTGGCAGCTCCTTTTCCTTGTCCTGTTGTGTCCTGAGTTCTATCCTGTCCTATTCAGTCTCTCTCTCCTCCTTGTAATCGAGCATGATATGAAGATAAAATACGAACATGACACGACACGACACTTGGGTAATGTCCTTTACTGCACAGTTCCACAGCACAATTTTGTTTTCACTCTCACGCATTAATATTCCGTTCTGAGTCTGTTGCTTATGGTTGTTTTTCGCCTTTGAAAAAGCTACAAGGTACAAGAAGTAAGGCGGCCCAATTCTCTGCGATCCTCTTTTGCCTTCTTATTTCTTCCAACGACTGTTTGTCTGAAATGGTACTGATGTCAATAGTGAAGGGGGGAATAACAATCAATAGCTCTTCTTCTTCGTTCAACGCCTGCGTTTTTGAATTTGTACAAATGTCAAGATGAAAGGGAATATAACAACAAAGAGTCCCAAGCATCCGCAATACAATAGTTGCAAGGAAAAGAGGAACGTGAAAACCAGAAGAGGAATTTGGACAACAAGAAAGAACGAACAGTGGGTAAAAGAGTGAAATGATGATGAAGAAACAATGAACACAGAATGAAAAAGAGATAAGGGGAAAAAATAAAGAAAAGAACTGAAGAAATAACAAATGAATGTAAAGGATTGACCCTTCATTGCACATACCTGTTTGTGGCGCTACGGTTCGCGGTTCTATTGTGCCTTCCCGGAGGGCGATTGACGCCCTTATTGCCGGTGTTGTTCCTGTCCTTATTTTTGTTGCCAGTGTTCGCGGATTGATCTAAATCCATACTGTTATCGTCAGTCTTTGCTACATCATCTCTGGCCCTGCTTCTATCCTTGTTCCCGTCCTTGCCATTGTCGGTCTTCTGCTCCATTCGTAGAAGAACAATCACTTGTGCTTTGGATAACTAAAGAGAGAAGCGAATGAATGAAAATTTGGTGTTATTAATTGTCGAGCCGCTGTGCTTGGTGCTGTGTTGCGCCGCACTTGCGACGATCGCATTGCTTCTTTTTTTTTTTAGCTCGGATGCGAAAGTGATAGGAATGGTAGAAAAGAAGGTAAAGATGAGGAAGAAGAATAGCAGGAGTAAGAACATAGGAGAACACCGGTGGATGAAGAACCTAATAACAGCAAGCTTTGATGAATAACCATTGAATGACCATGAACAAGATTCGCGTTACCCTTGCTGCTCCTTTTTTTTTTAGTCAAGAGAAGGTGTTGGTTTTAGTTCATACTCCATAGTTTTCGTAGATCGATTGGGTATCGGAGAGAGGGCAGTGAGCGTGAAAGGAAAGGGATTGACGGACAAACACAAAAGGCATAGAGGAACACAAACAAAAAATAATAATAATAACGACGCGTCTTGTCGATCCAAACGTGGATAATATTCCCAAACCGACGAATTATTAATTTCTCCGTTGCTCGAGTGGGGAGGGTTGGTTGATGACGGGAAGGGCGGT